GTCAAATCATGTAAAGAAAAAGTTGTCAATCCTAGAAAAACCCTAAGTTGTTTTGATGGTTTCTGGTACTGGAATGTCCCGAATTTTCAGGGTAAATTCCAGGTTTTTTAATAGATCAGTCAATTTTCAAAAAAGTGAGGCCAACAATTGCAAGAAAGGGTGTTTTGATGGTTTTTGGTAGAGTTAGGTGTACTGAATGACGTCCTAAACGTTTACCAAAATAATAAAGTAAAGCTAGTATTCCTCAAGAAACGAACTTTACAGTGTATAGTAGAGAAGTTGTAATTCAGGACGCTTGCTTTTTGTCAACTAGCTACAAAACCAATCCCGTTACCAGGGATATATAAACAGTATATACAGTGGAACTATTGCGCATATACCGGAGTTCGTGCTTTGATCACATCTATCGCTACCCTTACTTCTTATTCTACATTTTATACAGTCCCGTGTCATGACTTTATAACGTTGATTGAATCTGGTCAACTGTGAACATCGGCCCATACACACACCCGAGAGTAAAATATGACAATAAATGGCTACGTTGAAGATGTTCGTGCGCACTTTACAAATATGGCACACATATTGAATACACAAATAAAAGGAAGGTCTGCAATAGGCAGATTTAGCTCTTACATAATATTTGTTAACTCATGAGTTTTTCCTCTAAACTTATCAGTGAAATTACAGAAAGGTAAAGACGATAAATGTATAAGGTCTATATATTTTTAAAGTATACATTTGGACTGTTTTGTATTAAATTAACAGTGAAATTACCGAATTTTAAATTGTAAGGAAGAATATAGGATACACGCCTTTAAAATATACATGTAGTTAGATAATGTAGTCCTATTTCTCTGAAATTAACACTGGAAACACAGAATTTAATGAATAGTAAAAAAGAAAATAATAAAATATATAAGGGTGTGCATCTCCCTATCTTAAGAATCTCATACATCTGGAACCAACAAATACAAACGAAGATAAAATAAAAGAAATTCGATGTCGTACTGAATTTTTTTCTAAATCATTTATCTCATCCAGTATAAAAGAGTAGAATAAATTCAACACTCCTGCAAGAACTCAAGAACTCTTCAAATATTCTCTCCAAATCAGATATCCAAAATCCATCTTTTTACTATAACACCAGACAATCCATAGTAAACTTCGACTCGATGTTCTGAACTAAAGGGCCACAAATACATCAGACATGTTGCTGACAGCCCCGCATGCCTCTGTGGTCACATTTTTGAAGATTCTACCTCTTACAATGCTTTTAAAATTATGGGTAAATATCCATTGTTTTGATTAAATCATAATATTTTTTATTACAAACAGAAGGGCCATATAAAATCATATTATATTGTGGTTAAAAGACATAATTAATCACACCTAAACAAAATTAATATATCAAATAGGCTTACTGAAATAAATGTAAACCAATTAAACAAAATCTAATGTTAAGTGACAAAATTAATAATAACAATTTGTTTTGCAGAAATCAATTTAGTTTTGGTGCCACAATGTTATTCTTTCCCCACCTGTGCATAATTACCAGCGCTATTTTTGCCGTTCACTGTACTAAAATACGACCAGACGTTAAAACTGGAAAATATCACTACAGAATTCAAACTTCCAAACCATTTTATATGATAACCCGATACATATTATAGAATGTGAATGTACAAACTTCAGAGTAATATTAATGTTGTAAGGTTGTGTATTTATTTTATATAAAAACGTAAACAATATTTGGAACAAAACTTACTACTCTATGTGAAGGCATAAGGCGAATTAACTAGTCAACAAACCGTGTAACACTACTTCTAGGAGTAGCAAGATGGCGGACGATGGCATCAAGCTAGTTATTTGGTTGGTCTAGTCACGAACTATCCAGTTTATATATAGATCAATGACACTGACCGGTGCACCACAACCTGAAGTTTTAGTAAGTTTTCTGCTAAGTATACTGACGCGTACACCACAACCGGAAGTGATAGCACGTGTTCCGGTAAGTATACTGACCCGCACACCACAACCGGAAGTGATAGTGTTCCAGTAAGTATATACTGACCCACACGCCACAACCGGGAGTGATAGTAAGTATATACTGGCCCACACACCACAACCAGAAGTGATAATAAGTATATACTGGCCCACACATCACAACCGGAAGTGATAGTAAGTGTTCCAGTAAGTATATACTGACCCGTAGACCAAAACCGGAAGTGACAGTATGTGTTCCAGTAAGTATATAATGATCCGTACACCACAACAGGAAGTGATAGCAAGTGTAGCAGAAACATGAAATACACGCTGCGTCGCACAACACGACCGACAGTCGGTAGTTGAAATATTCGGTTTATTAAATCAATGAAACACAATTTCAATACAACAATCTGAATTCAGCCAAATGTTGAATATCCAATATAAATATTAAATAATAGAGATATAGTATTGACCTATACCCGTTATAATATATCATAGCGAATAGGTATCAAGTAAGCCATATCTGTATTAAAGACCCTTTCAGTTGTCTGAATTCATCAGAGAGGGAGAGAGGACTATACCCGAAATCTAATAAAACACTAATTTTGCTTTTCTTTTAATTAAATACCGCGAATTTGTACTGAACTGACTATGGGCTAAAAAATTTTGTATGGAGCCACTCTGCTTTGTGCGACATTTTTCGAGCGTCGGTTGTTATTGTGAATACAGTAGTTTGATTGGATGCTTGGAATTCAGATCGGCATGGAGTGAGATTTCGGTTGTAAAACCACAGGACAACTTTGGAGTTGCTTTACTCGCGGGCTAGAATAGTGGTTAAGTTTTCTAAGTTTTCCCAGGAAGATTGGGGCCCTTATACTAAACGATTGATTGCTTATTTGGAATTCAGGTCAGCCACCCAAGTTAGACTATATTGGACAACACTGAAGTTGCTGTATTCACGGTTTGGAATAACAGGAAAACGCGATTTGGGCGGTTAAATGTTCAAACTTTTCTCTGTGCACTGTTGACTAGAATTCAGGGGCCTGTTTCACGAAATTTTAACTAAAGATAAAATCCAAATTTTAGTAGATACTTCAGTTTTGCTTGGCTAAGCACGAACATCAATGTAATATTATCCAATCAAATTACTAAAATTTGGAATTTATCTTAGTTAAAATTGGTGAAACAGACCCCAGGTCCTCCATCTAAGTTAGCCTATATTAGACCACGTTGAAATTGGTGTATTTATGTTAGGTAGCATGTACGATACAGTTAACAGCGATAATTTAAAATTTAATACAACTTAAATATACATTATGCAAGAGCTAAATCTGCTTATTACAGGTTTTGTTTATGCCTTAAACTAATAATTAGACATTTAGACATATTAACATGACAAGCCCAGAATCAACTCTTTATCTTATCTTCCATAATGCCACTTTAGTTTTAATTTCACTCTTTTATTGAATGACTGAATTACATCCCCACCCCCACCCACCCCCTCTCGCTTATTGAATGACTGACACCCCCACCCACCCCTCTCGCTCTTTTATTGAATGGCTGACACCCCCACCCCCACTCCACCCCTCTCGCTCATTTATTGAATGACTGACAACACCACCACCACCACCCCTCTCGCTCTTATACACCACATACCAATGGCCCGGTTGGTGCAAAAAGTATAACTCCATTTCATTTTATTTTATTTCTCCTTATATAAATGACTGACACCGCCACTCATTATAGTACATAATATAGAACCACCGCCACTCATTATAGTACAGAATATAGAACGATCATTAATCCTTTGTATCGGTACAGAAAATATTATATGGATTTTGTCAAGGACACCGGTGGCAATAAAGGTCAAAATAGAAAATTTTCACTACGCTGAACAATGAACAATGCATGATGTATCTGAAGGTGATAAAAATTATTTATTTTATAGTCAAGTATAAAAAACCCATAATTCAAACGTAATATTATTGTTTCAACAATCAATCCATCAAAACCTCGTATTTTTGTAACTGTCTTTACGGGATGTTAAGTGGCCTACGACACGTTTTTAATGACAGTTTTGGTGAATGACACAAACTAGGTAATTTCGGGACCAACATATGTTCCAATTTTATTTCAATAATTCGATTCTGCGTAGGGCTTTCTTAGCAGTTCCGGGAAACCGGTGGAACCGGAGAAAACATCCATGTCACGTACAAGTGGGGAATCGAAACTACGACACTTGGGCCCGTGACAGACCTGGTGATCATGAATTGAAAGGTGTATAAACCTGGCAAACGTAAGATGGGTATACGCATTTGTTGTTTATGTGAACCTCGGTGTTCGGATCATCCGAACGACTAGACAGGTCGTCGGCCCTGCCTCACTGACAATGGGGTAGCAGGCGGCTGAAATATTCCGCAGATCAATGAGCCAGCCCTGATGACAGTTTTTAAATTGATTTATATTGAAAAAGGTAAATTCTGCAATGTGTTCAACCATATCAAACCTACAAAAACAACCGGTTCCCATGCAAGGAAACCCATAGATTGTCGGAGAACCGGGGATATCAGTAGAGCTCATCCTAGCTTTATCCCAATGTTTCACATCAAATTTGAAGAAAAATCTCCACCACGTTCACAAGGTTTTCGCGAACGGAATCTCACAGATGGCTAAATATCGATAGGGTTTGTGTCCTCTTGACCCCAAGGGTATACACCACATTTCAAATAAATCCGTTAAAACTGGAGTCTCTTTCGCATTCAAAAGATTGCAGAATGCTGAATATTGATAGGATTTGTCCTGTCTGACCATCAAATTTGAAATAAATCAATTAAAACTATCGCCTATATCGCATTTAGACCACTCTGGTTGGTTGAATGCTTGTCAACCAATTTATTTTTGTTTTATTGTAATGTTAAAATGTGAGAGTCACTTTAATGGTTTTTTTTTTATATTTTTGATTGACAAATGTATATAAAGAAGATGTGTGCTATGGTTTTCAAAACGCGAAGGAGCAGCTCCAGCTTCAGTGGAATTTGTCTGCGAACTCACATTTTGTGGAGGCCGATATTAAACGGTAAGCATAGATATATATATATATAAAATTCTTCGAATTTGTAAATGTAAAATCGATACACGATATTAACACGTCTTCTGATTGTGAACTTGTAAACAATAAACCGATGAAACGTCTCAACCACCCTAATAATCACCGTTAACAACCGAAAAGGGCGTGTTTTATCTGGCATTAGTGCACTAAATATGACAAAAGGTAACCGACGATGAAATATGTGTCATAGAAAATGAATAGCAATAGAGTGGTTCATGCACAGAACAAAGATCCACTAAACGAGTTATATTTGGGGCTAATTTTAACGAAATATGATAAGACCCACCATTAAAATCACCATTAATGAACAATTAAACTATTGCTAAGTTGGGTTTTTGAATGATTTTTAAATCACAAACCATTTAGATAGGCCTTTCTAATATGTAGAATAGTTGATTGCTATGATCTGGAAATTAGATAACTCTTGTCAGGGATACTCCACTACAACAAATGTCTGGCAATTACATAGCTCTGTTAGGGGTACCCCACCACTAGAAATGTCTCTCAGAATGTTTTTGTAATACCCGAAGATGTACGGTACACTGCTGTACGATTTTCATGTAATGCACCTTTGAGCTAATCTAGCTTAGTTTGGGGGGGGGGGGGGGGCAAGGCATTATGACATTTTGGGCGTGGAATACCACACCCACCACCGGAAACGCGGCAAAATGTCCCTCATAACACACGGTATGGTGTACATGCCTTTCATTAGCCCTCCATATCACACTGAATGACGTATGTCCCTCTTCATTAGCCCAACCGGTGCAGAAAAGTTGGACGTTAAACCCCATTTAATTTCAAGATACACACCTTGAACTCGGGCGTTTCAACAGGTAAAAACGTCGATATAATGCAAATGTAAAGGGGCCGTTTCTATTTTTAAACAGAAACGGTCCCTTTATCTTTAAAAAGATACATTATGGAAGATTTAGATAAAGAGCTAGACATTCTTGCTATAATAGTTCGAAAATAGATAATGTAAAATGAATAATTTGAAAATTTCATTCAAATTACTCTATTGCGAGCGAAGATATTAGCCTTTGAAGGCTTGACAAGACGTGTGCAATAATTTCAACCACTGTACTGGTTGTTCGGAGCTAAGTCTCGCTTCTCCATTTTAGCTTAAATCAAAATATGGCTGAACTGTTCTAATCTATTTAATATCGGAAAAATCCGATGCCATCAAGAGTTGGTTATGGCCTGAATAAGTTAATTAATGTCTAATTAATAATTTATGTAACATTTCAAGCCTAAAGAAAAACCTGAAATATGCATAATGTATGTTTAAGCAAGCATGCGGAAAAAATAGGTTGCTCTAATTTCTGCATATTCAGCTTGAAAATGGCTGATATTTTGGACATGGTGTTTTTATAAAAAAAAAAAAAAGGCAGCGACTGAACGTAAAAAATGCAGGGCTCTGTGCTGTAAAGAGAATTTTTCACTTCTGACGTCATTTACATGGGATTCCCCAAACATTTCAGCAATTTTTATGGAAATACAAACGCGTACATTGAAAGTGGGCCTTGTAATAGCGATTTTTACCTAATTAAGCTACTTTCCCTCTCTCCGATGTCGTAAGTCGCTTATCGCAAAACAAAACCGACAGCTGTCCTTTTAATCCAAATTCATTTTCTGATTGGTACCAATTAGCAAACCTCTCCACCTAGTTCCTTTAAACATAATGTCACGGCTTTACCAGCTACTAGATACAGGTAACTTAAACAGGTAACTTTCCTTTACCAGCTACTAGATACAGGTAACTTATACAGGTAACTTTCCTTTAAAGTAAACACAATGAAATGTAACCTCATACTAATCTGTGCGGGAAATGTTGCTTCGGCCTACTCTACCAATTCCGGCTGTTAAGGGTTTTTACGTACACGGGACCGACTGACCGAGGTTTGTTGTACCATCCGAATGACTAGACATTTGTTCCCTGTCGGACCATCCGCCATACATCAAATATCCGCCTATCACACAGCTTAATGTTGTTTATCATCTATTAAATCCAAAGTAGTTTGTACAACGTTCCGGTATTTACTATGAATGTCACTTTCCGACCTTCCACCAAAAACAGAGTTCTGTAAATATAAATTATGTTTATTTAGTCTTTAATTTTACTTATAGGATTGTTTAACCATTTATATGCTAATCTTTGTAGATTCCAATTAACCATATTAGGGTTGTTTAAACATTAATATGCTAATCTTTGACGGTTGTTTAACCATTAATATGCTAATCTTTGTATATTCTAATTAACTATATTAGGGTTGTTTAACCATTAATATGCTAATCTTTCTAGATAACATTTAACCATATTAGGGGCGTGGACCATTAATATGTGTAATAACAACCAATATAAATTTCATTTAAACATAGTATTGTTATGGTTTTTTCAGATCACGATGGGTGTTTTAGGAATTTGCTGCCTGACGGTCATATGTTTTGTATCTGTTAGCAGGGCGTTTCCTAATATATTGCCAGCGGGTCCCATTGATGTAAACAATATTGCTCCGACACCTCTAGCCGACCCGGCTACTCAAGTTGGTTTGTTTTCATCCAGTGTTACAGTCTCCACTACTCAAAGCACTAATTCAACCACTTCACCTCCTTTACTCACACCAGCAGTACCACTGCCTCGTCCATCGTCTCTCCTTAACGCAGCAGGAACACGACAATTCCCGCGATTGTTGTGCTATGCTTCTGAAGACTCGTGTTTTTCGTATGGCATCAACACTGAAACTGGTAAGCAGCATTTTCGAAATAACTGATAAGTCAATTACTTTAGTTACAAATTATTAAAGATGCAGTATGTAGGAGCTAAATCTGACTATGCAGATCTTTTATGACTTGAAAAAATGTTATTATATAGACCAGTAGTTCTCAACCTTGTTTTGCCAACGGCACATCCTGGAACACATGAAAAAATAGCGGCACACCTGGCTAAATATATATGAAAATTATTTGAATTTTGCAAACTAAAAACATGGTAAGCCCGACGGCATACAACCGTAGACAGAGACTATTCATAGACACATAGAATGACTGAAACTAAATAAATAAAAACACAGCTATGAACTTATCAGTAGACACCAGTGAATACTCAATTTTATTACGTGGTTTTTCATATTTTCTTAGTATGCCGTTCAAAATGTCGCGGCACACTTACGAAGATCTCGCAGGACACCTGTGTGCCGAAGCACACTGGTCGAGAATCATTTATATAGACATTTATTTACATGACAAGTCCTACACTCTATGTCATAGGATGGCTCAAATATTAAATAGATTAGAATACCCGTTCATGTATATATTAACTTTAAAATGTAAAACCGAGACTTTGCTTATTATGCTGCTGGACAATCAAATCTATTCAGACTGAATACATGTATTGTTAAAATTTCAAACATCCATAACTTCGCTCATATTATATTATATGATGTGATGTGATGTGATGTGATGTGATGTGATGTGATGTGATGTGATGCTATGCTATGCTATGCTATGCTATATTATAGGACCATCTTGTTGGTATGCTATTGATGAACCGAGAAACAGGTGTTGTGATGAAGGTGGTCTCCACCAGTCTCCTATCTCCCTGCCTGCATCTGGAATGATTCCAGTCATCGATAAAAACTCCTTTCTATATTACGACATTGCAGAAAAGGAGGCTTTAGAAGGAAGGCTAGAAAATAATGGTACGTACATTTTCTTTGTTTTATTATTTCGTATTTATGTAATTTGAATAGCCCTTTAGTTGTCACTATGTTCAAATTACTTGTGAGGTCTGTCATGGAGTTAACTGCCGTGGTTCGATCTGATGCTTCTACGTGACAAGGCGGGGGATTGACTACCCAACCTCGTGGGGTTTTCTGGGTCCTCTGGTTTCCTCCCACCGCTAAAGATTATTAATTTAAGATTCTACCATATATTAGTCCCTAGTTTGTGTCGAGTGGATGTATTCTAATGGCCTTAAAGAGATAAATCTGTCTATTACAAGTTTAATGTAAAAAAATATTTATACAATTATTTACTTGACAAGCCTAAAATCAACTCTCTAGACTAACTTTGAATATAATAAAACAATTTGAATGTAGTGTTCAATATATTCATTCATTTTTAACTATTATAACAATATTTGGCCGAGAAAGTTCATCGGGATGTTCCGGCGTGGTTTCCCCTTGTTAGTGGCGCTGGACGTGTGTCATTCTGATGGGACGAAAATCCGAGGTCCGGTGTACACATTGGCGTGCACGTAAAGGATCCCTTGGCGGTTGGAATTCAACATAAGAGTAGGCCATAGGGCAAAATGTTCCACATAGAATACTGTATGGCGTATCCCCGTCTTCATTAGCCTAGTTCGGAGCAGAACAGTAGGACGTTAAACCCCATTTCATTTCATTTCATTTATATAAGCATTGGAAATGTTTTATGGTGAACGTTTGCTATACGAACCACAATAAAACCCACACACCGCCTTATTATATTTACCCAGTGTATACATAAACATTTTACACACACCGAATATTTATTTGGGAACAGATCTCTATCATTAATGGCCACCAAATCCAACAAATAGTATACTATTTTGTAATGCGGTTCTACTCCGTTTCACATACAGACTAAATAAACATTACGGAATGACTATTTCTCAAAAACATCAAAATATACATACGTGTTTACGGCTAACCAGTCTAATGTCTCATCTCAAGATCAGTTGTAGCATGACTATCTATACCAAATATAAATGTCTATTTACAATCTGATTATCTATACCAAATAGAAATGTCTATTTATAATCTGATTATCTATACCAAATAGAAATGTCTATTTATAATCTGATTATCTAAACCAAATAGAAGTGTCTATTTATAATCTGATTATCTATACCAAATAGAACTGTCTATTTATAATCTGAGTATCTATACCAAATAGAACTGTCTATTTATAATCTGAGTAACTATACCAAATAGAACTGTCTATTTATAATCTGAGTAACTATACCAAATAGAAATGTCTATTTATAATCTGAGTAACTATACCAAATAGAACTGTCTATTTATAATCTGAGTAACTATACCAAATAGAAATGTCTATTTATAATCTGATTATAAATAGAAGTAATTTAATTGAGTGCTGATGTAATAATGGTAAAAGATTTATTGTGTCTTATGTTACATGCATTAAGTCATCGCCTTGTTTATTATTTTAAGGAGTTGGTCCTAAATGGATACCCGAGCGACTCACGGCGAGACTAATAGGGGCTGGTGATCCCAAAAAGGTGTACGTCTTGGACAATGTCAACATTCAATTTGGTGCTGCTGGTGGGCGTCAGACAGAACATGTAATAGAGGGTCAACCAAATTGGCACCACGTTGGCGAGGTATGGTTTCTTGTAATAGAGATGATTGTTGTTGTAGGAACTAGTTACTTGTTACCTGTCTAAAACCATTAATCCGTAATTGAAATGAAATGAAATGGGGTTTAACGTCCTAGTGTTCTACTCCGAACTGGGCTAATGAAGACAGGCATGCGCCATACAGTGTGCTATGAGAGCAATTTTGCCCAGACAGCGGCACTGCAGTCATATCTTATATCGAACGAATTCCAACTGCCAAGGGATCTTTTACGTGCATTCCAATGTATACACGAGACCTCGGGTTTTCATCACATCCAAACGACTAGACAGCTGTCCTTGTCAGGCCCCCTGTCCTACATCACTGACAAGGTGGGGGGGGGCCCTGTCGGAAAATCTGGATGAATTTACTCGGCCAATGCATAATCGTTAATCATCCGTGAGTTACTCATAGCATCATCCTCACGCCACACCCGCATCACCACGAGTGGTTTCTAGTCGTCGTGGGTTGTGTGCGTGTGTGCTGGGAGAGACAGAGACAGGGGAGGCGGTGGTGGGGGGTGTATTCTCGTGCATGACACTTGTCGAAACGTCGTGCTATATGTGTATAAACAAGTGTGATGATAAAATGTGTTGTTTGTTTTTAACACTAATTTATACTATAAATTTATTAACAGTTACAAATAGTACATTTTAATCAAGCTTATGACAATTTAGCTGCGGCCAGTCAGTTCGGGGACGGTGTAATTATAATATCTTTGATGCTATCGGTAGGTATCTCACATTTCTAGCTTTCAGTTTGTTTTAGATGGCCTAGTCGAAACTGTAAAGGCGGGGGAATTTCACAGCCTAGTTGAACCTGTAACGACGCGGGAATTTCACAGCTTAGTTGACCCTGTAACAAATACGAAATAATGAAACTTTAACGGAAATGGCCAAGGGACAATAATCAAATGAATTTGTCGTCGCAATACTTCGGCCATCTTGAGTCGAACATTTATAATATGTGAAATGCAAGGATAGGGCTATACGTCATTATACGATTCCCTTTAAAGATATTATTATCTTTTGTCTACTATATATAGGTACGTCCAATGTATGCATCACATGTCAACTGTATATATATATATATATATATATATATATATATATATATATAATATATACATATCATGTTTACAATTTATTCATGGCTATAAATCTTTATGCACCTTACTGTTGCTATAGTTACATGTGGGTATTTTATAAACTAGAGTCAAGAAGGAGAAGAGAATGAAGGCCTAAAAGAAGTGATAGAGAAAGTAGCAGATGTGAGTCTGTTTTCACTACCCGGTGAGTTTATGAACGTAAATTATTAGTTTTAGTAAAAGTTTAAATTACTGTCATAATGTAATACTCCGTTCGCTCTATAATATATATTATATGGTTAAAATACTAATTAAAATTATTTTGCGTTTATTTCGTTCCGACGTTGTGACGTAATATGCGTTGTGACGTAATATAATAATGTTGTTCTGACAGCGGTAGCCTAGTAGCTAATGGTTTAATGGCTGCTTTCACAGTAGTCATATCACAGACTCCCATGCACTGAACATGGGCGTGCTATTTATAACAGCCAATCATCCGCTAAATAACGGAATGGCGCCACCACCAGTTAGTGCATACGGAACGCCTGCATGTGTGTGCATGTAATTTGTGAAGAGATGGACGTCATCGCCAAAAGAAAACCTTCACAAATCCACATTAAACGCTATTTATGCCTACCCTTTGTAAAAATATATGTTAAATATCACGTTTATTATTTTTTTAGGAGTTGATTGTCAAGTAAATCCGGCCGCTAGTGCATCCACGAATTGTCCCGTTACCAAAACCAATTTTACGTTTCCAGATTATCTCAATCTACACACCCGTGGAAATGTACCCGCCGGTAAGTTGCACAGTTTTTAATTGTACACCCAGACGGTGACCAGGATACAGCCACGGTGGCTCCGTGATTAGGGTCCAGGATTCGATCTCGGTATTGTCTAAAAAAGCTCTTGGGATCTGCGGTGCAGGATATGGGCGTGGCAAAGAACGTTGTCTAGGTGTTTGGGTGGGACGAAAAACTGTGCTCGCCAGATTGTTCATGGGCGGGCGGACCAACGGACGTTGCTATAGGATGTGTAAATGTTTCTGATACAACGACAATATAACATTCATCAATATAAGGAACTAGTAGTATTTTATATGTAGACAATCATCTCATTTTTTTACCATGATTTTGCATTTTTCTTATAAAGTTTTGGGGTAAAACAAAAATAATTTATTTGGCCTTCTTCCCGGTCCAGACATTTCGTAAATCAATAACACAAGGACATAGAGTTCACACTCCTTGCCTTTTTTAAAGTTTATTATTTATCAACTACTCTCTATTATTTATCAACTGCACTCTTACCTGTCCGCCCAAATCCGTTGATTTTCTACGCCCATGTGATGATATGGACGCAAATTGTAATCACCCCTTCGAGTGGAATTAGGAACATTTGTTGCGGCTTCTTAGCTGTTCGAGGTAGGTACTCATTGGCGTCTATAATTTCCCCTTTGTCGGTGATGCCAGACAGGGGGCTGGCAAGGAACAGTGTCTTGTGGTTGGGGTTGTAAAGGGGCCGAGCAAAGGAATGGTATCTTGTGGTTGGGGTGGTAACGGGTTGAGGGATGGTAAGGAGCGGAGAGCCGAGCAAGGAACAGTATCTTGTGGTTGGGGTGGTAAAGGGCGGAGGGATGGTAAGGAGCGGAGGGCCGAGCAAGGAACAGTATCTTGTGGTTGGGGTGGTAAAGGCCGGAGGGATGGTAAGAAGCGGAGGGCCGAGCAAGGAACAGTATCTTGTGGTTGGTGTGGTAAAGGGGAGACAATTTACTATTTCTTGACAGATAATTGTACATCAATTTCAGGCATGTCACCATTAAATGGTGTTAAAGTGTACCCAAATATAATGCTACCCAAAGATCCAGAATTTTACAGCTACCAAGGCAGTTTAACAACACCGCCATGTTCTGAGGCTGTTACTTGGCTTGTAGCTGAAAAACCTATACGTGTCAAACCAGAAATGGTAAGTAAATATAGTTAAATTATTTTAAGAGTAAAATGGATCGACATAAATCCTCATTTTTTATGTCGACATTCAATTAGAGAAATCGGAAGTCGTGGTGACTCATTGCGTAAGACGCTGGCTCGCTAGCCAGGAATCAGGTTTGCGCCCGGTGTGGGCAGAGAAAGATCCCCGGGACTATCCGACATGGATTTCCTATGTATGTGGAAGAGTGTCTAGTCGTTCGGATCGAATGAAAAACCTAGGTGCCGTTTACAAATTGGCGTGCACGTAAAATAACCTTTAACGGTTAGAATTGTAGGCCGTAATATCTCTCGTAGTACATTAGCCCTGTCAGACCTGATTGTGGTGGGGTGGGGATATTGGGGATATTCGATCGAACGCCACGTCACTCGATTGATATTTTCTGTCTGTTCCGTGTTTTACTCGAAATAAAATGTTGTTTAAACTTTTTCAGGTCGGTCAATTAAGAATGCTTGAATCACGACAAAAAATGACGAAAATTTATAACTATGGTAATCTGCGACCGTTACAAACGAGAACCACTCAGCATGCTGTTACAATGGTCAAATATAAACAATTCTAACATTATTAGATTCTATGTACATGTTCAATATAATAATAATAAATCATAGTAGTATGATATATTTCATTATACACATAGGGGGGGGGGGCGAATGGTTAGCACGTGCGCGCTGTATCAAAAGGCCTGTCATTGAGTCAACTGGTGTGGTTTCGAATCCTTGGTTGTACGTGGCAAAGAGTAAGGTCGCTTGTCCAATCACGTGGGTTTTCTCCGGGTCCTCCGGTTTTATCCCACTGCTAAAGACCCCTACACGCAAGCGAATTATTGAAATAAAATTAAACCATATGTTAGTCCCGAAATGACATAGTTTGTGTTGTTATACACATTGGGCCACACAACGCCTTTGATATGCATTATGTAAGTTTTAGAGGTAGAGATGGCCATTTCGCCGTTATTATGGTTCCAAAATAGAGAATGCAAAATGAATATTTCGATTAAATTGGGATACCTTATTTTGAGCGAAGGCTTAGCAAGATAGTCCCGATTAACCCAAATCCTGCCACTCTGTACGTTATGGGGTTAAACGAGGGTCAGTGCTTGGGCTGTTCCTTTTTATAGCTTATACAGCACCATTAGGAAACATTATCAGGAGCCTTATTCTCGACTATTAAGCTGATGATCCGCAGCTGTACTTTGTTATCAAGTCTTAATCTCGGGAAAGATATGTTTTGTCTATCAAAGAGTTAATGACCAACAGCTTTCTTAAATTAAATGATGATAAATCATTGGATCAAAGCAAAAACTAGAGAAACATATATATCACTTCCGTGCATGCCGATTTCCATTGGCTCTGTAGTGGTATCTTCCCTTTAAATACCTTAAGGTCTATAACCGTCTAGACGTCATGAATATGTATAACTGGTGCACGCGCATGCCGAGTACTTGAAGACGCATGGTATAAAGCTAAATAAACGTCTACCTACAAGTGTAGATTGTCGTATCATCTATCGGTAGCCATCATGTGTGTAACACTATGCAGTGTTATGCGTCGCTGGTTAGGTGTGAAAAGTACACCGGAAAACTCCCCACAGCCGACATATTACGCATACTCGGTACTGAAACCGATTGTTAACTTTCCATTTATTAGTAGTAACATTCCAATATCACAAGCTTATGGAGTGTTTGTGTCTCAGCTAATTCGTTACGCGAGAGCTTGTTCCTTTTATTCTGATTTTTTAAATAGATCGAGGCATTTGTCATCTAAGCTTCAACTACAGGGTTATTTGCGAACTAAACTTATTAAAACCTTTAAAAAGTTTTATGGCCGTCATATTGAATTGATTTGTAAATATAACATGTATTTTACTACATCGTTAACACTGTTCATTACGTGCATTTTGAATACCGATAGTCCATTGGCCAATAATAATAATAATAATAATAATAATAAAAACTTTATTTAATGAGGCAACGTATTTAGTTTGCAAAAAAAAAACTAATCTTCCATAGGTCCCTCCTAAACTACAAAGACATATATACATGTAATATCAGGATAAATTTAAAATCATTAGAAATGCAATAGCATTTTAAAGTGGGAAGTTTGATAAGTCACTCCCAAACTACAAAACATATACATTATACAAGTAGAATATAGGAAGAACACTATAATTACACACAAAATAAAATAGAATGCAGTTGCAAGTTAAAAATAATAAGTATGTCATCAGTTGAATATTATGGTTCCTACAGTGTGCAAAATAGATGAGTTTTCAGTTTAATCTTAAAATTTTCAACATTTTTACACATCTTTATATCAAAAGGCAGATTGTTCCATAAAAGACATGCAGAATAATGAAAAGTACGTTTCATGGATTCCGTTTTGCATTTTTGAAGAAAAAGAGATCTACTGGTCTGTGAACGGAGCAAGATATCCGTTTTGGAAACAAGAGATTTTTCAATAAAATGGAAATTTAGATAAAGTGGAGTATTAAATGTAATAATTTTGAATGATAAGACAATTTTATTGTAAAGAATCCTCTGTGTAAGGGTAAGCCAACCGAGTTTAGTAAATAAAGAGGTGGACGGAGTTTCAATCGGTGCATCAAGAATAGCTCTTGCTGCCCTCTTTTGTAATTTTAAAAGAATGTCTAATCTACTTTTGGTAGCATTTCCCCAAATAATAGAGCAATAATCAAATATTGGTAGTATGTAACTGTTATAAAACAAAATTCTTGTCTCGTAAGGTAAATGATCTTTTATCTTATACGCTATTTTACCGAGATTTCGTCTAATAGTTTGGATTCAGCTATGGCGGGTGTGGCGCCAGACAGAGTAAGCTTACTCTTCCGGACACCTGTTACCACTGTTTGTCGTGTATTTGCTGATTACACTATTTTGCGTATACCGTTTTTTAGGACTTCGAATTTTGTCTAATGGTTTAGATTGTTCGTACTTGGTTTTATTTTATTAATAGACTTGTGATCGTCTAGTATTTTCTTTGGTTATATTTGTAATTGTCTCCTTATTATTTCTTTTCACGTTGTGTAATTTCTCCTTAATCTCAACAGCTAAGACGTTTATCTACCAGGAATAACAATTCATAGATATTGCTCCAAAAGACTACCGTTTGGAATTTCAAGTGACCCAGAATTATTTATGACGAGAGGGTATACAGTCTTAGAAGGTCTTCAAGGGGTAGTTACAAACGCCTTGCCGTTAAATTGTGTTTAACGCTACAATTGATACAGTCTAAAACAAATAGGTTTAAACGCACAATTGTCAACACATATCATTACAGTTTGTATTGAAATAAGTAATTCTATCACAAATAGTGAAGACTGGACCACTAAATTAGTTACCGAACAATTTTTCTTTTTGGTAATTCGTTCTACATTTTCAAAGCGATATTTCTAATAATGTAAACCGCCATGACACCAGCCAGATGAAATTTTGCCAAATACCGCGACGCGTTAACCCCGCCCATTGCTTCCCTTATAAGGCCGTGTCACTACGCTCGGTAATTACTATCAGAGAATATGGGATCATAACAAATTTGCCAGTTGGCAAGATGCCCATTACATCAGACTTCTGAACAACATAGTCAATAATCAACGTTTGTTCACGTTTGATCGGGAAATTAATACCCATCCTCTACCACACGCGGCCTTTTATTGTTTGGGGCATTTTTTTCCACGCTAAAGTCATTAGCATATAATTATGGACACGAAGGCCACATATTGAAAGTGACGTATGATCACGTGAGATGGAGTGCGCATGCTTTTTCGGATTGAGACTAGTCATAGTGTTAAGCCTCATCTTAAAGCATATTTATGTTTAAATGGTTGGCCTAGTGTAGTTCATAGTGTTAAATATCATCTTAAAGCATATTTTGCTTATAGAGGAGACCTAACTGTAGTTGATAATTTGTTGATGTGTGGTACTAGAATTGGCATACCTACATCTCTCCTGTGTGATATTCTGGGTAAACTACATGACGGACACCTCGGAAATTACAAACTGTAGAGATCCTACAAAACGTTCTGGTTGGTGGATAGGACTAAGCTCTCAAGGATCAGACTTAATTTCAAATTGTGCTGTATGATGTAAACAAGCTGTGAATAAGTTTGAACCATTAGTTCCATCAGAATTTCCCGAAAGACCGTGGCAGAAAGTTGCATCTGATTTATTTGAGTTTGAAAATAATAACTATTTACTTGTCGTAGATTTTTATTCCAGGTACACTGAACTAGCTGAGCTTTCGGGACGTTCCTCAAAGTGTGTCATTAATTATCGCATTAATTACAGGATATTTTATTTCATTTACTCTTGTTTCAACTCCAACTCGTACTGTCCGTTCCCAGAATAACAACCTTCTTCCTCCTTCATATCCTGATACATCCTATTGCAAACTTTACTTTTACTTTGCTGCTCGGGAGTTGGATGGCCGAATGGTTAGCACGTGCCCGCTGTATCATAAGGCCTGTCATTGAGTCAAATGGCGTGGTTTCGAATCCCCGGTTGTACGTGACAAGGAGTAGGTTCGCCCGTCCATCATGGTGGGTTTTCTCCGGGTCCTCCGGTTTCCTCCCACTGATAAAGACCCTTACGCGCAAGCGAATTATTGAAATAAAATTAAACCATATGTTAGTCCCGAAATGACCTAGTTTGTGTCAAGTGGACGTTAAACCCGATGTTTCTCTCTCTCTCTCTTACTTTGTTGCTCCATTTCTCTGGAATTCTCTCTGTCAACAATTTAAGCAGTTCGATTCAACGGCTATGTTAAAACGTAGAGCAAACACCCACCTTAGGCGGTAATGCTGGCTGGAGATTTAGTATTTTTATATTTTTATTTTACGCTTTTAATCAGCCAATTACATATATACTGTTATATTTATTTTAGGTTTTATACGTTGTTTAAATCGATTCTAACTTATTTATGCGATTTCTTATAACAATGTGACCAGTGACATAGACCCGTCATTATATTACGGGTAATAAATAAGTTATTATTATCTATTATTATTATTATTTTTTGTTACGGGGACCTCATATGGCTCTTACAAATGGCCGTTAAAGGAGTGGCACGTGAATCTGTCGGAAACACAACAACTGAACGAATAAACAAAATAATTTACTCAAGTCATAAACATAATAATTTATATTTTGAAAACATTCTTCCTCAAAATGATTTATATTTAATTCTCTGCACTCTTCTGCCAGCTAAATGTTGCACAGGTCTCAAATTACCATATGTAGCAATGACTTCATTTCCCATTCGTGATTCAACTGTTCGCAAAGCGTCAACCTGAAAAACAGAATAAATAAAGTTCTGGTAACACTAACCAAATAATCAACCTAAGTTCTGGTAATACGAACTGAATCATCAACCTAAGTTCTGGTAACACTAACCAAATAATCAACCTAAGTTCTGGTAATACGAACTGAATCATCAACCTAAGTTCGAGTAAGATTAACTGAATAATCAACCGACGTTCTGGTAAGATTAACTGAATAATCAACCTAAGTTCGGGTAACACCAATTAAAGAAAACTTTTGAATTATAGGAGTTTTGGGATATATGCATGATGTTTACCTAAATATAATTATTTACCAAAAACATGACATCGTCGGTGTTGCCCCACTGACCACTGCTTCTCGGTTGTTTTATTTACAAAGCAGTGGGGTGATTTGCCCCATAACAAAATGCCCTGGACAAATAGCAGATCTACATACATATATACACACGTCTCACAATACGTTAAATTGAAACTTACAATTTCCCATTTAATAAGTGCGGGATGTTCAGCTACCATCCAATAAACAGACTCCGAACATGGCGGTGTTGTGAAACTACCAGTGTAGTTATAAAACTCTGGATTCTTGGGTAACATTATATTAGGGTACACTTTAACGTCTTCTACAGAGTTGCCTGAAATTAATAACAACTTAATTATCTGCCCCGAGATATTATCTCTCCAGACTGGTTAGGACTAAAACTAGTTATTATTGTTCTCCATCTAGCATAGGTCTTCTTTCTTTCCCACATTTATGACTTTCAGTTAGCACATATGAATAAGGGAATCCACCTAGGTGATTACGTCACAGCCTATAGATTCCTTTGACTAGGCTGACAACAAAATCTAATTGGTAAACCCCTTCAATATTTATACGAGATATAAGTGTGACATATTGGGCTCTTTGTGTTATGGACCAAGGGAGATCATCGCTAGTCTTATTGCATTAACTGGACGTTCCTTCTTTCAATAGGCTGTCCCTTTTCTCGCCTTTTGCACATAGTTAATATTGTTGGCTTTTCGGTCTAGAATCCCGCAGAAGAGCGGGTTGAACTGATATTTTCTGTCAAGTTTTAGTCAATATTTAGAGGCGGAAGGATAAAATCGTGACGAGGTTGGGTACGATGATATGTGCGGGGGATATTTACATGTTTATAACATGCTAATTCAAAGTTTCAGCGGTCAACCTCACACAAACACTTGAGCAAAGACTTTTGGTAAATTAAAAAAAAAATCTAAAACATACCACATTTTTTGGATCCTCGGGAATGTAAATTACAATAGGATGGGAATTTATTTCCAGTGTCTGTTGCATAACATTGATCTCCTCTCGTCTCTCGCAAACCCAGCATATTATTGAACTTGATTCTGATGCTCTCCATCAGACAAACGGGTCCTGGAACAAGACAATTATGTTAATGAATACTGTATACGCCATGCAGTGTGCTATGGGGTGGGGTGGGAGTTGTCTATTTTTCGTCGAGTTATTTGCCCACCAACGTGTACACGGGACGTCGGTTTTCCACCCCATCCAGATGACCCAGATTATGTTCTCGGCCAATACGGGGATGGAACCTCCTTGCTAGGGGACCTGCCACAGCTCACGGCCAATACGCGGATGGTGAGATGCCACAGTTCTAGACCAATACGGGGATGGAACCGCCTGGTGCATATAAAACAGTAATATTAGAATCGTGCGGGGCTGGATTAACCATTAAACAAAATAAACACGTGTTTAGGGCATCAGGGGACACCACATAAATTCTGCTTTGTTAGATGACGAATTCAAAATGTTTAATTTAAAAATTAATTAAAAATTTGTAATTAGTTTTTCATTGTTTTTGGTCTTTTCTTACTATTAGCTTTTTTGTCTCAATATATTATGATGACATGTATAAACCCTCTGAAAAACTTTAACGATATGCTCGACGGATAGTTTACAGATAATTAAAGATTACATTTTGAATTGTATACTAAATTGGAGCACCAAAGGCTTCTACGTGTTTAGGGCCTCTATAGAGTCTTGATCCGGTCCTCATGAAATATTGTTGTCGGTGGAAGCAGACAGACATGTTACTCGTTATTGTCTATAACCTGAATATAGTTTTAAAATAATTCGTCCTGTCTTCTCTTTCCAACATTTTACGAATTATTATTCGAAAACTAAATCAAATGGGGTTTAGCGTCCTATTGTTCTGCTCCGAGTGAGCTAATGAAGACGGACATACACCATACAGTGCGCTACGGCCTACTGTCATATCGAATTTCAACTTTCAAGGGACCTCGATTTTTTGTCCCATCCGAACGACTAGACAGCTTTCCTTGTCAGACCCTCCGTCCTGCACCATTAACAAGGGGACATCACACCGGAAAACCCGGGAGCGAACCCGCGGCCTCCAGGCTAGCGAGGCAGCGTCTTACTCACTTAGCCACCGTGGCTCTCCCGAAAACTAAAACACTCTCTGTGTGATTTTAGAGCTACAGAATCGCTTGAAAACTACAATGACTGTAAAAGTTGAATATCTAATAGGAATATCAGTCCAAAAATCTATTCATTATTTCCAAAGTTATTACGACTTGAATATTCCACCGATTTGTGCTGGGCCCTATGTAACAAGACGACCGACATCTTTTTTCTGCTATGAACCAACTTAGTCGATGGGTCGGTTTTTAAAACATCCGATTGGATTTAATCCGGGCGATTATCTTGCGTTTGTATTATAATTTTGTTTTCTTAATTAAATGTTAGATAATTAATGAGTACATATTAGCGTAAATAAAACATACATTATGCAAGAGCTAAATCTGCCTATTGCAGGTCTCTCTTTAGGCCTGAATTATTTTCTAAATTATTAATTAGACATTAATTGACTGATCCAGGCCTTAATCAACTCTCGATGGCATCGCATTTCTCCGATATTAAATAGATTAGAACGGTTCAGCCATATTTTGATTTAATCTAAAAATGGAGGAGCGAGACTGAGCTTCGAACAACCAGTACGGTGGTTGAAATTATTGCACGCATCTTGTCAAACCTTCAAAGGCTAATATCTTAGCTCGCAATAAAGTAATTTGAATGAAATTTTCAAATTATTTATTTTACATTATATACCGTACTATTATAGCAAGAATGGCTAGCTCTTTATCTAAATCTTACGTAATGTATCTTTAAGCCATGAGAAATTCGATTTGTTTTCTCGGGAAAATACACATCACGCATCGTTACTTAAAGCAAAACAAAATACCCAAGCCATTAGGTTACTCAACGTCTCGTACACTTACCATAATCTTCAAAATCTTTAATTGATGAAATTTTTTCTATAAATTCTTTAAAGCCCTCATTCTCTTCTCCTTCATTAAACTGAATAGAAAGTTTATATACATATACACTAATATACACGGCTGTAGTACTGATAAACTAATACTCTTTACTTATCAACATATACACGATTGTAGCACTGTTAAATTAATACTGTTCACTTATGAACATAGGCCTTTTACTAATGAAAACGCTGTCATTAAATCATATAAGTGGTTAATTTTTATAACCTAATGCTTAGTATGTATAGAAAATGATTAGAAATTATACAGTAGTCATTATTTAGCAGGAATGTAACTTTGAACGACAATCTATTAAAACACAGATCCTATTTCGTTTCGTATTTTATAGTTCAAAATTTCGTTTTACTTGTGTTTATTACTACACTAGGATCTGAAAGAGTTGTTATATTACCGAGGTGAGGGATAAGCCAATGAAACAGTCTATTACAGCGACTTCTTGGCGTACCATGCATGGAACTGTGGGTAAACAACTAGAAACGTCAAAGCTGATTGATTAAGCAATGTCTAACGTCATAGGGTCAAAAGTCACTCGTAGACCCCCGACACGACCTTCGAGTACAACTTGTCAGATCTTCATGTAGTGTAGGCTATCGAAAATATAAAAAACAAGAAACGAAATATAGATCTGTATTTTAATCAATGGAGATCTATACCATTCAATAATCACGGTTTTAATATCTTATATTTAACTGACTATTAAACATTACCTGTACATAAAGGACGTTTAGAAACGTTATTTGTTCAAACAATCTGATTCAAAATACAGATCTACATTTCGTTTCGTTTTCTTTATACTTTCAATGGCCTACACTACATGTAGATCTGGCTATTTGTAGTGGAAGGCCGCGTCAAAGGTTATACCAGCGGGTTTTGACCTATGACGTCAGACATTTGATTAACCAGTCAGTGTTGATATTTCTAGTGGGTTACCCACAGTTCCGTAACATACCGTTTCATTCGCCAATGCCTCATAACATCCAGAATGCGAGTTGTATAACAACTCTTCCAGAACCTATTTTAGTAAATTCAAGTTAAACGAATTTTTGAACTATAAAAAACGAAACGAAATAGGATCCGTGTTTTAATGAGATTGTTGTTTATAAGTCAAAGATAACAATCTTATAGTGTAGGCAACTTTCAAATAGACGTGAAATAAACATTTAATTTTTACATCCATTATATCATCGGACGGAGCAGATATTTCTGAAATATTTAAAAGAAACAATGAAACAAAAGTCAACTCACTGATAATGGAATGGCGATGATAGCCACACCATCCGGGTACTGACTGGCGTCGACTAGGCTGTGGAAATCTTCACGGTAATGTACTACATGCGCCTGTTAATTATACAAAAAAAACATAACATGCCAGATAACGCATGTCGTTAACAAGGGCGATAACCCTGTATATGTTTATTGTGTTGATTTTGTTGTTGTTTTATAAGAATCGAGTAAACTTTCAAAGATACATATATAGGCATATGGGCTCAATAAATGTTAGCGGAGGGGGGTGAAATGCCAGCCGTCATGCCCCCCCCCCTCCGCCCCCCGAAAAAAAAACAAAGAAAGTTTGGAAAATATGACGGCACAAAGTAGAGTGACTCCAGACACAGAGAGAGGGTATAACGTCCACTCGAAACAAACAAGGTCATTACGGGTCTAGCACATGGTCCAATATTATTACAATAACTTGATTGGGCGTAGGGGTCTTTAGCAGTGGGAGGAAACCGGAGGACCCGGAGAAAACCCACGAGGTTGGACAGGCGACCCTACTCCTTGTGACATACAACCGGGAAATCGAAACCACGCCAGTTGACTCAATGAAAGACCTCATGATACAGCGAGTACGTGATAACCATTCGCCCCCCCCCCCCCCACATGGTTACTCGAAGTAGCTCTAACGTTAACAGCAATTCTACAACTCAATCTTTAAGTGACATTTAACGATTGGAAAACACATTAAAAGAACACGTTTTGTTATGGGAAAACAGTTTTATTCTAAAAGCGTGACGTTGTGCTTACTAACAGTAGGAGGATATTTGTCGAAACTACGTGTTTTTAGAATAAAACCAGAGATTGATTTCCCATAAAAAATGTTTTCTGTTAATTGTTCTGCTGCCTAGGCCTACATGTCGTATGTATATAATCAGTGCACAGACACAAATCCATTTGGTCAGTCTAAGATAATGGCGACTGGGGCGTGAAGTAACATGGACTTTACATGGTCGCAGCATCACGATCGATCGATTTAAATAAAATTTTGCATTTTGTCCATAGACTAACCAGTCAACATTATTGTCGACATACTAATAACTGTAATGAAATATGACACAATACCTCAGCGTTATAGCTTTTTCCATTGAATAAGTGTTCAGACTGACGAGGTCCGTAAGTTGCACCAAAATGAAGGGTAATACTATCCAAGATGTAACCAATACGAGAGTTTTTTCGAACTCCTCGGAGTACCGCAGTTCTTCCCTCGGGTAGCCATTTGGGATAAACGCCTACAAAAAAAATATTATCTCATTCCGGTTATCCTAGATATGATGTCATTAAAGATGAATTGTGTGTTAGCTAAATCTGTATATTGCAGGTCTTTATTTTAGCTTCAACTGTTATATAAACTATTATTTTAGACATTTATTGACTTGACATGCCTATAATCCACTCTCTAGATCATCAGAAGGTAGGAATTGAAATGGATGAGAATACCAGCCAGATATCAATGGATAATTAGGTCTCGTTTGTCTATTACCGTGGCCACAATAAAAATAATCTTGCTAGATACGACCATTTAGATTTTTATTCCTGTGAGTGGTCATGCCGGTAGAGCCCTCGGTGCACCGCTGTCCCCCAGGGATTGAAAGCACGACCACAAGCTCGTCCCAGGGTTGCGTGATATACCCCCAGGGCCGGATCAAGTTGTAGGGGACTGTCTGTTTAGCAGACTCTCAAATTAGTTCTAAAAAAGATTGGTACCTAGATTGTATACGTTTTGTGCCAAATAAATCTATCTATCTGTCATACTGGCATACAGATTGTATTTTTGTGCGTTTGACGGACAATTTCACTGCTGATACAAAGGTGATAATATCACCCCCCCCCCCCCCCTACTTCTCCCAGCTCTGTACACGATGTTCTCTTTGCCTAACCAAATATTCCTACAAAATAGTCTTACAGTTAGAATATAGCAATGATATTTTGTAACATCATTGAAACATCAACTGAAAGTAACATTGCAAATATCTGTCTCCGTGGTACTAAGGAACTTTTTATTTTATTGATCTGTTCCCATCCAACACGGAGAAGGGCGGCATTATTTAAAGGTTTGCATGTAATATTGCAGTAAAACACACCCGGCATTATGCATTAAAAGTTCTGTCTGATGTACAAAGTTCTGATAATAATAGCGTCGTCTGGATTTTCATTGTTACCATTCTTGATATAATAAACAAAGCCTCCATAATCTATGTTTAAATTAAATTATTAAATAGCGATCTTGTTTTAATCCATAAAAAAATCATGGCAATCCGATGAGTTGATAATGAGCTTGTTATTTGAATACATGTCAAATTAAAAAAAACCTATAACACTTAAGGCAAAATGAAAGACATACAATATGTATCTCTTGCCAAAGTCATTTTTACCACAACAAATGTATGGTGCCTTGTTTAATATTTGCTTTATATTCTACAGTGTGGGGAAACCGGAGGGCCTAGAGAAAACCCAAGAGGTTGGGCAGGTTGGACAGGTTACCCTGCGTACAAGCTTCATTTCAATGTCAGATCGTATGACCTAAAGCGCACGTGTGTGGGAGACCACCCAGATAACAGATAATCATTGTTTTGGGTGTAAACATAATTCGACATACCATTATTTTCCATCCTTCCGGATAAAGCTTCCTGATGAGGCATGGCATAGTATAAATGGGAATCCATATCTTCTACCTGGTCAAAATAAGGCAGATTGATAGGAGACTGGAAAGATCCATCCTCATCACAACATCTGTTCCTTGGTTCATCAATAGCATACCAACAAGATGGCCCTAATAGAATAGAAATGAATTATAAATCATCTGATCATTTGAGTTAAAAACATTGTAGGAGTAAATCATCATTACTATTTCTACTTAAAAATAGATTCCAACGAATGTATTTATAGGGTATTTATTTCCCAAAAAAATATGGCAAATTTGGTAAATATGGAAAGTAGAGACGCCCAATCTTACAAGAAAAATACAGTGGACTCTGTCAAATCCGACATCGTACGGGATCGTTACAATGTGTCGGATTGCATATTTCTATGTCCAGGTCGTTATCAATCTGAGGTATTCGGGTTCAAACGGCATGCGCAACGAATGTTTCCAGCGGGTACTAGGAATAGTTTTACGATTGTAAATTCGTCGTTACTTGGTTATTCAATTGCAAACGTTCCTCGGTTATACATTAGAAAACGTTCCTCGGTTATACATTAGAAAACGCTACCCGGTTATTTAATTACACACGTTACTCGGTTATAGATAAAAGACGTTACTTTTCTATTCAATAGAAGACGTTAACCGATTGTGCACTAGAAAACAGAATTAACGGATGCTTCTATAGAATCAGACCAATCAAAATATCCAGAATGGAGAATGTGTCTTACCATTAATAGCACGGTTGTCATATGAAAAACACGAGTCTCCAAAAGCAGGGCACAACAATCGACCTCCTGATCCTGGACGACTGGGTTGTCTTGATGGACGAATTAGTGGTGGAAGGGTGCTTCTCTGTGGAAGAACTCGGTCGACAAGGGCCACTAAATTGGATTGGTTATTTGGGTCTTTGGTTGCAATCGCTAATAGTTCTGTTATATCTTGATTTCGCCTTGGTGTACTTCTGGATTGGGAGGGGTCATATTGGTTCCTAGCAGTATACTGTGGGTCTCTGGAGCTTCGATATTGATCTACAGGGGAGGAAATGCGGCCAATATTTCTCCTGGTGGGATCGATTCGTGTACGAGAAGGATCCAGACGTGTACGCGTGGGGCCATTATTGGTGTTGGTACGTGTAGGGTCAACACCAATATTCCTCCTGGAAGACCTCGTGGGATCAGTTGGAGTACGTGTAGGGTCAACACCATTATTCCTCCTGGAAGACCTCGTGGGATCAGTTGGAGTACGTGTAGGGTCAACACCAATGTTCCTCCTGGAAGACCTCGTGGGATCAGTTGGGGTACGTGTTGGGTCAACACCAGTGTTCCTCCTGGAAGACCTCGTGGGATCAGTTGGGGTACGTGTTGGGTCAACACCAGTATTTCTCGTTGAAGATCCAGTACGAGATGCGGTACTGGTAGTATGCTTGGAAGTACGGGTGGGATCAGCTTGAGTACGTACAGGATCACGTGGTGTGCCAGAAGGGTCAATCGTACCAGTTTGGCCTGGACGGGGCGCCTTAGGTTGTGTAGCAACAGCTATTTTAACAAGATTTATAAGGCCCGCCATTTCGGCGGTTGGTGGAAACGCCTGGCTAACAGATGCAAAGCACATGATGGTCAGGCAAAAATTTCCTAAAACACCCATCGTGTTCTGAAAAAAGAAAAGTTCCATTCCGTTTAAATGAAATCTAAATTGTTTGTTTTAACATAGATTAACATAAAAATGGGTCGATAATCCTAATACGGTTAAATGGAATCTACACAGATTAGCATAATAATGGTTGAACATGCATTGTGCAAGAGCTTAATCTACCTATTGCATGTCTTTCTTTTGGCCTGAAATGTCTCTAAATTATTAATTAGACATTAATTAACTTATCCAGACTATAATCAACTCTCGATGTCATAATCCGATCTGCTGCTCAATGCTCATTCATGATTAAATCAAAAATTGGATAATCGAGACTACCGACTTTAGTTATAATGATCGAGGCTAGGCCTAAAATTCTTATGACTAAATTGTCGGTTCAGAGTGGATGAATTTGACTGAAATTTTCAGCAAATTCCCGTTACATTATTTAATTTTTAACTATTATAGCGAGAACTGCCAGCTCTTTAGCTAATCTCCCATAATAGTCCCAGTACAGTTAAATGAAATCTACATTTACACAGATTAACGTGGTAATGGGTCGATAACACTAATACGGATAACATCAAAGCTTCAAACTAAATAACCAGACTATAATTTCTGAGATGAGATTAATATAATTTATATTTATGTTTGGAAAGTAAAGTTTACATTAAATATTAGTATAAATTTAAATGGTGATAATCGGTAATCGGATCTCCACCTAAACATCTCTTCGTATAACCCAATTGTTCAGCTAGGGTAGTAAATTTCTAGATATCTAACTATAACACCAATTGTTCCACTCAATCCACTCAACTAGATCATATTTCGGGACTAACATATGGTTCAATTTTACTTCGGAGAAAACCCATGAGGGGAGTCGAAACCGCGCTACTTGACTCAAAGACAGGCCTTATGATCCAACGTGCACGTCGTAAGAGAACCACTCTTAGGATCTAAGGAACTTAATGAATTTATCGAAACTGACGCAGTTATATGGAGAAACAATTACTGGTTTATTATACACAAGCACAACGTTTCGATAAGTATTCTCTTATCGTTATCAAGAAACTTGAACAGCTTACGCAGGAAAACCCCAGAAATACCAATGGAAACTCAACCCACCACAAGACAGATTTCTTCACCAAGACAGTAGTGAAACTAACTAATAAAGTACTATCCGAAGCCTTTATAATATAGATCTGTATGTTAACGAACTAGTACCCGAAGCCTTTATAATTACCGAGTTAGTAACCAGACCCGTGTGGTTTAATATCCTACTTACCCATTAAGTAATCCACTGGTTTGTTTAGGATGCGACACGTAATCTGTTCGAGAAACCCTCGCATTTCAAGCCATAAATATTGCCTCTGTATTACACCACAAATCCAAGAAAGACAATGAAATTTCTTTCTCTTTGGAATAATGATCTAATAAATAAATGCTTACCGTGTAAAGTCCGCCGCCACACAAAGTGAGTTCGCAGACAATTTCCACTGACGCTTTGCTTCACCGTTTGAAAACCACAGTTCAGATTTTCTTTATATATTCCAATATATATCACATTAAAGTGAATCTCACACTTTTATAACAAGATAGAATTTTTAGTGTAAAGGCAAATTGACGGAAAGACGCATTGGTCCTCCTGTCGTTTGAAGGGTATGGATGCGGATGAGGGGTGGGGTTGTGGTGGGGTGGGGGTGACTCATCGATCGTTTGTTATTAAATCTAATGGTTCATCTGTAGTTTAAAGGATGGGGTGCGAGGGTTGTAGTTAAATCTATTGGTTCATCTGTAGTTTGAAGGATGGGGTGCGAGGGTTGTAGTTAAATCTATTAGTTCATCTGTAGTTTGAAGGATGGGTGCGAAGGTTGTAGTTAAATCTATTGGTTCATCTGTAGTTTGAAGGATGGGGTACGAGGGTTGTAGTTAAATCTATTGGTTCATCTGTAGTTTGAAGGATGGGTGCGAGGGTTGTAGTTAAATCTATTGGTTCATCTGTAGTTTGAAGGATGGGGTGCGAGGGTTGTAGTTAGACCTATTGGTTCATCTGTAGTTTGAAGGATGGGGTGCGAAGGTTGTAGTTAAATCTATTGGTTCATCTGTAGTTTAAAGGGCTGGAGTGTAGTTAGACCAGTTAACTCATTTGTAAAAAGAGGGCGGCACGTTGGTGTGCACGTAAAAGAACATATTGAAGTGTAGCTGGGCAAAATTGCGTCTATAGCACACCACATGTCATGTGCCCCTCCTCACTATACAGATCAGTACAGAAACGAAGGGCCTTTAACCCCATTGCATTTCATTGTTTGTCTTATGAATCGTGTCTTTAAATGGAATGAGCTTTATCGTCCTACTATTTAGTCTGGGCTAATGAAGACGGGTATACACCGTGAAGTGTCTATGCGGGAAATTTCGATGGACAGTAGGACTACGGCCTACTTTTATTCCGAATTTCAATAGTCGAGGGTTCTCTAGCGTGCACGCCAATGTGTACAAGGGACCTCGGTGTTTCATTCCATCCGAACGGCAACATTTTGTCTCTTGTCAGGCCTTCCTTCCTACACCAGTGACAAGTGGAAAGCACGACGGAAAATTCCGATAAACTTTTGAGGGCGTGACCAAAGCAGGAATGGAACCAATGTAGCTGCCATGTGTTTAAAGGTGTATTTAAAATCGAGCAATTTAAGACGTGTTGGTTTTTGTCTTATGCTAGGTTCCCACCCGTTAGGACGGGATTCTCCCGATTGAGTCCACGATCTGGTTCGTGCAGATACGTTTCGATCACCACGATTACTTCGCGATTAACATTAGTGGCTAACATTATAATAACATTGTAAAATATATGTCATAGACTGCTTAATGTTCTAGTTGTTTAATTAAGAATACCATGTTTTTATTTTTTTTTATTTTTCGAATAAAAAAAATCCATATATTATGTTGGATTGTTTCAAATCGTGAGTAATTTTTATTTATGAATCTAAATAAAATCATTTATTATGTGTACCTAGAACATTTATTGCCACCGCCATTTTACATGATGATGTTTATGGGAATTTGTCAACATCCCTCTGATTATACTGTACCATGCATTGATAAAACTCGACTCGATATGAAATAAATTCAAACAGCTATTTTAGAGGCCCATCCACTTGTGTGTGTGTGAGGGGGGGGGGGGGGGTAATGAAGCTTTTTAAATATGAATTATGGAATTATTGCTGTTAATCGTGTTGCTACTAAATTTAAGTAAAACATGTAGTTCATCTGATGGTAATATTTGTCATATTTCTTTATGCTACGCTCAGACAATCAAGGATGCTGGTTCCGGGCATCACCAAACCTTCTAGTTTTTTTTTCTTCTTTTTGTTGGGAGGGGCGGGGTAACGCGTGCGCATGAAATTACAAGGTCTGTCATTGAGTCAAGTGGCGTCGTTTCGATCCTTGAACGTGACAACGAGGGGGGTCGCTTGGCCAACCTCGTGTGTTTCCCAAGTGAATTATTGAAATAAAATTGAACCATACCCACAGTCGCAGACCCTCAATACGTTGAAGACTTGGAGGTTCTGGGTGACCGATACTAATGTTAACATTAAGAAGAACCAGAATCCAGTCAAATTTTAATTATTTCTAATATATAATTACTCCATGAAGCGTTACTCTTCATTAGTTTTAAAGGAGGCAAGTCTCTAACTCAATATCATCCACAGTCTTCGACATTGTAAACACGACTTATTGGTCAATTCAAATCAACATTGATGTTGTTATCTTACCGTGAAACGAAGGGCTTCTGGTATCCAATATTTAAGACACAATGGCTTAGTTGTTGTTGGTGTTTGTATTGTTTCCTGGAAACTGAAAGGGTCTCACTCGTTTGAAATGCATAATAAGTTATTTAAGTTGTGTAAAAGGAACTGACATCTAGTCCAGTCGCCCATCAATTCTGTTCTTAAAGAGCACATAAAATGCCATATAAACGTGATATGTACTTGAAGCCAATTTTTATTATAAACACTTTACACGCATTTCACACGCATCTGATTACAATTATTAAAGTTAAAATGTTACATGCTCTAAACACGGTTCGCGTTACACAAGTTACTTCAACTAAAACCCATTTCATGTATTCATTCTTTAACCTTGTAGTACTGGTAGGTCTACTGACCTTTAACCTGGTAGGTCTATTGACCGTTTACCTGGTAGGTCTACTGGTCTTTAACCTGGTAGATCTACCGGCTTTTAACCTGGTAGGTCTTCTGGCCGTTTACCTGGTAGGTCTACTGGCTTTGAACCTGGTAGGTCTTCTGGCCGTTTACCAGGTAGGTCTACTGGTCTTTTACCTGGTAGGTCTACTGGTCTTTAACCTGGTAGGTCTACCGGCTTTTAACCTGGTAGGTCTTCTGGCCGTTTACCTGGTAGGTCTACCGGCTTTTAACCTGGTAGGTCTATCAACCGTTTACCTGGTAGGTTTTTAAACATAGTTTATTGTACTAGAACATAAATAAAGTACAAACGGATTGGGACAAAAGTTACGAAAACATACCGATGACCTCTCCACATACATTGTAATTGATAGTTATAATAGTACAATTGATAAGAACATACAAAAACGAAGGATATAAATGTTATAATAAATAGTTAAAAATCCCATTATTAAGAAATTCTTAATATTTGGATTAGGAAAGTAATTTTTTCGACATGCCCAAAGAATTTCGCTGGGGGATTTAGTATCTTCTTTTGAAATTCAATATGAGTATTCACCCTTGCGAATAAAAAATCGAAATCGAAAGTTGGAAGGGGAAAAACTCACAAAGTAGTAGTATTATGTACACAAAAATAAACAACATCAAAAACAAAACCAAAAGCAAAAAAAAACCCAACATTTTTACAGTTGTGCAAAAAAAAAAAAAATTGAAACCACACTACGCATACTTATCAATTGAACCTTTTAGTTGACTTAATATATTTTTGTACTTGATTAAAGACATAATATTTAAACTAGAATCACCCCATAGAAGTATATTTAAGGTTATGGTTCCTTTCTTTCGATATCAAACAAGTTACATTCCATAAGATAGTGCTTTGCGTTTTCTGATGACGCGCCACAAGAACATTTAGGATTTTCAATTAAATTTATCCGAAACAGATCTGAGTTGAGGGAACTGCACCCGTGACGAAGTTTTGCGTGCAAAATACTCAATTTTCTATTACCGCTCGCATAATAATTTGGAACCTTTATTATCTCGAATCTCTCAAACAATTTTTTTTAAAAGCTTTGATATTTTCTATTTTCTTTGTTGATGAATCCAATAAGTTCCAGTCTCGAATTGTTGACGGAAAGAACGAATTTTTATATAATGATGTTCTACAGAAGGGTGGGGAAATATGATCACTATTTCTTAAGTTATATCTAAGTGTATTGCTTTCAAAGGAATGAATAATATCAAGTAAGTATTGGGGTGCGTTAGTGTTTAAAATTTTATGTAGGGTGGTAAGACGTCTTATACTCCGGCGTTCAGAAAACCTGTTCCAACCAGATTCATGATAAAGCGCTGCTCGGCTACATAATTTTGGAAGTCCAGTGACTATTCTAGCGACCTCTAATTGAATTATTGAATTTTTTCGAATTTTTTCTGCGTCGGTTGACGAACAGCTATCCCAGACTTCACAAGCATATTCAAGAATTGAGCGTATCAAGCGAGCTCCTAGTTGTAGTATATTTTAGCCTTCTTAGTATATTTAGTCGTTTGGAGGCTGACCTGGTAGGTCTACTGGCCTTTTATCTGGTAGTTCTACTGGACTTTTACCTGGTAGGTCTACTGGCCTTTAACCTGGTACGTATATTGACCGTTTACCTGGTAGGTCTACTGGACTTTTACCTGGTAGGTCTACTGGCCTTTAACCTGGTACGTATATTGACCGTTTACCTGGTAGGTCTACTGACCTTTAACCTGGTAGGTCTACTAACCTTTCGATTGTCTGTCTTTTTCTGGATTTTCCACCCAAGCCCGATTCTCATTTAAACATGCATTATGCAAGAGCTAAATCTGCCTATTGCGGGTATTTCTTTAGGCCTGAAATGTTTTCTAAAGTATTAATTAGACATTAATTAACTGATCCAGGCCTTTATCAAACTCGATGGCATCAGATTTCTCCGATATTAAATAGATTAGAATGGTTCAGCGATACTTTGATTTAATCAAATATGGAGGACCGAGACTTAGCTTCGATCAACCAGTACGGTGGTTGAAATTATTGCACACGTCTGTCAAACCTTCAAAGGCTAATATCTTCGCTTGCAATAGAGTAATTTGAATGAAATTTTCAAATTATTCATTTTACATCATCTACTTTCGAACTATTATAGCAAGAATGGCTAGTTCTTTATCCAAATCTTACATAATGTATCTTTAAGAACTATTGGAATTAGAAATTGATGGATGCTTTGAAATTAACATCTCGGTTGGGAGTGATTACTCTGGCCCATCGCGCGATATCTGATACCACTTCAGCACATTTCAAAGGTGGCACCAAGTCATCCAGGTGGTTCGGGAAGCCGAGGTTCAACGAGAGAGAGAGAGAGAGAGGGGGGGGGGTAACGTCCACTTGACACAAACTGGGTCATTTCGGGACTAACACATAGTTCAATTTTATTTCAACAATTTGCTTGCACGTTGGGGTCTTTAGCAGTGGGAGGAAACTGGAGAACCCGGAGAAAACCCACGAGGTTGGACAGGCGACCCCACTCCTTGTCACGTACAACCGGGGAATCGAAACCACGCGAGTTGACACAATGACAGACCGTATGATACAGCAAGCTCTTGCTAACCATTCGGCCATCTAACCCCCTGTCCCCTTTTGCACAAATATCCACTTAATTGTATGGGGTGGAGGTGGGGGGGGGGACCCGCACGAAACTAACCTGGTTATATAGGCTATATCTTTAATTCATAAAAACCATGAAGCTTGACTCGAGGGCTGACCTTTTCATATAAACCATTCGGTCATTTACTCAAATCCAAGCGAATTTATCAGGGACTGTAAATTAAAGGACAATATTAGTTTAAGTCATTATTACATATTTGATAGAACTAGTTGAACTCGTTCTAACTGTAATTTTAACAAAGAGATCTCTGCTACGATAAGTGCGGAATGAAGATTTCCTCTCACAGCCTCATATAACAACTTTTGATCTTCGAAGGATATATTAGTGAGCAGAAATTCGCCCGTGTATCTATTATCACTCGTCACTTCAGTCAGTTATATAAAGGATAATTCGTGTTTTCCTTTTGCTTTCGTCACTTCAGTTTCTTGAAATCTACATTACGCATCTATTGTAACAATGATCTCTCTGTTAAAATTATATTTGGAACGTGCTTAACCAGTTCTATCACATATGGAATATTGGCTTACACCAATATTGTCCTTTAAATGGAGGTAATTGTAAACGAGACATTTATAAAATCCATCTGTATAACTCCGTAGTAGCTAAAAATAACCTTACGTGTAAGACTTACTAGCAAACAATCTCTAATGGTTTTAGAATTTGATTTACAGAAGAAAAAAGTTAATATTGAGAGCTATTAACCCGTCCCGACGCTATTACTAATAAACCGATTCATTTCAAAGCAATATTAGGCGTATATTAGACGTAAGGCTATTACTTACCAACAATTCATTTTAGATTGACATGGAATGGTTGACGCCATTATATAGACATACATGTTTTATTGTGAAAGTATTAAACATGTCATCTAGAAAGGTTATCACGATTAACAAGGGTTTTATTGTATTCTTATATAAATAAATGTCAGACCTCGTACTATCATATAAACTTCAAGTGTTTCTAAAGGTCATTAATTACTTACAACATTATTCCTATTTTATACTCCCATCTTGTGCATTAATACCATATATAGTCTAACAGGTGAATTATTTAAGATTTAGATAAATATTTAGATAACATATTTATTTCCCCTACAGTCAACACCCCATTCTGATCCTCTACCATGTTTGCACCTAAATGAGCAGAAATATGGTCTCAAAACGTCTGATTACATAGAATGCTCGGGTAATCTCCCGTACCTCACGCCAAACTTGACGCTGTCTCCACCCCACCTCCCACACCCACCACCACCTGTTCAAATTCTCGAACCTTTCCTTGGTACCTCATTTGGTGCCATACAAGCTGTATATGTTATCTATATCAGAGATAGACCCACAGAACAGACTTTTAAACACCCATAGAAACCACAAACCCATGACCATTTGTGAATCGACATTCAGACCTCTCGACGCATGTATTTCTATCACTCTACTTCCGGAAACCTCCACATCTCTGGTTACAGCGCTTCACGTTTTCTTCGTCATGTATATTGTTAACCACTCCCGCCACACAATATATTTCTTGTTTGCATACAAAAGGAGTTTAATTTCAGTAATAAATTATTTTTATTTCCTTCAACAGATAATTCAGAGTAAATATAAAATTATACATTTTCTTCTTTTAATCAACCAATCGCCATTACGTTATCATGGTAATAACGTGTGAAGAACATCCAGATAGTTATAATCTGCTCAGTCCTGAAGAATAATGGATTATTGAAATGAAGTGAAATGGGGTTTTACGGTCTACTTGTTTCCACCAAAAAGACGCGTACATTCAATTTAACAGGAGAATTTTACCCGAAAAGCGGTGTTTCCGCCGGATCGAATCTGGAACCAACTGGTTCGTGAGCCAGCGCAACATTCACTGGGTCACCGTGGCTTCCCGGTCTATAAACACAACAATTCAAGTTAGTGCAATATTATATTGATCCGGATTATTGTTACAATGGCTGAGGTTTCGATGGTAACGTATTTCTGGAACATTTTAGCTAATCGTACATGGCGTACGACACGAGGCTATCTCGTAATAGGTGGACAGTCCACTGGATCATCACATCCAGTAGGTTGTCTAGTAATAGGTACACAGTTTATTGGATCACAGCCAGACTGTCCAGTAATAGGTAGACTGTCTATTGGACCACATCCAGACTGTCCATTAATAGGTAGACTGTCTATTGGACCACAGCCAGACTGTCTAGTAATAGGTAGACTGTCTATTGGACCACAGCCAGACTGTCCAGTAATAGGTAGACCTGGATCACGTCCAGTCTGTCTAGTAATAGGTAAACAGTCTATTGAACCACAGCCAGACTGTCCAGTAATAGGTAGGCCTGGACCACAGCTATACTGTCTAGTAACAGGTAGGCCTGGACCACAGTCAGACTGTCCAGTAATAGGTAGGCCTAGACCACAGCTAGACTGTCTAGTAATAGGTAAACAGTCTATTGAACCACAGCCAGACTGTCCAGTAATAGGTAGGCCTGGACCACAGCTAGACTGTCTAGTGATAGGTAAACAGTCTATTGAACCACAGTCAGACTGTCCAGTAATAGGTAGGCCTGGACCACAGCTAGACTGTCTAGTAATACGTAAACAGTCTATTGAACCACAGTCAGACTGTCCAGTAATAGGTAGGCCTGGACCACAGCTAGACTGTCTAGTAATAGGTAGGCCTGGACCACAGCTAGACTGTCCAGTAATAGATAGACCTGGACCACAGTCAGAGTGTCCAGTAATAGGTAGGCCTGGACCACAGCTAGACTCCCTAGTAATAGATAGACCTGGATCACAGCTAGACTGTCTAGTAATAGATAGACCTGGATCACAGCTAGACTCTCTAGTAATAGATAGACCTGGGTCACAGCTAGACTGTCTAGTAATAGATAGACCTGGATCACAGCTAGACTCTCTAGTAATAGATATACCTGGATCACAGCTAGACTCTCTAGTAAACTCTATAATAGGCAGAGCTGTATATATTTAAACGGAAATGAAAACCCTAAACTTTACCTTCTATGTTTTATTTAATAGTTATTAGATTGTTGTTGTTGTTGTTGGTAGTTGTTGTTGGTGTTGTCCTGGTTACCATAATTACCACCTTGCTGGAAGTTTCTTCCTTGATCTTGACCTTGATTTTGGCCTTGACCTTGTCCTTGGAACTGACCGTTGGCCATGTTATCGAATTGTGCCTCGAATGTTGCGGAGAATCCTTGTTGGGCAGCTAATGTCTTTACCTAACAAAGAACAAGTGACATAAAATATAAATTTATTCTACGCCTCATTAGAATTATCATGTAAGCTGCAGTGTATACTTTGGTACAACAATTAAGATACATTTCCGTGTGGGGTCTAAAGGAATTTCATATAACTCATACATATGGTTCCAGCTTTTTAATGAGTTTAGGGATCGCGTTTAAATCCTGATCGATTGTACAAAACTAGAATGGTCGATCTCGAGTAATTGTTTCCCATAGACCTGTTGTGTTTATTTTGAATGTGGTCAATTACTAAATATCGTTACATTACACATCACAAACCTTCTCAACGTAGAATTTGGATGAATCACAGATTGTGTTAACAAGACCTCTCATAAACCATCTTTTAGCCTCTTCGGGTGATCGAGGAATGGGAATAATTCCACCTTCTCCAAACAGTTGGGTGTCATCATCGTTGTTTACGTTGTTGTTATAGCTTGTCTGTTGTCCGCCATTGCCAGCTCCAAATCTACAAACATAATTCAGTACATCATTATTATACACTAATGCCTCCGTCAGACCGGAGTGGCGTCCTTAATACGCAGCTGCGGCCGTAAGGCGACCAGAAAATACACAAGGTCGCCGGCAGATGTGAACACAACGCGAGAAAATGTCCCAAACAATTTACAAACTTGGAAAAGGCCACGTTCTCACAGCTTTCCAGGCCAGGTCGCATAACCTTGGCGTTTACTTTGAACATGCTCAAAACAAACGCCGTGACTCAGCGATAATTGGCGACCATGAAGACCACAGCACAATATCTGTCGTTACCACCATGCTTTTACCACGTTTATGGCGATGTTGACTCGCTCTGAGATCATTTTCCGTCGCCGTAGCAGCGCAGTAAGGACATCACCCAGGTCTGACGGGGGTATAAATAGCTTGCTCGAAATGACTCCTGGCTTATTCATACTACGTGGCGCTATTCGTTGGAACTTTTTTTGAAAAGATGTGTCTTTGGCAAAGATTTAAAAGTTCTGTACGCGTGTGTGAAATAGTTTTATTTTACGTCCTCTTCCCCCAAGATGATATCGCAGGCAAAATTATGTACGGTTTGGGCCGGTTTTATATTCTCTTTTAGATTGTTCCATAAGACAGCAGCATTATAAGGAATACATGCACGGAGCAGCCATCAGAGATGAGGCTGTATAACATGCATAGGTTTAATGTTCGCAAAGAGCCCAATCTAGTTTCGTAGTTAGTTATTATTTCAAATAATATGGAAGTTTTTTTTAGTCATTTTAAATGAATAAAATATGGTTTAAACTAATTCTATGCCACAAAGATTCATATAATAAGACCTTATATGTAAAGTCTTGTCAAGGTCACATGTTAGTTTGTACGTGACTTACCTCTTGTTGCCTCGTTCCTGTCCAGAGAAGTATCGGTGAAGGTCAACAATGGCGTCTCGGCATTTACAGAACTGCATAACGTTGTAAACCATGTTGAAGACATATTCTCGTCGTTTCTCGTCAACTTGACCGATTAGGGAATTAAATTCAGCCTGGAAATAAATAATAAAATAATCCATATAGAGAGGTGATTTATAAGATATTAAATAAAAAAAAATAAATTACGAAAAAATGAAATTTGAATGGCAGATGTGTGATTTGTGTCAGCAGATAAAAGTACTTTCTACCGTATAAAATGAAAACAAAATGCACGACATTTCAGTCAACGTGCTGGTCTATGACTAGCGGGTGAATCTGAATCTCATATTCATCCGCCTACTCTTCAACATGGTCAAAGATTTGTGTTATCTAGGCAAGACCGAACTGAACAAAACAAGGTGTGTTAACGGGGCTTAAGTCAGTTCTTTATTTTATTTATTATCCGGGTATTTCCATCCCTGGATACTCCTTATATCTTCCTGGGATATATTTGTAGCCAAGATAACTCCCCTGGTAACCGACTCTATCTGCCTAGTAACCACCTCTATTTCCCTAATAACCGACTTTATTTCCCCGATAACCAACTTTATCTCCCTGGTAACCGATTATATCTCCGTGGTAACCGACCCCATCTCACTATTAACCGACCCTATACCCATTGTAACCGACTATGTCCCAAGTAACCGACTATATCTCCCTAATAATCGACTATATCTCCCTAGTTACCGACTACACCACCATAGTAACCGACTATATCTCCCTGGTAATCGACTTTATCTCTCTGGTAACCGACACTATCTCCCTGGTAACCGACTTTATCATGGTTAGATTATTTTTAGCAAACACACGCGGCCAGTTTATTTATGACGCTTTTCCTTCGCAAGTAGACGTCTCTAAAACGTCTTGCGTTCTTCGTACCCTTAATATGACAGACGAAAGCATAAAACGAGATAACTAAATTAAAATTAGGTTTTATTTGTTTCTAACAAGACTTGTAAATTTTTACATCGTTTATATGAAGTTGTTATTATGCTTATTGTTGTCATACCCAGTAACAAGTTTCTAATCTATGAAATGTAAACTATTAGCGTTTTAACATATTAAAATAAATAAAGAGAGATCGTATGGTATGTTTAACAATTAGATAGCCACGTGCTAACTCCGGTAATTCAAGTTAAAGGGAATTTCTCAAATAAATCTATTAACAATTCTTAATAATGCTATTCCTAATTAATAACATAAATTTTAAGAGAATCTCGCCAATAAAGTAATTAATAACAATGGTATTCATAACTAATAACATAAAGTTAAAGGGGATTTTGCCAATAAAGAAATTCTTAATAATTGTATTCATAGGAAGAAAATCGACCTCGAAGATAATCTCGGGGATGATATACCTTCTTTTCACGTTTCTCGACATATTCGTTGATTTTACTGTATTTTCTGAATTCTTTAATTCTTTGTCGGTCTTCTTCTTCTTCTTCCTCGTGTTTCAAATAATCTTCGAATTTATCATTTTTTTCTTCACGCGATTTTCTGTATCGGATGTAATTGTATCTTTCTTTATCAGCTTCGGCAGCCTAAAAGAAAATGTTTTACATATTAAATTTCTAGCACCGAGAAAAACACGAGGGAGTAGAATCCTAAATGAAATGACGTCGTGTTGTGTGTAAAAATTAGGTTCGTCTACTTGTCGGCCTATTCTAACATCCAGGGGATCGTTTACTACCTGCTCACCAACAAGTGGTGGAAACCTCGGTGTTTCGTCCCACAAGACGTTACCCCCAACCCCCTCTCACCTTCGCTCCCTGACAATATGTTGACGATCGGGAAAACTCAAATAACCATCGACATGTATATGTATGTTAGAAACAGTTTACTTGGTAACATTTTTATTTTGCTTCTTTTGTTCTTATAACAGAATGTTGCATTCCAACAATTTTAGATATTTGGCATAATAGGTTTAATAGATTCCAAATATACTTTAAATACGAAGATCTTTGATATGAGTGATATGTAACTTCGATGCGCCAGTTTCGGATGTGACGCAAATACAGGGGACCATATTCTGTCGTGTGTATGAACATATTTCTTCAATACATGCAAAGTTGATCTTTTTTACGTCTCTAGAGTGACGTCCCTTGTATAGTTCACTAACAAACAAAATAATTGGCAGGTTTTTTGATCTTTGTAAAATTGAGCACCGTATAGTTTCATTGATATAAATGGTCTGATTACAAATTTGAGTCCAAAATACGAAATAAAATGGGTAATTTTGATACTTACTTTAAATCGTCTATAATCATCGTCTTTGCGGGCGATTTCATTGAGGAAATTATATTTGAGATATCCACCATTAACTGGTACTGGAGCATATGGAGATACAAACAGATGAGCAGCGGGTCTGGCTTTGTAGGCCTGGAGGGCGTTGTAATATCTTAAACAGTTAAAAAAAAGAAAAATCGAATTCAATACAGTTAGGTCGTCAACATAGTCCTGTTGAGAAAACTAAGAAGACTTCTAGTTTTTGTAACCACAAGTAGATATATGGGGATCTGAAATGGAAAACCTTTCAAATTACATAAAAAAAAAAGGGGAAACAGTGAAATATTTTCGTTCAAACAAATCATTATAGACATTGTACTTTTAGGTGAAATAAAACAAAAACAATTTAGCACCGCGTGTGTTAATTAAGACGGTGTACATTTAGGCTCACAAATTTAACCTTCTATATAAATCATAAGAAAACTGAGGTTTATGGATGTCATTGCTTTGATTGAAAAATGCTGTGACGAAATTTAAATAATAAACATGGATTAAGCGTATTTTTAAATTATTTTATATCTTTCTTTGTCTTGTGATTTTAGAGTGATTTATTTGTTTAAGGTGACGTGGACGGGTCATAATACACATCAAGATATCGTTATTGTGAAAAAAATTATCATAATTCGCAAATAAATTATTTCAATTTATAAATTCACATAATTTGAAAATAAATTATATCAAACTTTTGATTTTAACAACTTAAAATATAACACATGACACAATTATATGGAATACAAGTTACTTTAAAGATTTATTTGTGGTGACGCCTCGTCTTTAACAAGCAAACATGGTATTAAAGGTTAGATGGACGTTTAATGGTCTTATCTGAAAGGAGAAAACAATAAAGACCAACAACAAACGTTCCTAAACCCCGGAGGTCCACTGATAAAAACGTTGACTCACTAACCTCGACCTCCTATGTTCGATCCCGGCGTTCATAGGAATTTTCCGGCGTGGTTCAGCTTACGATAAAAAACGAGGTCCCATGTACACATTGGCATGCACGTAAAAGATCCCTTGACAGTTGGAATTCGAAGTAAGCGTATAGACCGCAGTGCCGCTGCCCGGACAAAGTTTCTCTTATAAAACATCATATGGCGGTGTATGCCTGTCGTCATTAGACCAGTCCGAGCAGTGGGTCGTCATTAGACCAGTCCGAGCAGTGGGTCGTTAAACCCAGGAAAAACAACCAATAACGATCCAATATCTTCTTTTTTTGTTTTTTTCGACATTTTTAAAACGAAATGGTAAGGATTTAATGTTAAAATATACTTCTTTCCACGATCTCGGGTGGCTTTTAGAGAAAACGGGAGGATAACCCGAAGTAACCCTGGGGCTTCCCTTGCCCGAAGTAACCCTGGCGTTCCCCTTGCCCGAAGTAACCCTGGGGTTCTCCTTGCCCGAAATAACCCTGGGGTTCCCCTTGCCCGAAGTAACCCGAAATTACCCGAATGACGAATTTATCGTGGCGAATCTGGTTTTGGTAAAGACGTGTACAATTCAGAAACGTACCTGTTGGGGTAGGCATCTACAGCACTGGCAAATCCGGGTCCGTAACCGTGTTTCACAGCCAAACCTGCGGCTGGAGAGGAATAGGCGTATCTGTAACCAGGTGCTGCGTAGCCGTAGGCAGGAGCTGCATACCCATGACCATAAGCGGGAGCTGCGTAACCACGACCGAAAGCAGGAGCTGCATTACCATAGCCGTATCCTTTGCTGAATGTGGCATCATCGGAGTTAATGAAGGCTTTGGCTTTGGATAGTAAAAGAGAACCGGCAAAACGATGTCGGTGAGCAGCTATAGGCGCAGTAGGTACGACAACACGTGGCTCGTAATACCCATATCCTAAGGCCTGGCTGATGACAGCACAGCTGAGGCATAAAAATAAAAGTTGCCGGTCCATATCTCCGTCCTGAAATTAAAACAAATATATATATTTCATTTTAACAAAACTGAATTTTATCTTTTGATATCAAATTTCATGACGATTACATAAATAAGCATTTGGTAAAAAAATTCCTTTAAAGGAGCTTAACCTCTCAGCATGTTAAATAGAATATATATTCGTCTCTTAATATGTAAAACAGATTTAAGTATTTTGTGTACATCCAAACAAATAAATTTAACAAATTCCATGGAATTGTCTAAACCTTAAAGTCGTGGTGCGTCAGTTACATTTTACGGAAAATATCCAAATAAATCTACTCAAATTGGTCATTTAATTCAGAAAACATGAAAATCAAAACATCATGGGTAGATAATCATTATCTGTCGACTTGGATTCAGTCGGAGTAAAAAAAAAGAGAGAGAGAAATGGGGTTTAACGTCCACTCGACACAAACTAGGTCATTTCGGGACTAACATATGGTTTAATTTTATTTCAATAATTCGCTTGCGCGTAGGGGTCTTTAGCAGTATGAAGAAACCGGAGGACCCGGAGAAAACCCACGAGGTTGGACAGGCCGGGGAATCGAAACCACGCCAGTCGACTCAATGAAAGACTTTATGATACAGCGCGCGCACGCTAACCATTCAGCCATCCACCCCCACCCCCATCCGGGAGTAAAAAGAGTCCCATCAAATGATTGCTGTGAAGATCACAGTGGCACTGCTTTTTTTTTTACCCAATCCAATCTAAAGAGGATACCGAATATAGATAATGTTTAATTTATCCTATTGTAGTAGGGCGAATTTCAGTTAATTTTAAATATGTTTTAATAAATGCGACCCAATAGTAAATGTTTAATACATCGTACTAGTCATAATCCACACAGTGTTACTTAAAGGGTATTAGGACGATTCGATAAATAACTAACAGTTCTCGCTATAATGGTTAAAAAAAATAGATGATGAAAACAGAATATGCTGAACTTTTCAATCAAATTGCTTCACTTTGAATCGAGATATAATAAGCGATTCAATTTTAGGTTATCCTCGAACGTCATTACTAACCTGTGCGATAATTAACCAAGTCTCGATTATCCATTTTTACTTTAAATTATCCATCACGAAATGTATTCAAATCCACAAAATATCGCAGGCTTTCCCATTTTTAAATTAAATTTTTAAAAGGCGAACCGTTCTAATTTAGTTAAAATCTCAAGTATCCGATGTCATCGAGACTTGATTATGCTCTTGTTTTGTTAAAAAAAATGTCTTATTAATAGTTTATATAACATTTCAGGCCTAAAGAAATACCTGCAATGGGCAGATTTAGCACTTGCATAATGTATGTTTAACTGAAATTCGCCCTACTACAATAACAATGTTTATAATAAAAGCCAATTGAACATTTTTGGAACTGATGTTTCTTTTACAGATTCGACTTCAGCAATAACAAATCCATCAAATAATTTTCAGGGAATTTAACAAAAACACACATTTCTTTCTTTAAAAAAAATAATGTTACAAATTAGAATAATGTACTTACTTGGAACAGTTGTTTACCGGTAAAAGGAAAAGTGCTGTGGAGTCTGAAGATAAATTGGACGGTTGGGATATATTTATACATTTTGCTGGTTCGCAAATTTACAGCAACTTTTAATTACGAGGTTCCACATAATCATGGCACGTGGGTGACACATGCGACAAAAGGCACGCGCGTCGTTTTTGAGAGTTTAAAGTCGATATTGGGGAATTCGCTAGAAAGATGACAGTCGTTAACAATATACACCAAAAGATTACCAATATATACGGATGGATTAACGTTCCTCAGGATGTAAGACATGGCTATTTAACTGTATATATCTAGAGATAACTTAGTATCCAGATGTAAGTCATGCATATTTGAGCGCGTGACAATATAGGAACACAAGGGGGCACCTGTCGGCCCTCCCCGTGGTAATCGGACACCATACAAATTTTAGCTAACAGCGGAACGTGACGAGAAAAAAGAGAAACGGGTTGACTTAATGATTAAAAAAAGTGATGATAGTTGACTTAGTTAATTGGTGGAGGTTTCTCGGGTTAATATCCTTTCTTACTTAAAGGGGCATTAGTTAAGATTAGATATATCTTGTCTGCGATATCACTCTTGGTGGAAGTGGATGTAAAACTCCAGGAACGAAAAAAACAAGTTTAGATAAAGAGCTGACAGTTCTCGCCATAACAATATGATGAAAACAGAATATGCTGAAAATTTCTGTCAAATTACTTTACTCTGAACCGAGATTTTAGCGATTCAGTTTTATAGGCTAGCCTCGGTCGTCATAATTACTGTTGGTACGACAATAAACAAATCTCGATTATCCATTTTTACGTTATATTATCCAACACAAAATGTATTCATATCCACAAAATATTCCAGGTAACGATGACATGGAGAGTTGATTATGGTCTTGTTAAGTTAATTAACGCTAATTAATAATTGAGATAACATTTCAGGCCTAAAGAAAGACCTGCAATATGCCTGTTTAAGGAAATAGAAAGTAAAAATGTCCCAGTGGCGCACTATGAGTTGCTGGGTCGGTGTGTGTATAGATTATAGATGCATTATGCTATAATAGTTTACAAATAGATAATTATTATAGATATAATAGATATTATATTATAGGACAGAACGTGTAAAAATTCAAACATTAATGACATCACTCAGAATAAAACGATTTAAATTAAATTTTCAATATATTCATATTTCGTTTACAAATAGATAATGAAATATGAATATATTGAAAATTTAATTTAAATCGTTTTATTCTGAGTGATGTCATTAATGTTTGAATTTTTAACACGTTCGGTCCTTCAATCGAAAGTCGTCCATATTAACGTTTAACGAAGATATGACCACACTGACCAGCAGTGAATATTCGCTAGGCCGCTTCAGTCACTGATAAGGATGACATCGATGCGACTTAATGAGCTACAAATATTAACTTTTTTCCTCAGACAAATTAAATTCTAAAACATTTTTTTATGTATTAGAAAAATAAATAAAGGAGTTTGACGTATTTATAGGTAAAAAATGTTTCCTATTTAGAGTGAATGGTATTAAAATGAGTAAAAAACACCATTCTGTCCGAACCTGTAACGTCTTATGGAAACAATGCAGGCGCCATTGAGCCAATGATTGACAACGCGTGATTTTACAGAGATATTGGAAGACTTTCGTAATCCTCTGCGAAACAGATTGGGATATGACATGCATTGCCTTAACTACCCAATATCTTATCCCTCCGATGTTCTAGAGGGCTGATTATGGGCTTGCCATTTAAATAAGTGTCTAAATATTAATTTATTTAACATTTAAAAGACTTATAATAATATAGTGTCATATACACTATTTCATTTCATTTATATCATGAACTATGTGAACGTCTAATTGAAAAGTTGTACCAGGTGTTCAAGAAAGAGTACACACACCCTGTCAAAGAAAGAGTACACATAGTTCAAGAAAGAGTCGCCTACCTAAAATAGCATTAAAATCATGATTGACTGACAACCATTTTCATGGTATATAATGTCATAGTGTTCTCCTAGGAGCGACGACGATATTTAAAGTATTGTTCATGCATATTATAGACCCGGATATATATTATAACCTTTTACTCTTATTAATATTCTTTTAAATACATTTATAACTGGATATAGTAAGAAATTTTAACATATACCTATATATTTGGCGGGCGTTGACCATAGCACCTTTTTCTATTAGTGTTTAACGTCCGCTTTCACCGCGGGTGATATCGCAGACAAGTTGTCTTATTGTACTATCAGGGCACGCGCAATGATCTTTCTTGTGGGAGGAAAACGGAGTACCCAGAGTAAACTCACAAGGCGAGTGGATGGGGCGGGGTGGCCGCATTATTTCCGTAGCGAGTGGATCGTTCGCGGATGGGGCTGGGTGAACGCATTATTTCCGTAGCGAGTGGATCGTTCGCGGGTTGACGCATTATTTCCGTGGCGAGTGGATGGGGCGGGGGTTGATGCATTTTTTCTGTGGCGAGTGGATGGGGCTGGGTGAACGCATTATTTTCGCGGCGAGTCGATGAGGCGGGGTGGACGCATTATTTCCGTGGCGAATGGATTGGGCGGGGATTGATGCATTATTTCCGTGGCAAGTGCGTGGCGAGTGGATGAGCCGGGATGGACGCATTATTTTCGTGGCGAGTCAATGAAGCGGGGTGGACGCATTATTTCCGTTGCGAATGGATTGGGCGGGGATTGATGCATTATTTCCGTGGCGAGTACGTGGCGAGTGGATGAGGCGGGGTGGACGCATTATTTTCGTGGCGAGTCGATGAGGCGGGGTGGACGCATCATTTCCGTGGCGAATGGATTGGGCGGGGATTGATGCATTATTTCCGTGGCGAGTGGATGAGGCGGGTTGGACGCATTATTTCCGTGGTGAGTGGATCGGGCGGGGGTGGACGCGTTATTTTCGTGGCCATTGGATAGGGGCGGAGTGGACGCATTATTTCCGTGGCGAGTGGATGGAGCGGGGGTTGATGCATTATTTCCGTGGCGAGTGGGTGGGGCGGGTTGGACGCATTATTTCCGTGGCGAATAGATGGGGAGGGGGTTGATGCATTATTTCCGTGGCGAGTGGATGAGGCGGGGTGGATGCATTATTTTCGTGGCGAGTCGATGAGGCTGGGTGGGCGCATTATTTCCGTGGCGAATGGATTGGGCGGGGATTGATGCATTATTTCCGTGGCGAGTGCATGGGGCGGGGTGGACGCATTATTTTAGTGGCGAGTAGAATTGATTATCCAAAACTTTTTACATGAAGGAATAGATGGGATGAAGTCAGTGTATCTCTTTTGATCTGTGTATTGTTTTAGTGTATCCGTATAGAAGCCATTGACGTGAAATACGTGTAATATAATTTAGATCAAATTTCAAAATTGTCTATTTGGTTGATTTGTAAGAATTTGATTAACATTGTGAGATAAAAAACACGTCATTCTTGGGAAGTCGACATACGAATGTGTCTTAGTGCCAAAATGTTCCCCAATAGCACGTCTTTATTTAAGAATCCTTGACAGTTGGAATTCGAATTGGGTTTTTTTTTATAAGGAATATTTTTATTCAGATTTGTATCAGAATATGGATTGGGGAACAGACATAGCCTATATTAGCCAAAATTAAACCCTTCTCCCTGTCAGATATAGAAACATGTATTTACATAAAGAAACAAAGAATGTACTAGTGAAAATATAATTACAGTGAGTGTGTTATAGTTGTCCTTTGAATCGTCTGGTGATTTCGAAAAACGAGTGGACGGTTTTAAAAATATTGAGTGAGTTTTCTATGTCGTCAATTCCGTGCAATAAGACAGTGGTGTTTCGATGGATAGTAGGTAAATTATTTATTGTATTATTTCGGGCATCTGAATTTAAGGAGCAATTCAATAAAAAAATGTTCAGTATGTTCAAATTGATGACCACATTTACAGGATGGATTGTCAAAAATATGACGTAAAATTTATGTCCGTTTTTAGACTGCTGCGTCGCTTTTCAAGAAATTTCCCCTCATAGCAGCACCCTGCATGGTGTATACCCGTCTTCATTAGTTTAGTTGATGCAGACAATTTTTCATGGTTACAAGCTTGCGTGGCTCCTTTAGATGGGGTTATCGTCCTTTAGTCCGATTTTGTCAGAGAAATGAAATGAAATGAAATGAAATGAAATGGGGTTTAACGTCCTACTTTTCTGCTCCTAACCTGGGCTAATGAAGACGGGCATACGCCATACAGTGTGCTATGAGGGAAATTCCAACTGCCAAGGGATCTTTTACGTACATTCCAATGTATACACAAGACCTCGGTTTTCCGTCTCATCCGAAGGACTAGACAGCTGTCCTTGTCAGGCCCTCCGTTCTGCACCACTGACAAGGGGAAACTACGTCGGAAAATCCCGTGAACTTTCTCGGCCGATTTCGTCAGCGAGAGGAAATTAAACTAATTGTATTTAAAGAAAGAATCACGTCCGTTGATGAAGTGGGAGAGCTGATAATCTGTCTTAGTTTGATATCAAAACTAACATATACACGATAACCAACGGGATAAAAAAAGATCTGGAGGGATTAATTTATGTCATCAGTTTGTTCACTTGCTAATGGCGGCGGTTTAAGTCGATTAGCTTCACACAAGTATATAAATGACTGTTCAAAAAAATAATTTCACAAAAGGAAAGACTCGGTAGTTCAAATTACAGTCCCAAGCCACCTGGTTACAGTGCGTCTCTGTGAATCTGTCAGCCCTGGCAAACAACATAATAGTCTGACTCTGTCCCCGGATTATGCTCTGGCGCGGATGTCGGCCGTAGCTATACATAGTGAGAAACACCAGGTCCATGGTGGCTGGATGTTAGTTCTTTCCACACCCCAAACCAACAAACCTGCAGATATTCAGAAATCTGAATCGCGGTATGGTTTAAACGTAACCGTTTGTACAATATGCCCGCACCATTTATTTTTTGAATTTGTAAGTATGGAGAGATGCTAATTGTAGGCCGGTTGGGCAGGTTCGGGAATTTCCGAAGTCCACAGTGGCCGCTTTATATAACCCTTTTTAGAAGACTGAACTTGGATCCAATTTACCTTTTTTTTTACCTCTCTTAAAAGGGTTAGGGTTAGTATTCCACAAAATACTCATTTATATGAAGCGGCCATTGTGGACTCCGGAAATTCCCAAACCGCCCCAACCGGCCTGCAATTAGCATCTCCCGTAAATATGCAATTGATACATTTTTTTTTTTACCTCTGCCAACATCTTCATATGCCTTAAGTATATTTGTCTGTGTTAATTAAGGCCGTTAGAATACAATGCAAATATAATATGAAATGAAATAGAGTTTAATGTCTTAAATTCCTGCATCAAATGGATCGACCAATGGCAGACATGGTATTGTAATAAAGGGGAATATTGCAAATAGCCGCGCTACGGTCGACTCAAGGTCTAATTTCAAGGTGGGTGTGTGTTGGGGGTATAGGGGGCAAAGAGTATTGGGTCGTTTGTCCGACCCCATGGGCTTTCTTCGCGTCCTCCGGTTTCCTCCAACTGCTACAGAACCTTACGCGCAAGATGATTAAAATTGAACCCCATTGTTATGCTAGTCCCGAAATGACCTGGTTTGTATCGAGTGGGCGTTAAACCCCATCTCTATCTCTCTCTGTTTTGATTTCCATCAGTCCGACGATTTTTAACGGGTTCCCAACTGGAGTACATGTATTTTGTTAGCTAGCATGTGAAACATGGGTTGTTTTTGGTTAGTGCTAAATGATAAGGCCAGCTCAATTTTTCGTCATTGGTCACGAGATGTAATCAGGGCTAGCGCTAATCCTAACCCTAATTATGAACCCTGGGCCTAGCCCCAATGCTAACCCTAACCCTTACCTGCAAACTTGCCAACAATCACGAGCCCTAACCTTATTTACATATCAGCGACCTTGACAAAAATAGAGCTGGCCTTAACAAATAGATTTAGCCGTTTGTTTTTCTATAAGCCACGGTGCAGTTATATCTTTGATCGCCATGATCATGATGCTGGCTATTAAGGCTGACCTTAAAAATATCTTTGTTTCACCAAACCCGACCCACAATCGAGGAGAAGGGTCGGTAGGTCGGGTTTTTTTCAGATTTTTTTTTTAAGAGCTAATTTGACAGCTTGATAATTTTCCGGGTGCAAACATTCGTCTTCTTTTATTGGCAAACAAATCAATGACATCGGCATCGGGATTTTTCTTGATGCACGACTCGCACACAAATTGCGACAAACTCACGTTTGAAACTCCCTCAACACGTTTTTAACGATCGTGCGGGTTGTGCCTTTATTTTTCTCGAAAACGGATATTGAAAATATCGTCGTCATGTTTAAAACGACGCCCCACAGACATAGAGGCAGAATCATTTCGTGGGAATGGACGTGCTTTCGTCTGCAACCATTTTGTTGAGAAGCGACACCTATGACGCTTTCGTCTTGATCAACCAGTTTCAATAATGAATCAAACCATAGCCATAATAAAGGGAAATAACTCTCGTGATATATTTCAGGTTGACACACAAAATAAAATAAAAAGATCGCGGAAAAGTGCAATAAAATAATTTAAGTCGGGGGTGGTTTTAGTTAGTCGGTCGCGTTAGGCGAAACAAAGATATTTTTAAGGTCAGCCTAACCTCTTGTGTCATAATCAGAATTTATTACAGAGATGTTAACTCCCATACAATAAACCCAACGAAACACAATGAAACATTTTATTGCTGCTACAAGATACGGCCATACAATTTACCGTGGAATGTGTAATGTTGAGAATGGGCTGTATTTGTTTTTTATTTTATTTTCCGAATCCAGAATTACATGTAGTTAACCCTTTAAAACGCCCAGCTACGACTTGGTAAAACTTTTCAAAGTTAGGATTGTTTGGCAAACAAACGAAAGAATCCCCATTATAAATGAAATGAAATGGGGTTTAACGTCCTACTGTTCTGCTCCGACTGGGCTAATGAAAACGGGTATACACCATACAGTGTGCTATGAGGAAAATTTTGCCCGGGCAGTGGCACTGTAGCCTACTCTTACATTGAATTCCAACTGCCAAGGGATCTTTTACGTGCACGCCAATATGTACGCGGGACCTCAGTTTTTTGCACCATCCGAATGACTAGACAGCTGTCCTTGTCAGATCCCCCCCCCCCTGTCCTGCACCACTGACAAAGGGGAAACCACGTCGAAAAATCCCAATGAACTTTCTCAGTCAATGCAGGGATCGAACACGCGACGTCCGGGGTATAATGTCGAGTCAGTGTCTTACCCATACACTCCTCATTATAAGACACATTTTGCTGGATATAACTCTCCTTGTTCCTGATACGAACGTCAATAACAAATCTACTCCACCAAAATGTTAAATCATCCGATATAAACCCCTATCTTTAATATTCTCTAGATTTATGACTCCAACCCAAATTGCAGACCACATCCACATATCCCATTCATGTTAGACGTTAGCGATACAAGTCAAGGGAGATAACACTTGTTGCAAAAAATAGACTTTTCTAATAACCTTCCTGACATGTACATCGGATTGACTGAATCGTCAAACCGACCCCAAATATCCTTTCTGGCGAATATGCAGCGAAAACTAATTTTGTTAATACGACAGACTAGAGTACACAAAAATGATAGCCATACAAAATTTAGATCTGGGATTGAGATCTTCTTATGCATATTAAAAAAGTTTCTTGTGCGTTCTAATTATCTATGGCTGTAATTCCAGAGAAGTGATAAGTCGATTATTATTTTTTATTACAATAGCACTAGTGTTATTAGTGTATAACTACCGGTTATCATGCAAGAGCCTACTCCCACATTTTGCAAGAGATGGGCAGATAACAAACTAAAAAAACAAAAGGGACCCTATTCCACAATGTTACGGTCCGACATGCATTAATAGCAAAAGGATTCGAAGTTTCGAACCGTGATCGGATAAACACTGTGACCTTAAAATCGTAAACTTATCTTGACATTCTTCATATTTTGCTCACAAATGCCCACAAATTATCTTTACTCATTCGTAACTTCTTCTTAGCTATATGCTACCGAATCGCCACGAATTTTGAGTCCATTCCCGAATTTTACGGAGCCACGAATGACCACGAATGTCAAAGATAGAATACGCAAACAAAAACGTTCGTGGTCGAGCTACGAACTGCTACGAATAACCGTCTACGATTTATCTATGAATCGGAAAAAGTTTGGATTCTGGACAATTCGTGACATTCGTAGTTTACGTGGATCCGAAGCCGTACATTAAATCATCTGAAAGAGTGGACACAAACTCAAACGTAGCCTAGAGCTAATATCAGTTATAACACCAAAATATTTTCCCCAACATTTTTTTTTTTTCACTTTCAAAATCATTAATAAGTTTTAATTTCGTCTATATTTAGGCCTACGAGTATTATTATTTATTTTTCTCGTGTCCTCGTTGACTTGCGATTTAACAGTTTGTTAATATATTTAAGCAGTAAATCATTTTGTCATCATATTCATAGATAGGCCTAAATGATTTTCACTTTCAAAAATATTTGACTTTTTTAATGTCTTTAATTTTGTTAAGTATAGCCTATGTCTACCGTATTAATTATTCGAATCTGCTTCCATTTAATAAAATAAAAAGTTTATTTGATCTATGAATGTAAGACATATGAAACGGGGTATAACCGCATTACAAAACAGTATACTAATGTTTGGATATGGCGGCCATTTGGGGCAGAGATCTATTCTCAAAGTAAGAAAAAGATGGGTCTCTGCAGAATGGTAACAGTACTGAGATGGCGCGAAACTTATTTGCTTTCGTTTGAAAAACCAAATTACTCCCGTATAATGCGCGAACTATTTACACTACAAATGAAAACAAACTGTTAAAACGCTGCAGTGCATCAAACGAACTTGTCTGTTTGTTCTATGTGTACAGAAACAATATACTGATGAATTTAGTGTATTGAATGTTACTGTCATCTACTAAAATTCTCAGAAGTTTTGACAGCTTTGCCTGTCTTCGTCACTTGAAAGATTACACTAGATTGGTTCAAGTTATAGCTATATGACGTCATGATATGCACTGTGACCAATCAAAACTAGCGTTAGATATTTCGCCGGCTGAAATGCGGTATCAGATTTTCACTACCAACTGTATTCCTCCGCCGTCCCACATGGGCCGACTGACCTCGCTAAGTGCCATAAAGGAAGTCATTATTTCATGCTTTTGACTGTTTTAAGAAAGCCAATCTGAAGGTCAGAAAATAAAAGACATAATGGATATGTCAAATCTGAGTACGGTCTTAGAAAAGACCATCTCGCCAGGTAATATTAATGGATTTTAAAAGGCCACACTTTGTTTGGAAAATTCGTCATGCCGTCAATGACTCGCACTCCACACTCCCCAACCCCACTACTGATAAGACAAGTTCGGGTCTGTTTGAACGAATGATACCATTGATCAACTCTTATGTAATAATTTTCATTGTTCTGCAGATAATCAAGAACTCGAAGCCGCTCAACAATTCCTTGGCCAAGCAGCACAGGAAAATTTGGTAAGTAATTTTGAATACGAAGAAACCAAAATGGCGGTTTATAAAAGCATGCGTGTTATTTTTTTAATTTTAAAAATGACGAACAAATTCATTCATGTGATAACGAAAGTGACATACGTGGAAATTTTACATTCTTAGAATAAATTGTTCATGGATTCTGGTTTTTGATAAGTCTTTAGATGATCGGTCTGTCATCTATAACTGTTAGTATAATCTTAATCTATGGAATGAATTCAAATCCTATCAACCACAGCCAAAAAAAGGCTAAGCCTAGCCCTAAAAACAAAACCAATTATTACAACTAGGCTAGACACTTCAAAAAAAGGTAGTCTTACTCTGACCACTTCTTGTCATGAGAAGAGGTTTTGAGCTGCATAGTTCTCTCTTGAAAACAAGCTTTTGAATCGAAGTGGTCAAACGGTTATTAGGATGACATTTTGATTACATACCAGAACGAAAGACGTTCATAAACTATTCTATGGTTGGAGCCGTATATGCACTGTGACTGTCCGTGTGTAAAGTAGTCTGAATTCAATCCAACATCAAACTAATCCAACAAGTTAGATATTTTAATGTTGTAACATCCGAACTGTGGCTATTATTTCAATGCACTTTTAAGACATTTCTTTATCGGGCTGATTGTGATTGGTCAATTCCAGATTAAACCTGCAAATATTTAATATCATAGCCATCCGAAAGTTGATTACCGTATGAGCTTGCTATAAATATATATATATAAACATCTTAATAGTAATTTGTATTATAAGACTTGAAGCCAGAAAAAAAATTGCAAGAGACAGAATTAGCTAATATCTGGTTTACTTCCATCAACTTAAGTTTCAGAGGGAAGACGAAATAAATTGGTGGTTCGTACGGTAGGCTGAAACTGTTTTCTTACAAACAAGTAAATTCTAAATAGTAATCTTGGTGGTTGGTTTCATTAAAAAACATAATTTTCTTTTATTCCAGCCAAAATTACTGCAAGAACTATCACAGATCTTGAAAAATGGTGGAAACGGCGCAGTCGCAAGAACTCAAGCTGGTCTTCAACTTAAGAATTTCCTTTATTCAAAAGACGCTGCTACGAAAACAGTGTATCAACAGAGATGGCTGGCACTACCAGAAGAAACCAGGAATGTTGTCAAAGAAAACGTAAGACTTTATTACATGTTCATAAGTAGGCAGAAACGGTTAAGGTGCAAATTTAAAAATTGATTAGCAGTTTTTAAGTTTCAACGTAAAACACCTAAATAACAAGATATTACTTTAATTCATAACAAATATGATTAGATTCCATTCTGACTATTCTTTAAATTCTTAGATTTTTTAGCACTGCCACAAGTACTTGTGACAGTTTGTGAATGTGATGTAGACATTTAGTTAGGTCTTACGTCTGAAGTCAATTCTTGACAGTGACTTCCGAAGCTCCACTCATTTTAATTGTTATTTTTTGTCACGTTAGAAATCTTCGTTAGAAAACAATTTGTCTGCTTTTTATCGTGTATTAGTAGTATTACTATTTTTGTTCCATCGGGCGCACCTCGATTAACTAGTCACACGCGATATATATAAACAATAATATTTTACGGGAATTTTTACTTTGATTTATCATTTTACAATACGTTAACATGTATTTATTTTTTTATATTTTATTTACAATGCGTGGGGGATACACTGGATTTATTTCTTTCAAAATGAATATGATATAAATACTTGATGTCTCGCAATGTGAGTGGTACTACTTGATTCCCTATTTCCGGTTTAATAGTCCCTATTCATAGAGTTATGTCCCTGTATTATATAGTACCGTATAATGAATTGTGTCTGGGTAGTTCGAGAAGAAAATGTCACGCGGAGAATTCAGTTTTGTTTATAAAATTTTATTTAACATTTTATACACGTTGAAAGTGTTGAGTAAGCCTTCTAGTCTTCAAAATGTGGATTATTCTTGTGTCAATATCCAAAATGACAGGCATATTAATGATTCGCAGTAACTGCGAATCAAAAACGTTAGATTTTAATTTTTGGTTAGCAACGGACAAAATATGTATCGCAAATTGCACTGCGATACTGGTTGTCGGCAGCCCTGATTGGACATGACAGGGCCTGGTATGAAAGTGTCTTGTTTGGATGGTACTGAAGTCCTTTTGTCATGTAAATAATCCTTGACAGTTTGAATTTGAAATAAGAGTTTACCATTCGTCATCGGGAAAAATTTTGTTTATAGCACTCTACGACAGATTGCCTTTCTTCATTACCCTGGATGGTGCAGAAAAGTAGTATGAAAAACACCATTTCATTACAAGAAAACAGAAACACCATTTCATGACCTGAAGAAGAAAAAACGGTTGATTCAAACAGATTAATTTGTTAAAAAGGAAAGCAAAAAGTTCCCAGGAATAGAAATTTTTAACTTAATCCACTTTGTTGGTTTCTTGATTGATTTTACACATTGTTTTATTTTCAGATTTTAGCTACATTAGGAACAGAAACAGTTAGACCAAGTTCAGCAGCACAGTGTGTAGCTAATGTGGCATGTGCAGAACTTCCGCATAATTTATGTCCAAATTTGATAGCACATTTGACTGGTAACATTACAAACCCTGACAGTACGGAGATGATGAGAGAAGCAACACTAGAAACAATTGGTTATATCTGTCAAGATATTGTAAGTTAAATGGGTTTTTTTATTCTGTCAGTTCATTAATTTGTTTTTTTTTATTATTATTATCTCCCTTAATCTTGTAGTTCGAATATGTGAAATATCTGACTAATGTTTACTTAACATTGATAGACAGCAAATGAATTAAATTATCCCAACAAAGGGAGAAACCACACAAAAGTTTCAGGATTAAGATCAAAATGAAATTGCATAGATTAAGTAACCAACCATAGCAGATGTATAATATCTTGACATGGAATTGGGGCAGAATTTTGACAGTTGACAAAGGACAGGATCGGCATATATACAGACGAAACCGAAGCCCTGGGCTACGCTACTAAAGTTCTAAAGACTAGAATACTCTGCGTTCCGAGTCCTGGAATGCACTGAGAAGAACCACTACAATTTTTCCGGCCTGGTTTTCACTTGTAAGGAGTAATACCTGTGGGCTGTCAAAACCTGTGGGCTGTCAAAGTAGTGTTGCCTTGTCTTTCATGTTAGTTGACCAACCTTCTAATTCCTACATTGGACGATTTTGGTTGAAAACAAGAATTTTGAAAGATATTTATTCTGCTTGAGTTTTATTAAAATTGACCATGTTTTATTTAGTTAGTGTTTATATGTAGAAAGGATTAGAGCCACATTACAAAACAATTATTTGAATATGGCAGCCATTCAGAACATGTGAAGTGCAGAATAGAATTGAATCATATTTATTGTAGGATTGAGATTTAATTGTTTTTATATTTTAATTCTAGGATCCTGATCTGTTACAAAGTCAATCTAATGTTATATTAACAGCGATAGTCCATGGTATGAAGAAAGAAGAGTCAAGGTAGATAACTCTCATATCCACCTCAAACTACAAATAATATATTTGTGTTCCTGGCGTTCTTTATGGTCAAGTTTGAGTTGTGATCATTTTAATATCAAAATTTTTATACGCCCACATTTTCATGTGGACGTATTATGCCGTCGCCCCCGTCCGTCCGTCCACAATTGTTTGTGGACTCTCTACAGGTCAGAATTCTTATCCGATTTTGACGAAACTTGAAATATAGGTTTATCCCCAAAAGATCTCGGCTGCTTTCGATATTGGCATGTATCGGATCGAAACTTAATGGATTATGGCCCCTGATTGTACGAAAAATCACGTTTTTAGCTTGTGGACCCTATAGAGGTCACAATTTTTATCCGATTTTGTTGAAACTTGAAATGTAAGTTTATAACCCAAAGATTTCGGTTCCTTTCGATATTTGCGCATATCGGACCGTAACTTCCTGAATTATGGCCCCTGATTGTACGAAAAATCGCATTTTTAGCCTGTGGACCCTATAGAGGTCATAATTATTATCCGATTTAAAAAAACATATTATTATATCACCGTTACACCCTAAGGAAGGCTGAGTTCGAATTTCGTGAAAATCAGCCCAAAATTGATAGACAAAATGGCCGCCTTCGTTCTCAAATAACATAAAATTTGGTATATCAAGGTTGTGGACCCTATAGAGGTAACAATTTTTATCCGATTTTGTTGAAACTTGAAATGTAAGTTTGTAACCCAAAGATCTCGGTTCATTTAGATATTCGCGCATATCAGACCGTAACTTCCTGAATTCTGGCCCCTGATTGTACGAAAAATCACTTTCTTTTTAGCTTGTTCTCTATCCATCTCTTGAAAATGTGGGCGTATCCTGCCTGGCAGCCACTGGTTTATTTGAACATTCAAAATGTTCATCAGAATTTTCTCATCTGATTTAGTCAGTGATACAAGGAAAAGCATCGATTTGTTCAGATGAAGTCCACCAGGTTGGAATTCAATAAAGCATAGCTGGAAATGTCCCTCTTTGTCCACTACTACCCTCGTAGTTAGCTCGATAGATGCAGAATTCCTGATTGAAGTGCTGTAACCAATGGTATTATATTTATGTACAATAAGCAGTTATCTCTCATACTTTGAATCAGGATATAGTACTTTCATTTCCAACTTGGGGGTTGGGTTTCTGAATGATTTAACACTTCCCTCGTTCAACATTCAGCTTCACTTTCTCTGATTTGTGTGATGTTGTGAATAAAGCAGATGATATTATGTTTTCAGTAATCACGTCCGCCTCGCAGCTACCACAGCCTTGTTAAACTCACTGGAATTTACACGAGCTAATTTCGATAAAGAGGTAAGTTTAGTTCACTGGCAGTATATCGGTGAAAACCTAGGTTAAATATGTTCATGATATGGATTGTTTTTGTATGTCCTGCACAGATGGAAATAAATCAAAGTAAATACCAGCTCTCAGATTCTAATCGTTCCAAAAATGTTTAGGGGGGTTGGATGGCTGAATGGTTAGCGTACGCGCGCTGTATCATAAAGTCTGTCATTGAGTCGACTGGCGTGGTTTCGAATCCCGGGTTGTACGTGGCAAGGAGTAGGGTCGCCTGTCCAACCTCGTGGGTTTTCTCCGGTTTCCTCCCACTGCTAAAGACCCCTACGCGCAAGCGAATTATGTAAATAAAATTAAACCATATGTTAGTCCCGAAATGACCTAGTTTGTGTCGAGTGGACGTTAAACCCCATTTCTCTCTCTCTCTCCAAAAATGTTTACACAAAGACCAGTGTCTTTTATCCACCATGACCATTCATGTCTGTCCTTGGCTGCAACATGAAAATATGGCTCTTTTAGCATCTTCCCCACACCTCCGTTTAAAAACTATTGTAGAGACAAAATAAATTATTTCTCGCCACATCTGACACAAAGTTATAATTATCCAACACTTTAAGTAGAATTTGGCAAAACATAAACAAAATAATAGCATTTACGAACTGCAGAAACTAGAAATGATTTCCATTTCCACGAATGACGAATCAATATTCTGACAAAGAATCTTTGTTGTAACCTAAAGTTATTCGAGTTGGTTAAATTTATATCATTGAAAACAGAAATAATCTATTTCTTTACTTTATAGTGGCTTGAATATTTGGTTGAGAAGAAAAGTCAAAACAGCCCAGGTTTACAATTTTGTTCATGCTTGAAACATTTTATTAATTTGTACAGAATTAAAACCAAAACAATTTGTAAAATAAGGAAACGGCTTTGAATAGAGTTTATTTATTTCAGAATGAACGCCATTTTATAATGCAAGTTGTATGTGAAGCCACACAATCAACAGATACACGAGTTAGAGTTGCTGCCCTTCAATGTTTGGTGAAAATTATGTCATTATATTATATTTATATGGAACATTATATGGGCCCAGCCCTTTTCGCTGTAAGTATTATATTTGTATGGGCCCAGCCTTATTGGCTGTGTAAGTATTTCATGAGTATGTCACTGGCTCATAATCCGGATACGTCCCTCGTTTGATCCTTGGGATTTTTCAGTCAGTGTTGTTGGGCCCTGGTAACGAGAAAGTCCCAGATGAAACTGCCCATAACTAGGATTCCTTCGACCACCCCAAACCGCCCGATTCCTGTGGGTAACTGTGGTGCCCTGAGAGCTAGTATACAGTATGAACTATCCCTATTCTCTGATTTTCTTCAAACAAAGGGAGTAGTCAATACTTAAATCAGCATGGAACTGGGGTATTTAGATCTAACAAGTGCTTAAGGTTTAACTGGGGTAGTCTGTATATACACGATAGGTTGGATGGCTGAATGGTTAGCGTGCGCGCGCTGTATCATAAAGTCTGTCAAGTCAACTGGCGTGGTTTCGATTCCCCGGTTGTACGTGGCAAGGAGTAGGGTCGTCTGTCCAACCTCGTGGGTTTTCTCTGGGTACTCCGGTTTCCTCCCACTGCTAAAGATCCCTACACGCAGGCAAATTATTGAAATAAAATTAAACCATAGGTTAGTCCCAAAATGACCTGGTTTGTGTCTAGTGAACGTTAAACCCCATTTCTCTCTCTCTCTGTATATACACGTAGCAAGTGCTAAAGGGTAAACTGGGGTAGTCCGTCTATACACGTAGCAAGTGATAATGGGTTAACATAGAAACAAATCTGGAATGATCCAGGTCCATTCTGTCATTTTAACTAGAAGATTTGATGAGTGTCATTCATAAGACATGGTATGCTTAATCTTTCTGGAGGGCTTATGGATGATCGAAGCTGAATCGTTAAACAAGTGTATTTCAGATCTTAAGGTCTGTCATTGACTAATATGGCATGTTTACCATTCCCTGCTTGTATCTGACCAGGTGTAGCTATGTCTGTCAAACCTCATGGGGTTTCTCAAGGTCATCCGGTTTCCTCCAGCTCATAAATTAAGCACCTATGCTCAAGCAAATTAAGATAAAATTGAACAGTATGTTAGCCATGAAATGACCTAGTTTTTGTTGAGTTGACGTTAAACCCCATTACTCTTAGGCTTTATAGAACACCCTGATATCACTTTTCATGTAACGTTATATTCACATGTAGTTATATTGTGTTTTGTAGATAACAATGGAAGCTATGAAATGTGATGTAGATGAAATAGCACTTCAGGGTTTTGAGTTTTGGTCAACTGTCTGTGATGAAGAAGTGGATTTAGCCATAGAATTATCAGAAGTAAGGGGTGTATCAATTACCAGAATATCTGTCACTTATTAACATGTGACTTTACTAATGAATATTTATACTAATGAATATTTATAGCACAAGAGTCACTATTTTATTATACATAAGGTTTACTAGTCAGTTGGGGATCACGTGGCTAAGTGGGTAAGACGCTAGCTCGCTAGCCTGGAGGTCAGGGGTTCGATCCCTGCATTGGCCTAGAACGTTCATCCAGATTTTCCGGCGTGGTTCTCCCTTGTCAGTGATGCAGGACGGAGGGGCTGACAAGGAAAGCTGTCTAGTCATTCGGATGGGATGAAAAACCGAGGTCCCGTGTACACATTGGCATGCACGTAAAAGATCCCTTGGCAGTTGGAATTCGATATAAGAGTAGGCCGTAGTGCCGCTGTCCGGGCAAAATTTCCCTCATAGCACACTGTATGGCGTATGCCTGTCTAAATTAGCCCAGGTTAGGAGCAGAACAGTAGGACGTTAAACTCCATTTCATTTCATTTCATTTACTAGTCAGTTAAAATTTTAGTAATCAGGGGCCTGTTTCACGAAATTTTAGCTAACGTAAAATCCAAATTTTAGTTATTTGATTGGATAATGTTAGATTGATTTTAGTGCTTAACCAATCGAAACTGAAGTGTCTACTAAAATTTGGATTTTATCTTTCGTTACGATTTCGAGAAACAGGGGCCCAGGTTATAATTAGCTGTTATACCCTTATTTAGGTGTTGAGACCGTGACTTGAATGATATACACCACTATCACTACCGTCCGAGCCACAAACCTCGTAGCACACTGCATAGCATATGCCTGTCTTCATTAGCCCAGTCGATGCAGAAAATAACATGTTACATCCAATTTCATTTCATTACTAACATTTGCATTACTTCAAATTATTATTCTGTTGAAGAGTTTTAAGTTTAATGTATTTAAAATTTTTACCAAATAAAAATAAAACCCAAATAATTACATGTGAATTTTGTATTTTACAGGCTGCAGAACAAGGAAAACCCCCTGAAAATACAAGTCGTTTCTACGCTAAAGGAGCTTTACAGTATTTAATCCCTATTTTATTAACAGCGCTCACAAAACAGGTAGGGGAGGTAATGCACATTATGTTTATTTACTAACTTCAACTCTTTGTGTTTTGTATTGTGCAGAGATACCTCTTGATGACCATTTTAAAATAGTTCTTAATTTTGACGAACAGATTCGGATTAAAAGCCAATTGGGCTGAAAAACCGGGAAACCAGTAAACATATCATTTCCTCTTTGCCTTAGTCCCCTGTTTTCCATCTTGGCTTTGCCATATGAGTGGTGCAGTGAAGGTTTTATCAAGGAAACATCTAGTCGTTGAGATAGGATGAAAAACCAGTCATCAATATGTAGTAACTCTGTATAATACAGTTTATTTTCACCAAATGGGCTGCCTTTAAAGGGACAATAACACTCTTGCTGGCTTGAAAGCTCCAGAAAATAAATAATATCTCTATCTAAGTACTAGATGTTTAAGTGTCCTACCTGTTGTGTAAATTATCCATTACATCCTATTTTACTTGTCCAGAGGGTTCGAAAATATTTTTAAATCGAAGTTTCATTTGAAAAGGTTTACGTTCGACCATTATATTGAATTTTTCAAAATTTTTAAATAAGGTGTGTTAAGATGAAATTTGTATCATCAATTAATTGAAATATTCTAAAATAGTACAATTTGTTGACCAGAATAAAGATTGGGACATATTATTCAGTTACAACAAGAGTGGTATTGAGCCTTTAATAGCATGTTGAATTGGTTCAATTTGATGTCAATAGGTTGAGTTGTTCAGTATTATTATTTCAAACCTATGTTTTAACAAAACATTTTTTCAAATTCAACATTGGCACCATCTGCGGATGTAAATTATAAAATTTTGATGTATCTTACGGACACATCAAATTTCACCAAATCAACACTGTAGTTAAATGGTTCAGGTCTGTTTCAATCAGTTAACATCAGATCAAATGAAATTGTGCAATAATTGGCATACTCTACAAACAATTGGCATACTCTACAAACAATTGGCATACCCTACAAACTGTATAATCAAACCATTGCCACAAATCATATGTAAATCATCAATTTGAGTACAACTTGGTGTGGGTAAAGCAGTGAGAAATTAGATATTGTGCAAAAAGTGCCAATGAAGATCCGCCACTTTGAATGGAAAGATTAATATTTACAAATAAAGTGAATCTCAGCTGATTGACACAATTTTTAAATCTGGATTGAGGAGATTTTATTAATGTTTATGTTCTTCTTTATTTAGGATAGTTACTATATACTTTATAGCTTCAACAGTAATGTTACACTATTTAATTGTTTTGGGGGGGATTTCAATAAATGTAGTCGTGACTCACTTACTGGGGTGTTGGGTGTTAGTTGAGAAAGTGTTTCAGGATGTTCCAACCTGGTTTCCTCCACTAGTGCAGTAGGAAGTTTATGCAAGGGGTTCTAACATCCTACTGTTCTGCTCCGACTAGATCAATGAAGACTGGCTTACGCTATACACTGTGCTATGAGGGAAATGTTGCCCAAACATCGGTGCTACTGCCTACTTTTATTTCGAATTACAACTGTCATGGGTTCTTTTTCCTGCCACCAATATATGTTATCAAAAATTGTCCATTAATTAAATCAAATAGCGATTTTTGCAAATCAAAGACCGACATGACACCTTTATATATATCATTGTGTATTCGTTTTTTCGGTGACGGTACTGAAAATCATATTTTTACAGTTTTTATTACCGTATCTACGACAGTTTTATAATGAAAAATTGTCCAGCTCTACCCCTCCTGGCAAAAAATCATCCTGTCTTCATTACAACAGGAACAGTGGGACATTAATTTCATTTCATTAGCCCAGAAACAGTAAGCCGTTTAACCCTATTTCGTTCCATTTCATTACTCCAGGCCAGGAACAGTAGGATGTTACCGTTTCATTTCATTACCTCCAGCGTGATTTCCCCTTGTCAGTGATGCAGAACGGAGGGCCTGACAAGGACAGCTGTCTAGTCGTTCGGATGGGACGAAAAACCGAGGTCCCGTGTACACATTGGCGTGCACGTAAAAGATCCCTTGGCAGTTAGAATTCGATATAAGAGTAGGCCGTAGTGCCGCTGCCCGGGCAAAATTTCCCTCATAGCACACTGTATGGCGTATGCCCGTCTTCATGAGCCCAGTTTAGGAGCAGAACAGTAGGACATTAAACCCCATTTCATTTCATTACCCCATTTGGTGCAGAAAAGTAGGCGTTACAAACCCCCTTTCAGTTTTATTAGTTTTCAACATTTTTTGTTTTGTTTCATTTCACTTTTAATATTCACTTCACGGTACATTTATTTTATAGCAAGAACTTTTTTAGATGGTCTTCCATTGCTAGATTTGATTCTAAAGTAGGAAAAAATAAATTATATTTCATTGTTAGATCACACAAAAAACAAATCTGGTTCTTGGACACTCCTTTTAAAAAAAATTGGTTGTTTTTTATTTTGTGAAAAATCTAGCTTGTGTTTCAATTTTAAGAAACGCACAGAATTGTTTGTTATAAATTTAATATTTATTCAATTCTTGACGCGGCTGTATCCAAGAACTAGAATATTTGTTTTGTGTGACCTAAGAGTAGAATTTATCACTAATAAAACTTGTGTGTATCTGTGTGTGCAGTTTACTATAGTGCTGATATCTTTATTCTAAAATCACACTTAAGGTAAACATTGAGTTCTGGGAACATGCAGGCCTTGAGATTTGACAGGCGCGCTCGTAAATTAAAACTAGCGAACACAAATTATTGTGCCAGCAAATTATTCAATTTTATGAACATCGATATTTGGGCTCAACATGAATGAATTTTCCCCCACAAAGCCCTGGTCGATATTAGATGTCACCATCACATCGCTGTTTATTTATTCAGGTGGATCACGGTGGCTAAGTGGGTAAGGCGCTGGCTCGCTAGCCTGGAGGTCGGGTGTTCGATCCCTGCATTGGCCGAGAAAGTTCATCTCGATTTTCCGGCGTGGTTTCCCCTTGTCAGTGATGCAGAACAGAGGGCCTGACAAGGAAAGTTATCCTTCGAGATATGGAATTAGCAATTTAATGAGCGATTCTGAGGTGAAGAAACACAAGCGAGGCTGGAAGGGAAACGTGAAACTTAGATCGGTTGTTAAAATACATAGCACATTTCTGCATATTTAATTCAGAACTCTGCCAAAACTATTTAAAAACATTGACAGTTATTTTTAAAATTACTTAAAAGAATTATAAAACCAAAAAATATTCAAAATACAGTGACGAAATTTAATCCTTTTGTCTCCATTAGAACCTCTATCTAACTCCAAAATTAGTAGCCAATCATAATTAGCGATTTACCGGTACATTCAACATGGGTGGATACGATGTAGTTTTAATTATAATCTATCAAAGAGGGGCTTGTTTTTGTTCATTATTTCATGTAAATAAATAATACGCATACAAACTGACATTTTTTGGCATAATTTGTGATTGAAAATCAAATTGGAAGTCAATGTTTAGTGGACTACCTACGGCACTACACCGTAGCCCTCTGATTGAAACACAGATCCAATTTCATTTCGTTTTTTATAGTTTACTTGTCTTTACTACACTTGGATCTGGAAGACTTATTTAAATGTTCTGTCGAATCGAGCGTATGACCTTTTTTGCGCGGAACTGTGGGTAGACATTTCCAGCGATAGAAATCAAAACAAAGGAAAAGTAGATTTAAAATACCTGATGTCATAGAACGTGAACTCCCACTATAACTTGTTTGATCTACATGTAGTGTAGGCCATCGAAAGTATAAAAAACGAAACGAAATATAGATCTATATTTTAATTAGATTGCGCAAAACCAAGATCCACATGGGTACAAATTAGTGACTCGTTAAAGAATCCTTTAGTGGGAATTCAAAGAAAAATAGACCCATTTGGCAGTAAATTATCTTACCATAGAAATTAGAATACATTGGTTCAGTGTTGACAAGACATTAAATACCATTTAATTCTTGTAAAATTTATAACCAATGATGAGATTTATAAAGTTGTAGTGATTGTCTATGAGCTACGTCGATGATCTACTGAGGTTGTATTAATGTGTTAGATCCAATTAGCCTACAAACCTGAAACGCTAGAAGAATGTTATATAAGGATGCTGGTAATTTCCCAACTGAGTATATTGGAGTTCTTGTGATTTGTTGAATAATAACATGAAATAACCATATGTTAGTCCCAAAATGACCTGACCTTGTTTGTGTTGAGTGAATGTTAAAACCCCATTTGTCTTGCTCACTGCAGTCATTGATTTCTGTATAAAGAATTAGTGTTTGTATTATTTGGAAAGAATTTTATTTTTATAATTTTAGGAAGAATTTGACAGTGATGATGAATGGAATCCATGTAAAGCTGCTGGTGTTTGTTTGATGTTGATGGCCACGTGTTGTGAAGATGATATTGTCGGACATGTTTTACCATTTGTACAAGAAAATATACGAAATCAAGATTGGCGATATCGAGACGCTGCTGTTATGTCACTTGGTAACGTATACACATTTTATGAAATAGAATTATTTATTGTTATTTCCAATGGAAGTATTATAGTGTAGGTATTTACGGTGTAGATATTTCCAATAACAGTATTTATAGTGTAGTTACATATATTTCCAGTAAGTAATAGTATTAGGGTTTGCCCCCCCCCTTGTCATTGTTGTAAAACATAGGGCCCGGCAAGGACAGCATCTTGTACTGATGGGACTATAAACCATTGACTTGTATGTAAATAAACCTTGATGTTTGCATTCAAAATAAGAGTAGGCTGTTGTGCTTCTGTTAAGGCAAAATTCCCTTCATAGCGCACTATATGGCGTATGTCCGTCTTGGGCCAATATGTGCAGAAAAGTAGGATGCTAAACCCCATTTCATTTCCATTTTAAATATTAAATAACCAATGATGAGATTTATTAAGTTGTAGTGATTGTCTATGAGCTACGTCGATGATCTACTGAGGTTGTAATAATTGGCCAGGGACTGGACAACGCAGTGGATGCTTACGACTGGCCCTTTGATCCATTTGCTTGATAATAGGCTCAGGATGCTAAAGACTGGCCCACGGATCCATTAACTTGATTTGATATATACATATTGTTTAAATAGTTTGAATTGTAAGTATATCGTGTGTCTTGTGTAATTGTTTGTGTGGTGCAGTCCTCCTGCACTTGCTGTTACACAACAAGCCTGCAATACTTAAAAAAAACATTTGTTATATAATTCTCTGTTTTATTGTTACAGGTTCTATAATAGAAGGACCTGACCCAGCGAAATTAAAACCATTAATGGAACAAGCTATGCCCATGTTGATCGAACTAATGAAAGATCAGAGTGTTGTAGTTCGAGATACGACAGCCTGGATGTTCGGTCGTGTTTGTGAGATTTTACCTGATGCTGTGATTAATGAACAATTCCTTAGTCATCTACTCCACGCTTTACTCGAGGGGTTAGATGGAGAACCAAGAGTAGCTAGTAATGTCTGCTGGGTGAGTAAAGTCTTGTACACCTAGCCTGGTCCCTAGTTTGCAAAGAATTCTCGGACATAAGAATTTACTAAACTTTCAATCAATATCTTTGATCCAGAAACACAAAGCTTTGCACATAGTTTCTTATTGGTGTATTTAGTAAATTCTGAAGTCTGAAGATCCCTGCATTGACCGAGAAAGTTCATCCAGATTTTCCGGCGTGGTTTCCCCTTGCAGGACAGGGCCTAGCAAGGACAGCAGTCTAGTCATTCGGATGGGACGAAAAACCAAGGTCCGGTGTACATATTGGCGTGCACGTAAAAGATCCCTTGGCAGTTGGAATTCGATATAAGAGTAGGCCGTAGCTCCGCTGCCCAGGCAAAGTTTCCCTCATAGCACACTGTCGGCCCAGTTTAGGAGCAGAACCGTAGGACGTTAAACCCCATTTCATTTCATTTTTCATTTGATATTGAAAATATCGTCATTGTTAAAATGACATTGACACTTCACAGGCATTGAGGCAGAATTATTTCACACGCTTTTGTCTGCAACCATCTTCTTTTGTTAAGAAGCGACACATATGACACTTTTGTCGTGATTAACCAGTTTCAATAATGAATCAAACCATAGCCATAGTAAAGGGAAATAAATCTCTGGATACATTTCAGGTTGACGCGCGAAATAAAATTTAAAGATCATGGAAAAGTGCAATAAAATATTTTAAGTCTTAGGTGGTTTTAGTTGGTCACGTTAAGCTAAACAGATATTTTTAAGGTTAGCCTAACCTAGGTTTATAGCTAGTAATGTATCGAAATACTTCATAATCTTGACGCTCTGTTTGTCCTTGATTTGTTTCCGAAATATATCTCATGAACTGTTGTACATATACCTGCCTATATCGTACCTATGCCTTTTGTTAATTAGAAATTGTTGATAATTTGTTTTACCATGAAAAAAATTTGAATTTATTTTGTTGAAGACCGGGTATTCTTGTCGTTACCTCTTCTATATGTAATTATTTGTTTTTCAGGCATTTTCAAGTTTAGCAGAAGCTGCATACGAAGCAGCAGAAACTAACGCAGAAGAAGGTCATCCGGAAACTTATTGTCTTTCAACATATTTCGAATCGATCGTTGGCAAACTTTTACAGACTACAGACAGGTCAGTTGCAATTCTGAAAGCTTAGTTAAAGGACAATATTGGTGCCAGTCATTATCAAATATGCGAAACACATTCCAAATATAATTTTATCTCAGAGATCATTGCTACGATAGCTGAGTAATACAGTTTTTCTGAATCGGAAGTGACAAACGCCAATGGAAAACACGAGACGCCTCTCTATATAACTGACTGATGTGACGAATGATATAACGGATATACAGGCGAATTTCTGCTCACTAAAAATTTCTTTGAAGACCAAAAGTTGTTGTGTGAGACTGTGAGACGATATCTGACAATTCATAAAAAGAATTGAGTGTCACTAGAGAAGTGAACACGAAAGAAAAACAGAAAAAGTCCGTACATTACCATGTTTTTATAAGGTATAGAATGAATATAAACAAGGGAATGTACGGACTATTTCTATTTTTCTCGTGTTCTCTTATCTAATGACATTCAATTACTTTATTGAATTGTCGGGTATCCTCTTACAGTCCCATATAATAACTTTTGGTCTCCGAAGGAATTATTAGTGAGCAGAAATTCGACCATATGTGTTTTCCTTTGGCGTTTGTCACTTCCGATTCAGAAAAACTGTATTATTCGGCTATCGTAGCAATGATCTCTGAGATAAAATTATATTTGGAATGTGTTTAACCAGCTCTATCACATATGTGATAATGACTGGCACCAATATTGTCCTTTAAATGCTCCATACTCGGTGGGAAGTCTGGGGTTCGCTCCTGGCGTTAGCCATGGAGGTTTCTCTGTATATTCCTGGCAAGGACAGTGTCCAGTGGTTGGTATGGTACGCCCCGGTTGTACGTGACAAGGAGTAGGGTCGCCCGTCCAACCTCGTGGGTTTTCTCCGGGTCCTCCGGTTTCCTCCCACTGCTAAAGACCCCTACGCGCAAGCGAATTATTGAAATAAAATTAAAAAACATGTTAGTCCCGAAATGACCTAGTTTGTGTGAGTGTACGTTAAACCCCATTTCTCTCTCTCTTGTATGGTACGCAAAGCTGTGGTCCCATCTACCCATTGGCGTGCTGGAATTTGAAATAAAAGTATGGTGTGAGCATGTCTTGTAACATGGATGGGAAATCTTCCTTTGTTCTTTTCGTTGAATAAGCAGATTGTTTTCCCTCTAGTAGATTGGGTGGAGCTTAACCGTGCAATAACAAGACATGTTCAATGTTATTGCACACTTTTGCTGGTTTACACTAGTTTTAGTAGAAATCATATAGAGAAGTGGGGTGGTTTTTCTGTGCAATAACAACAAGCAGGTGTCAATGTTACAAGTCATTTATAGCACTCTTCATTCGTTAACAGGTTGAACACCTCGGCCTTCAGTCTCTTTTTAAACCTGTTAACTCATGAAAGCCATGCTATAAATATAACTTCATTAACCCAGTCTTTGGAGAAAAGTAGGGCGTTGATCCACATTTCCTTTCCATACAAAAATATCTCAAATCTAATACAGTAGTTTACAATATCTCAAATCTAGAATTTTATTGGCTCGGTGAGTATAGTGCTGGCACACTCACCAGGTGGCCAATTATCTCACCTGTTGGCCCAGGCTCATTCACCAGGTGGTCATGGCTCAATCCCAGTGTTCAGTCACAGAGAGAGTTCTTTTGCTTTTTCCAGCCTATGAGGACAGGGGACCTGGCAAGGAACAGTGTGTTAGTCATTTAGTTTTGGATGAAATATGTATTCCTATGTATACCATAATGCATGGCTTATTAAGTCTCTATTAGTCCTGGTTGTTAAGTCTCTCTTAGTCCTGGTTGTTAAGTCTCTATTAGTCCTGGTTGTTAAGTCTCTATTAGTCCTGGTTGTTTCTGAAACTAAGATGTTAATCTTCATTTCATTGTAGACCTGATGGAAATCAACATAATTTAAGAAATGCAGCATATGAGGCTTTGATGGAAATGGTTAAAAATAGCCCAAAGGTAAGAAATTGGGTTTCATACCAACTATTCAATTTCTAGCTGGGGTTCGGGTAAATTATTCAGACTATATCTGGCTAGAGGTTTATTCATTATATAACATGTTTTGTTTCGGAACAGACACCCGTTCACCAATGACAAGACACTTGTCAGACAAGCATTGATCAGTGCCAGACATGTTGTAGTGTACAACTTATATTATTAAGTTGGATATAGTTGTTTTAGTTACAGCTGACCATTGAATTACTACCGGACATTTTAAACTTTGTGTTGGGCATGTATTAAAATTTTCAATAAAAACACTGATAAAACCACAAATCTATGCTGGATAAATAAACCGGCACCAGAGCCACTTTGCCTGACAAGTTCTGAATTGATGCCTGACAAAATCTGTGACAGGTGGTTTATTTCAAGGCTTTCCGGCCTATCATTGCAACTTTTACGAATTCATGTTTTATTAAAATAACTATTTATAAAAAAAACAAGAAAGTAATATGACATTGTGAAAACTGTTATATGTTTTATTTTATTACAGGATTGTTATGTTATTGTACAGAGTACTACTATGATAGTTTTAGAAAGATTACAGAAAGTTTTAGCCATGGAATCGGCCGTACAATCGAGTAATGATAGAAATCAGTTTAATGATTTACAGTCCTTACTATGTGCCACATTACAGGTAAATTACAGTCCTTACTATTTACCACATTACAGGTAAATTACGGTCTTTACTATGTGCCATGTTACAGGTACAGTCCCCTTCCTCTTTACCATGTTACAGGTAAATTCTTTGTCTAATGTCAAATTCTTACAGCTGGCCTTGCAGTTGGAGCGGGGACTTGTGAAATTTGTTAATAAATGCTTCTAAAGAATTATTCGTTGTCGTGATAGCAATATGGTTTCCATTACCAGCTTCAGTCATATACATTGTAGTAACGAGATATCAAGAAAGTTATGGGTTCTGAAAAGATAGTTAATATGCCATTTCCTTCATGAAATAGAGATTCAAGATATTGTTCTGTTCAGAGAAATGATATAACCAATGATGAGATTGATAAAGTTGTAGTGATTGTCTATGAGCTACGTCGATGATCTACTGAGGTTGTATTAATGATTCAACACAACTGACATAATTGTGCAACAGACGTACATTAGGATGTTCTGTGCAGCAGGCGTACATTAGGGTGTTCTGTGCAGCAGGTGTACATTAGGGTGTTCTGTGCAGCAGGTGTACATTAGGGTGTTCTGTGCAACAGGCGACTGTAAAGTATCTATGAATTAAAAGTTGTATTTTTATAATGATTTTGTTTATTGCAGAGTGTATTACGTAAAGTAACACCTGAAGATGCTCCCCAGATCTCGGATCCTATAATGGCTGCGTTATTACAGATGTTAAGTACAGGTGGAAAGACAGGTGGGGTACAGGAAGATGCTATTTTAGCAGTTTCCATTCTTATAGAAGGTGAGTTGACAAGGCATGTTACTTTTTGAGGGGTGGTAGCAAGTGGTAGGGTATTGATCGCTTGTCCAACCTTATGTGTTTCCTCTCTCTGTAGAAATAAATTATACCATATGTTAGTCCCTAAGTGATGTTGAGTGGGACCTTGAACCCCAGTTTAAAACAAACAGACCATAAATTGTATTTTCTCACCTTGAACTGTTAGTCTTGTACATGGTAGATTGATTTTTAGTGGAATATAAGGTTATTGTGTCATCAGAATCCTATAAAAATTGAAATTATAACACAAGTAGACTAACTTCCTGTAAATATCTTGCTTTTAAAACTGTTGAATGCAATTTGAATAATTCTGTCATATTTTACAAGGTATTCCAAATGAGATGAATATCGGGGTTTTTTTTATTAATCCAAATATTTTATTTCAGTTATGGGAGAAGCTTTTGAGAAATACGTGGAAGCATTTAAACCTTTCCTTGCCGTAGGTCTTCAAAATTACGCTGAATATCAGGTAACTATTGCTTCTAAACAAATACGACCTCAACCGAGTCTTCTTGGAATTGTGATGTCAATCGATGCACAAATGTCCAAGGAACAAGCCTACCAAGTTTCATGTCGATTGTATTTGAATTAACTGAGTCTCTTGAATGGATATTACCATATTATAGGATGTATTTTACCATATTATAGAATGTTTTGGTTATTTTCAGGTTTGTTTAGCATCTGTTGGTGTTGTTGGTGATTTAAGTCGAGCTTTAGGTTTAAAAATATTACCACTATGTGATGATTTAATGAGAGCCCTTTTAGTTAATTTAGGTGTAAGTATTTATAGGTTTTTATACACCCACATTGAAATGTGGTCGTATATTGTCGTCGCCCCTGTCAGTCCGGAGGCCAAAGTTAATAATATCCAATTGACTTTAAATTTAAACAGTTTAAGGTCATGAGACGATAAAGCCTATTGATTTTCAGCGATTTCCGATAATTACTGTCAGAGTTATGACCCTTGTGGATGCTCTAGATGCCAAAGATAATATCCAATTATACAGTGTTTAAAGTCATGAGACAAAAAAGCCTATTGATTTTCAGCTATTTCCGATAATTACTGCCAGAGTTATGGCCCTTGATCACTTCAAAATATCTTGTGGATGCTCTAGAGGCCAAAGTTAATATCCAATTGACTTTAAATTTATACACAGTGTTTAAGGTCATGAGACGAAGAAGCCTATTGATTTTCAGCAATTTCCGATAATTACTGCCAGAGTTATGGCCCTTGATCATTTCAAAATATCTTGTTTATGCTCTAGAGGCTAAAGTTATCATCCGATTGACTTTAGATTGATACAGAGTTTAAGGTCTTGAGACAAGCATATTGATTTTCAATGAATTTTGATAACCTGAACAGCTAAATCCATGATATTAAATGTTTTGTATATTAAACATTAGCATGGGGCAGAACTTTATAAAAACCAAACAAATTCTAATGATTTTCTGATAATTACTTAATGAGTTGTTATTCTTAATCAGATTTTAGATATTATAAATATGTGACAAAAAAATGTGACAACTCTTGTTGACTGCCAGGACGATTTAGCTGCTGTGGGCGTTTGTTTAGCCATTGGAGAATGCTTGATAAGAAAGAAAATAGGGCTGGGTGGCTGAATGGGTGTGAGCTTAAGATCATAACGTTTGTCAAGTGGCATGGTTTTGATTCCCAGCTTGTACATGACGAGTAAGGTTGCTTGTCCAATCTCATGGGTTTTCTCCTCCCACTAATAATGATCCAATACACACAGGGAAATTATAGAAACAACTTGAACAATATGTTAGTCCCAAAATGACCTAGTTTGTGTTGAGTGGACCTTAAACCCCATTTCTCTCTCATAGAAAGGAATCGCAACCTTGTCTTGGAATAGGAACTAATCTGTGTAGATTTTCAATGAGATGTTCCAACCTCCAACAATTGTTCAAGACAGATAATTATTTGCCTTTTCCCCTGTCCTGCTGTTAATTTATAATTGTTGTGCTAATAGAATAGAGAGAATCTAAAGTCTATCTGTAAGTTAGCTTTCTTGTAATATTCTGTAAATGGTATGCACGAGCTGTAGGACACTGGTCCAACGACTAAAATGGCCCGGGACTAGAGGAGAAAAAGTGGGGGTTAGAATTGAAAGAAGTGTATGTGGAAAGTCGACTGTGGTTTAATTATTCTCGAATAGGACACAACCTTAGAAATTGATATTACAATAAGGTAGTCAGTCGCAACTTGTTGATGCACCAACCTCATTCCATATTTTGTGTTTTGAAGAACTTTATCATCTTAATGTACAGATATTTGGTGTTAGAAACCTATTTATATTCTATTTTAAACTATTTCAGAATGAAAGTGTACATCGTGCTGTTAAACCTCAGATTTTATCTGTGTTTGGAGATATAGCATTGGCCATCGGACCAAACTTTAAATCTTATTTAGAAGTTGTACTCAGTACTTTACAACAAGCTTCTCAAGCACAAGTTGATAAGGTAAGAAAAAGCACCAGTGTTTACATATTGTTGGTATGAAAATGTCTTGTAAAACTTAGTCTCATTGCGTTATTTTACCAAAATAGGAATCACTTACAAACTACAATATTGTTAAAGATGTATATCTTATTGGTACAAAAATGGTTATATTACGTTTAGTATTTATAAAGATGTGTTGCAGTGAAATTTCATCTATACTGCTTGCTATGTAATAAGCTAATCACCATTTTGTTGTTGCTGAAGAATTGATAAGCCTATTTTAAATTTGATTGAATGTCAGTCATGAGGTTATATTTGTGTTGATTGCTTATATGACCAGAGACTGTCGATGAGGACCGACAATCATAATCTGGAGAATATTTTATTTCAGATTGACTAGGATATGATTATTAAAAGCTGCCTATTAAAAATGATATATTATTTCAGACTGACTATGATATGATTGATTATTTAAATGAGCTACGAGAAGGATGTTTAGAAGCGTATACGGGTATAGTTCAAGGATTGAAGGGCGACGGTGAACAGAATAATCGTAAGTTGTTAATTTATCACACCCTAGGAGAAAGATTTTATCAAGCATTATGAGAGAGATTTTATGACACGCTAGGAGAGATTATAAAACCAGTGGAAAGTCACTGAACCTGTTATTGTTGTCAACCCTGCCCATCTTCGCATTTTGTTTGTGGACAGTCTCCATGTCACAATTTTTATCCCATTTTGATCGAACTTGAAATATTGGTTTTTATCCAAAACATCTGGGTTCCTTTCGATATTGGCATGTATCGGACCGTAACTTCATGCATTATGTTCCCCTGATTGTACGAAAAATCACATGTTTAGCTTGTGGACACTCAAGAGGTAACAATTTTTATCCAATTTTACAAATCATGTGAATGAATTCAGGAACGAGCGGTATTCGTCCACTACGATGTACAGTCTGGGCCTGTTTGTGTGACCTAAATGCTTGTGGTATGTTTCATTGCCTGACATCGTGTGTTTATTTCAGCTGATATAACCCTGTTATTGCCACATGTACCTCACATGGTATCGTTTGTTGAACATATTTCCGTAGATGAAGATAAAAGTGACAGTAATGTATCGGCTTGCTGTGGTCTTATAGGGTAAGTACTTGCATCTTTCTGCACAACATCTTTGTGGCTGGTGGACATCTTCCTGCACAACATCTTTGGGCCTGCACAACATCTTGGGGGCCGGGTGGACATCTTCCTGCACAACATCTTTGGGCCTGCACAACATCTTTGGGGGCCGGGTGGACATCTTCCTGCACAACATCTTGGGGGTTGATTGGACATCATCCTACACAACATGGGGTCAAAATCGTTCACTGTGTATTAAATATTGGATATTAGGATCCTATATTTTTTAAAAATTCCAATAAATCATGTTTGCATGAGTTAGAGCTGTATGTCCTGTAATAGAGAATTTACTGTATTTTCCTGTATACTTGTAGCGATATTTGTGCTGCTTTTGGACCCCAAGTATTAGGAATGGTGGAAAAGGAATCGATACAAAATTTACTGACTATTGGAAGAAGATCTAAAACTCATAAAACTAAAACATTAGCCAACTGGGCTACCAAGGAAATACGCAAGATGAAAGCTACTTCATGGTAAGTACATTCTTTGAATTAATACTACTTTCAATATATAGTGGTCTAACGGTATTTTGATGCATGAGGTTTAAAAGTAAAAAAAAAAAGACTTGTAACAATACATGGCTCGATGAAACCCTAACTTAACACACTGAAATAAAAAGGTGTTAATGAAACCCTAACTTAACATGCCAGAAATAAAAAAGGTGGCACATAAACAGTGCTGCCGACAACCAGTATCGCAGCGCAATTTGCGATACATATTTTGTCCGTTGCTAACCAAAAATTAAAATCTAACGTTTTTGATTCGCAGTTACTGCGAATCATTAATATGCCTGTCATTTTGGATATTGACACAAGAATAATCCACATTTTGAAGACTAGAAGGCTTGCTCAACACTTTCAACGTGTATAAAATGTTGAATAAAATTTTATAAACAAAACTGAATTCTCCGCGTGACATTTTCTTCTCGAACTACCCAGACACAATACTATATAACACAGGGACATAACTCTATGAATAGGAACTATTAAACCGGAAATAGGGAATCAAGTAGTACCACTCACATTGCGAGACATCAAGTAATTATATCATATTTATTTTGAAACGTGACAAAAAATAATTAAAATGAGTGGGGCTTCGAAAGTCACTGTCAAGAATTGGCTTCAGACATAAGACCTAACTAAATGTCTACATCACATTCACAAACTGTCACAAGTACTTGTGGCAGTGCTAAAAAATCTAAGAATTTAAAGAATAGTCAGAATGGAATCTAATCATATTTGTTATGAATTAAAGTAATATCTTGTTATTTAGGTGTTTTACGTTGAAACTGAAAAACTGCTAATCAATTTTTAAATTTGCTAATCAAATTTGGCAAAATTGGACTTTTTGATTAGCAGTGCTGCTAATCAACTGTGAAAAATTACTGACAGCCCTGCACATAAATGTAGTTAATTGCACATTTATCTTTTAAGTAAAGCATAGAGCAATACAAGGGGTGGTCAAATGGTTTAATGCATGCACCTTAGATCATAAGGTCCGTCATTAAGGCTTGTGGCAGGGTTTCCATTCCCTGCTTGTACGTTACAAGGTCCAACCTTGTGGGTTTTCTCCAGGTCCTCTGGTTTCCTCCCACTTACAAAAACTGCTATGTGCAAGTGAAATATTGAAATAAAATCAAACCAGCAATCGAAATACTTATGATCGATCTTGATCAATGTTTTGATTAAGTGTGACTGTACACCCCTCAATTATCGTGTCTTAAAGCATTGACCAATCAAATTGCATATCTGTTTTGCCTTAGGGTGGAGTTGGATGGTCGAGTGGTTAGCGTGTGTGCGTTGTATCATAAGGTCTGTCATTGAGTCAACTGGTGTGGTTTTGATTCCCCGGTTGTACACAAGGAGTAGGGTTGCCTGTCCAACCATGTGGGTTTTCTCTGGGTCCTCCGGTTTCTTCGCACTGCTGAATACCCCAACGCGCAAGCGAATTATTGAAATTAAATTGAACCATATGTTAGTCCCGAAATGACTGAGTTAGATGATCAATTACTACTGCTGAGGATATGACATCAGGGATCTGACTCAAAACCATAAGCCAGACTTGGCCCACCAGCTAGAGTTCGAAGCGGGACATTCTCGACCACTAGGTCATTTATTTTAGCGGGATTAGGACCATGAACATCGCCCTCACTGTTGTTTGGTTGGTTCAGATTGATTTATCCCAACTATAGATTGTACATGTCATTATCCTGAAATGATCTCATGTGTGTGCTTTAGATCAGAAGGTCTGTCATTGAGTCTGCGCTTGAGATCATAAGGTCGAGCATTGAGTCAACTTCCATGGTTTATAGAGGTGGCAAATAGTATGGTCGCCTTTGGTTTCCTCCCACTGCTAAAGAGACCCTAGATAACAAACCTTATCTCTTCAACCCTCTGTGTTTCGAGATAAGAAATGGTGCTATTAACTTCAACGTAGCACATGCAGGAGCGATTCGCACCCGGCATTTGTAAACAAAATTGACTATTTTTAATCAAAACAACGATTGATTATTGTTATTTATAATATTTCTGCCACACCCAACTACAATTAAGCATATAATCCTGCCTGAAACGGGTACAAATCCCCTCTTTTTAAATCAAAGCGACCGTAGATTGCTTTTTCCGACATTTTAAAGTTACGTCTGTAACACATAAGACATAAAGGTGGGGCCTCGTGTGCAATAGCCAATCAAAGTAATAATCTGATCAGAGTTGCGCTGTAGTAATACGCCGTAATTATGAGTGTCCGAATCAATTTTGATAAAAACAACGCTTGATTTACTTTGTCAATATTTGCTGATAAATGAATGTTGTTTCAGGAGATTGGGCTGTGTATGTGTAATAAGTACTAATAGTATAAAATTAATTTATTTTTAAGATGGTACATGCATTAATAAAGAAATTGAGTTTGCCACTTGGAACTAAAGGCATCCAATCGTAGCTAAAAACAAGCACATCAGTATATCTCAGCATATTTAGTTACGTTCTCATAGCTAAAGAGACCCCTAAGGGACCAGCGAGCGAATTATTTAAATAAAATTAAACTATCGTAGTTGCTTCCCTTTGATTCATTATTTTCTTTGGTTGTTTCAGATGTTCGAATTGAAGATTGGTCATCGCCGAAAAGTGATGAAACAAAACTTGTAATTGGACTGACTTGTCATCTGCGAATCAAGTTGGTCCTCGTGCGTGAGAGAAAGTTGAGTGGAAGGAGGGAGAAAGTGGGAGTGATTCAGTTTGCAGTGTCAAACCGGGGTCAACCAGGGGTTAAAGTTCACAGAACCTCTGGACCCCGACTTCCGAGAACTACATCTCTTCCTGTAAGAATTCCGTGGAATTCTTCCTCGAGTTAAAACAAAATGTCCGTCGTCTTTCGTGAAGTTATAGACCAGTAAAGACAACAAGTTATCCAGTGAATTGTGATAGACATTTGTATCCAGTGACATGTTATGATCATGTCATCTTTCATTTCAAGTGAGGTCGTGCCATTGACGTCACATTGATAATAAGTTATTATATATAATATGCAGATTATGATTTCTTCTATGCAGTGATCAAAATCAATTTCACATACAGATATTACCAAAGTTTCGAAATTCTCACTAAATTTAAACTCCTACGTTGAAATAAATTTTCAAAACTTTTCTATAGCAGTTAAATGCTAATTCTTCAAAATTCAAACTGAATTCGACCACTGCACCTGCAAAGTGTCATAATCTGAAAACAGAAAGGTTAATTAATTTTTAATAAAGATTCTCATTGACTTTGTAAAGTAGTTATTATATTTGGTTGTTTTTCTTTTTTTGTTACTTATGTTGTGTTGTTGCAGTATTTAAAATGCTCAAAACAATTAGCTTTTTGTTAAAAACTTTAAAAAAGTGCTAACTATAGAACTGAATGATGCTAGTTATGGCTTGTACAGTTTCTGTAAATCTACTGCTGTCAAGATTTCATCCCCTCTTAAAATCTTTATCTTTTTACAAATTATTATTCTCATAATTTCAAACAAAGGCACAAAAATCTTTTTTTCTTATCCTGATTTTGTTCATCTTTTCAGTTGTTTTAATGTGTATCATATTATTATGCTATATTTAGTACAAGCGTGGAAATAATTATTCTGAAAACCTCATAACTGTAAATGTATTTTAATGTTCTGGATAAAATTTTAGAAAGTGTAAAGCACTTGTAAATCTTTTTGTCCACTTCACGAACCTACTCAAATTACGATTTTAGTTTAAGCTGTGTTTGTACTTAAAATTAATGATTAATTCTTGTCCACATTCATTGTATGGAAGAGCTCTGATGTCGGTATTTATTTGCTACATGTATGAAGAATTATTTCCAGACTTGTAAATAATATGTTAGGTTTTTGTGCAATTTGTAAAAATAACCTTTATTGTCATCTCTTCTTCTTGATCACCTCTATCTATATTAGATCGATCATCTATCCATATTTGATTGATTATATTACATCGATCATCTATCCATATTTGATTATCTATATTAGATCGATCATCTATCCATATTTGATTGATTATATTAGATTGATCATCTATCCATATTTGATTATCTGTATTAGATCGATAGTCTTGTCAATTTTTGATAAATCATCTATCCATATTTGATCGAACATCTTTCCATATTGGATTGGCTATCTATATTTGATCAATCATCCATCCATATTTGATCGATATACAAGATAAAAATATATAAAGATAATCAACCAAATATGGATGGTTATCGACCAAATATGGATGGTTATCAACCAAATATGGATGGTTATCAACCAAATATGGATAGATAATTGACCAAATATGGATAGATAATTGAGTAAAAAAATATTTTTGATCGATCATCTATCCATCTCTATATTTTTGTCTGTCGTCTGTGATATGTTATAGAATATAATGAACTATATTCCCTGCCTTCTATCAGATATTATATATAACAGAAACAAAACCCATTGTAAATCTAACTCTTAATAAAAAAAAAAATAATAAAAAAACACACACTGCAGAATGTTTATACTAGTCTTGTCTTGTTTATCTTGTTGGGTTGCCAAATGGTCCAAGACAAGGAATGTTCGATTCCCTGCTTGTACACGGGGTAAGGAGTAAGATTGTCTTTCAAACTTGGGGGTTTTCCTTGGGCTTTTCAGTTTTTTCCCACTGCAAATTTTTAGAATAAAGTTGAACCTTTTTCTCAATTAACTGATTATGTTTCAGTAGAAAGTCTTGGATTTGAAGAGATTCAAATAAAATTCCTTACTACTGTTTGACTATATATTACAGTATAGTCAAACAGTATTAAAATTTTTTTATTTTAATCCTTTCAAGTACCTGTGTCTTCCCCCTCCAATTCTCAACCTCTCACTTTCTGCTTCCTTCAAGGAGGGGGATCATGGTGGGTAAGACGCTGGCTCGCTAGCCTGGAGGTCCGGTGTTGATCCCTGCATTGGCCGAGAAAGTTCTGATTTTCCGGCATGGTTCCCCCTTGTCAGTGATGCAGGATGGAGGGCCTGACAAGGACAGCTGTCTAGTCGTTCGGATGTGCCGGAAAACCGAGATCCCATGTACATATCGGCGTGCATTGGAATTCGATATAAGAGTAGGCTGTAGTCCGCTGTCCTGGCAAAATTTCCCTCATAGCACAATGTATGGTGTATGCCCATCTTCATTAGCCCAGTTCGGAGTAGGACGTTAAACCCCATTTCATTTCCCTCGAGGAGCAACTGTAACCCCTCTCTGACTTAAGTTAAAATTATTTATTCAACTTTCAATCACTGTTTATGACGAGTATGTTTGATCCAGAAACACAAACTTGATACATTAACAAACGTTTTATAAAGGTGAATATTTTAGTTCAAACAAGCCGACAGTGAGGCTGATGTCCTCTGACGAATTCCAAAATAAATAGATGACACATTAATTAATAGCACATTTATTTCTTTCAAAAGTATCAAGCAATCAAACTGATAATCAACTATACACTAAGTTTTATCACTCTCTATCAGATAGAATCAAAGTTATCGTGTCCCAAAGCATCGACCAATGAAATTGCTTAGCTTAGCTTTAACTCAAAATGTTAATCAGTGAACTGAGTCAAGACATTCACCTAATGAACATCTACCTCAATTAAAAGCATAGTTGTTATGTTCCAAAGTCTCGACCAATCAAATTGCTTATCGCTCCTTAGTCTAAGCGAAAATTCTCATCATCGAACTTAGTCAAGGTATTGATATAATGAATTTATACTCTGCGTTTCATCACTCTCACTTAATTTAAACTAAAGTTATCGTGTCCCAAAGCATCAACCAATCAAATTGCTTATCGCTCTGCTTACCCTGAGCAGAAAATGCTCATTATCGAACTTAGTCAAGGTATTGATGTAATGAAACTATACACCAAGTTTCATCACTCTCACAGGGGGGTTGGATGGCTGAATGGTTAGCGTGCGCGCGCTGTATCATAAAGTCTGTCATTGAGTCGACTGGCATGGTTTCGAATCCCCGGTTGTACGTGGCAAGGAGTAGAGTCGCCTGTCCAACCTCGTGGGTTTTCTCCGGGTCCTCTGGTTTCCTCCCACTGCTAAAGAACCCTACGCGCAAGCGAATTATGTAAATAAAATTAAACCATGTTAGTCCCGAAATGACCTAGTTTGTGTCGAGTGGACTTAAACCCCATTTCTCTCTCTCACTTAAATAGAACTAAAGTTATCGTGTCCCAAAGCATCAACCAATAAAATTGCTTATCTCTGCTTACCGTAAGCAGAAAATGCTCATCTTCAAACTCCATCAAGGGATTCACGTAATAAACACCTATACCAAGTTTGAACATTCTAACTCGATTAGAAAGAGAGTTATTGTGTCCCAAAAAGTGTGACAGACAGAAAGGCGGGGGACAATAAGGCGAACAATAGAAATGTCATTTCCACATGTTAATGTGGGCATATAAAAATGCAAGACAAAACAAGATTGAGATATATAATTTATATTGATACTCCATTAAATATAGATTCAGTTGTTTTTATTATCAAGGTTTTCAATTTAACAGCTTGTCACATCCCAACTAGATTATCCATGAGGTTGATCTTTATTTCATCACAGTTTAGATTTAAAATTCCATTTTAATATCTATAATAAAGAAAATACAAATTTCCATTTTAATATGAAAATTATGTCCAAAAGACCAGGGAGACACAGTGACTCAATGAGTAAGGTTGGTGTAGGACACACTTCATTACCAGAAGTCCATATACGGATACAAACATTTGGTCGTAAAGTTTTTCAAATCTATCACTTCTAAATTGTATTAATATACAGCTAATTAAACAATAAAAATAATCCATTTCAATGAAGCATGGGAAGCTACGTTGGGTAAGATGTTGGGTAAGATGCTGGCTCGCTATCCTGGAGGTTGCGTTTTTGATCCCTGCATTGGCCGGGAAAGTTCATCGGGATTTTCCGGGGTGGTTTCCCCCTTGTCAGTGGTGCAGGAAGGAGGACCGGACAAGAACAGCTGTCTAGTCGTTCAGGTGAAATGAAATGAAAAACCGAGGACCCATGTATACATTGGCGTGCATGTAAAAGATCCCTTGACAGTTGGAATTTGATATAACAGTAGGCCATAGTGCCGCTGCCCTGGCAAAATTTCCCTCATAGCACACTGTATGGCATATGCCTGTCTTCATTAGCCCAGTCGTAGCAGAACAGTAGGAGGCTAAACCGCATTTGATTTCAATGAAGCATACCCTACTGTATACATGATACCAGCCAGTCTAAACACTGAAGTTTAAGTTGTTCTGACTAAATACCATATAAGATATTAACTCACCACTCTGCTCTAGTAATTTGCCTTTCCAAGATTCTTCTAAATTCTTTAAAAACTTTTCAAAAACTTCAATAGAAGCTGCCAAAGATGTCTTCTTAAAATCTGTTTATAAGCAAAATAAAATATATATATATATATATATAAAATATTGTATAACCAATTATTACAAACAAATTACTGCAGATTAACGTAATATTTGTCACAAACCAAACATTCAAGTTATCAACGTAACCTGACTGTATCTGTCTTCATTAGCCTACAGAACATTCATTATATCTGTAGCTAGCTGTACCACCCTGTGTGGCAGTGGATATTAAAACCAATAGTAACTTGTAACCAGCGGCTGCCAGGCAGGATACGCCCACATTTTCGAGAGATGGATAGAAAACGGGCTAAAACGAAAGTGATTTTTCCTACAATCAAGAGCCATAATTCAGGAAATTACAATTCGATATGTGCAAATATCGAAAGGAACCAAGATCTTTGAGTTATAAACTTACATTTCAAGTTTCAACAAAATCGGATAAAAATTGTGACCTCTATAGGGTACACAACCTTGATATACCATATTTTTATGCAATTTGAGAACGAGGGGCGGCCATTTTGTCTGTCAGTTTTGGGCCGATTTTCACGAAATTCGAACTCAGTCGTCCTTAGGGTGTAACGGTGATATAATACTACGTTTTTTTAAATCAGATCAAAATTATGACCTCTATAGGGTCCACAAGCTAAAAACACGATTTTTCGTACAATCAGGGGCCATAATTCAATAAGTTACAGTCCGATATGCGCGAATATCGAAAGGAACCGAGATCTTTGGGTTATAAACTTACATTTCAAGTTTCAACAAAATCGGATAAAAATTGTAACCTCTGATATACCATATTTTTACGCTATTTGAGAACGAAGGGCGGCCATTTTATCTGTCAGTTTTTGGTCGATTTTCACGAAATTCGAACTCAGTCGTCCTTAGGGTGTAACGGTGATATAATAATATGAATTTTTAAATCGGATAATAATTATGACCTCTATAGGGTCCACAAGCTAAAAACGTGATTTTTTGTACAATCAGGGGCCATAATTCAGGAAGTTACGGTCCGATATGCGCGAATATCGAAAGGAACCAAGATCTTTGTGTTATAAACTTAGATTTCAAGTTTCAACAAAATAGGATAAAAATTGTTACCTCTATAGGGTCACAACCTTGATATACCATATTTTTACGCTATTTGAGAACGAACGGCGGCCATTTTGTTGGTCAGTTTTGGCCGATTTTCACGAAATTCGAACTCAACCGTCCTTAGGGTTTAACGGTGATATAATAATACGTTTTTTTTAAATCGGATAAAAATTATGACCTCTATAGGGTCCACAAGCCCGCGTTTTTCATACAATCAGGGGCCATAATTCAGGAAGTTATGGTCTGATATGCGCGAATATATCGAAAGGAACCGAGATCTTTGGGTTATAAACTTACATTTCAAGTTTCAACAAAATCGGATAAAAATTGTGATCTCTACAGTGTTCACAAGCCACAAACTTGATTTTTCGTACAATCAGGGGCCATAATCCATGAAGTTACGGTCCGATACATGCCAATATCGAAAGGAACCGAGATCTTAGGGTGATAAACCTATATTTCAAGTTTCATTGAAATCGAATAAAAATTGTGACCTGTAGACTGTTCACAAACAATTGTAGACGGACGTCCGGACGGACAGACAGGGGCGACGACAATATACGTCCACATGAAAATGTGGGCATATAAAATCAAGACCAACTGCTGACAGAATGTATGAAATAAAGAAAGTAAACTAGATATAAAATATGTACCTTTAACTTTCTTGGTGGTATCTGTTGTTTCACAATTATCTATTTCATCTAACAGTTGGCTGTAAAATACATTCTATCTTAATAAATAATCAATTCTAAATTTCTACATGCAATTAACTAAGATAGGTGGCCAGGCAACGAAACATACACCCACAGCAGTTAAATCTTCTGGGCGGTCAACAAGGGTTGTCGCATATTTATTCTTTTGTAGGTAATTGGGGGCAATTACAAGACAATTTCATACAGATCAGATTATAATTTTAGTTGTTTGAGGGTTCACAAGGTTCTACAAACTGAAACAAGGGCCTTAAGTCTGGAAGTAATTTACAGAAATTGTTGAAATTTGACAGGGTTTTTCATTTTACTAATTTAAATAATGTGTATAAATTTCATACAGATCGGATGATAACTTGTCATTCGAACATTCACGAGGTTTATAAAGTAAAACAAGAGAGAGAGAGAAAGAGAAATGGGGTTTAACGTCCACTCGACACAAACTAGGTCATTTTGGGACTAACATTGGTTCAATTTTATTTTCATAATTCGCTTGTGCGTAGGGGTCTAGTAGTGGGAGGAAACCGGAGGACCCGGAGAAAACCCACAAGGTTGGACAGGCGACCCTACTCCTTTTCACGTACAACCGGGGAATCGAAACCCACAAGGTTGGACAGGCGACCCTACTCCTTTTTTACGTACAACCGGGGAATCGAAACCACGCCAGTTGACTCAATGACAGACTTTATGATACAGCGTGCATACACTAACCATTCAGCCATCCAACCCCCCAGTAAAACAAGAGCCATAAATCTAGAAGTAATTGACGGAAATTGCTGAAAATATTAAATAGACTTCTTCGTTTCACTAATCTAAAGGATGCATATAAATTTCATATAGATCGAATAATAACATTTGTCTGTCGAGCATTGACATGGTTGAACAAAGTGAAACAAGGGACATAACTCTAGACGTAATTAAAGGAAATTACTGAAATTCAATAGGCTATGTCATTGCACTAATCTAAATGACGCATATATAAATTTCATACAGATCTGATGATAACATTTGGCATTAGGGCGTTCACAAGAAATTGTGGACAACGAACTGACAGACCGATGGACGGGGGCGACGGCAATATACATCCTCATTTCCATTTGGGCGTATCAAAAGGTGCTGGCCATCATTTGAGGGATTGTTAATCCCTTGCAAACTACAATAGGGTCCAAAATAGTTCAATTCTACTCAAAACTTGGTCAACATTCAGCATCCATTACAAATGATATATAGTCAACACAACAAAGTACCACCTATCAGTTTTGCTGATTCTTTTTAAAGATACATCATGTAAGATTTAGATAAAGAGCTGGCTGTTCTTGTTATAATAGTTTAAATATAGATGAATATATTGAAATTTCACTTAAATTACTTTATTCTGAGCCAAGTTATCACTGTTTCTAGTTTATTGATTGGTTATTATTGTAACCCCAGTACTTATATATTCGAGACTTGGACTCGTTCCTCCATTTTTAAATTAAATCATTAAATGGCTGAACTGTTCTAATCTAGTTAAGATCTCAAGCATCCAATGGCATCGAGATTTGATTATGGTATTGTTATGTTAATTAATGTCCAATTAATAATTTATATAAAAATTTAAGGCCTAAAGAAATACCTACAATGGGCAGATTTAGCTCTTGAATAATGTATGTTCAATCTACTTGAATCCAATTGTAAAGATATGTTATAATTTATACAGCAATTTACCTGATTGTTGGAACTGTAAAGGGATTAAAACTATCAACTTTACTAACATCAAATGGTACACAAACACGGCCTGAAATATTCACATCAATAATATTATTCAAGTGGACCATTCATGGGTTAACTATTCAATATAAAATTATTTTGTTAAAAGAATGAGCATTGATTATAAGAAGTCATATAGTGTTCTGTTTTAAGCTTGGACTCCCTATCAATGTTGGACAACAACCCAGCAGTTTCAAAGTAACAATTGACAACCCAGCAGTTTCAGAGTAACAATTGACTTGTTTTAAACTAATGATTGACAACCCACCTGTTTTAAACTAACCACTGACAAACCACCTGTTTTAAACTAACGATTGACAACCCACCTGTTTTAAACTAACCACTGACAAACCACCTGTTTTAAACTAACGATTGACAACCCACCTGTTTTAAGCTAACTTTAAGCTAATTGGCAACCCACCTGTTTTAAGCTAACGATTGACAACCTACCTGTTTTGGGGTGAACACAGAAAGGTGATTTGAGTAAATGATTAACACCTTTACTGACATTAACATCTAATCTAGGATAACACAACTGTACCATTATTTCTTCCATTGTCATCTTCATCTTCTTATGCTGTAATATCAACCAAATATATTTATTTTATAACTACAGATTATTTCACGTCTAGGAATATGTCTATGTTGTATTCTTATATCAATGTTTCTTTTATTTTGCGGTCCAGTTTTCCTGCCTGAGTCACAGAGTCTGAATGGTCAACAGTTTAATCCACTCTAAAACATACTCAACTTTGATCATTTTAAATTCTATTTAAAATAAAAACAAAAATATCAAAGGTACATAATCACTTGTATTCAAATCGATTAAAAAGCAGCCCATCAAGGTGTTATGGTGCAGTTTAATTGGTCTGCAAAGGATGCTGAATGTCATCAAATTTTCAATTGATCATATATTTTTTAAGCCTGAATGGAATTTATCTATTTTTAAAATGAAATTCTGTTTAGAAATTAAGTTTTCACAATATTGTAGTGTAGCACCATGGATCGTCTGTCAGACGTGGAGAGAAGAAGAAGCTACACCAGTCGCCACATCCAGCGTATAACCCATGCATTGTTTATTACTACATATTTTGGAACAGCCCATGATCGTCTAGTATTGTCTCTGGTCGAATTTGTAATACCTTAACTGACATCCCACATTAATGACAGCTTCACGGTGTGATTGAATATACTGCATCTTAAATAATATCATCAACAGGGACAACAAATACCATATTTCGGTTCTACCTTTTATATTTAGCACTGTTACAAGCATTGTAATAAAGTCATTCTCTCAAACCTGCTGCCATGCAGATTCAGCGAGTCTGCTGATGGGAATTCACCTATAAGAACTACATGGTTGTCTCACCTAGTACACACATTCTATTCATTATATATTCTCAGATTCACAGTCATTAATTATTCTATTGGCTAATTAAGATGCAAATTAATCATGTGATTGGTCACTCATGTCAAATATGAAATGGTAACTTTCCGATCACATGATTTTAGATATAGAATCTATCCTTGAACTTAGACCCCCTTTCCTGTTATTCACACAATATTTCATAAACAATTTAATTTGCATTTTTAACTAAACTCATACCATAGATAATATACTGACAATGGAGAATAATTAGTCAAGACCATAATATTATTACACATATGTGTTCTTTAGCACAATTCTCGCCATCCATAATACTACAGTAATTTACACGGTATTCAAAATCCTTTAAATGACAATCAGTGGTTGTAAATTTCTCTGATAATAGATCGTAATTAATATCATCTCACCTCTTTAGCGTTATTCAGCTGTTCTCGTAAAATTGTTAATCTTGTTGATGAATTTGTTCCAAGACTGTCAAATAATCCATTGATCTGTTTCCGAACATGTGTCAAAGGTCAAGGAATATAGAAAATACTTCAAATGGTTTAAGAACCAAAGAGGAATGGAACAAAAGATAGTGGGGTAGAGAATTATTTGGTTTGTTTGGGTGGATAATATGTATCTACACCAGGGCCTGCAATTCACAATTTTACCAGCCAATCAATTCCTGACATATTTTGTTTTATCTCGGATTGGCAAGATATTTTTTTACAAACCATAGAATAATTTGTTGATTAAATCCAATTTTGTTTTAAAGTTTATTGTCGTATTTTTGGGTTGAATTCTTTGAAATTTTAATTCTATGGCATGTGAACTGACTGGCTAGTTCTTCAACCAATCAATTTCACTGTAGTTTCACTGTAGCTCAATCAAAACCTGCAATCTGACTGAAACACTTGCCTTGATCAACACTTGGGCATTTTACGGGTTTATATATAGTAAGTGCAGAGAGACTGCATATTTTCACATAAGAGGGTAATACATGTGTTTCTGCCTACTGTTCTTCAATACATTTTCAAAATCTAATTATCAAAAGACTATACATATGTGTGATTTGATGTTAATATAATATAAATTTATGATATTTTATTAAAATATAATATAAATGTGATCTGATGTTGATATAATATAAATGTGTGATTTGATATTAAAATAATATAAATATGTGATTTGTTGTTAAAATAATATAAATATGTGATTTGATGTTAAAATAATATAAATATGTGATTTGGGTGTTAAAAGGATATAAATATGTGATTTGATGTTAAAATAATATAAATATGTGATTTGGGTGTTAAAAGGATATCTTCTATAGGTATAAGAGCTAAAACTTTATCCCACTGTTCAGGTGAATTGAGGAAATCTTGTTTCTTTACAGAATATTTATCAAAATATCCTTCAATTATATTCAACGCTCGTCTGAAAAAAAAACAGAAAAACATTCTTAGTTAACTCTTTAGAATTTAGACCGCCCCAATTGCGTTAACTAGGGCTTCTCAAACCGCCCTAATAATCCCTAAACAGCCTTAGCTAGGGCTTCTTAGACCACCTCAAACCACCCTAACATAAGCTCCTTGGACGACCACAAACAGCCTCATCCCATGCACAGCTTTCACACACTTAAAATGGTTCACACATATCTCAACTGGTTTGTTATGGCCTAAGGAACTACAGTTTCAGACTGCCCTGGTATTAATATATCAGGTTTCTCTAATTATCTTCAGGGAACTGGCTGTAGTCAATATATACATGTAGGCACACCTAGTACTAAAGAGTTAAACTATTGTAATTCATAAAAACTAACCACAGCCAGTCTATGTATATATTATCGTCATCTACAAACTGACTCAATCTCACAAAACTCCATATTTCTTAAATATAAGAGAGAGAGAGAAATGGGGTTTAACGTCCACTCGACACAAACTAGGTCATTTCAATATTTCGCTTGCGCATAGGGGTCTTTAGCAGTGGGAGGATACCGGAGGACACGGAGAAAACCCACGAGATTGGATTCTTAAATATAAACTTTCACAACTGTATCACAACCAAAACAAGCCAACAGTGAGGCTGATGTCCCCCGCCGAAATAGCAAAATAATTAGATGACACGTATTAATTAATAGAACATTTATTTTTTTCAAAAGTATCGAACAGTTAAACTATAGACTAAGTTTCATCACTGTCTATCAAATAGAATCAAGATTATGAAACTGATAAGCTCTGCTTGGCTTCAGCTCGAAATGTTAATCATTGAACTTAGTCAAGACATTCACCTAATGAACATCTACATCAAGTTTAAACATTCTACCTCAATTAAAAGCAGAGTTATTATGTTCCAAAGTCTTGACCAATCAATTAAATTGCTTATTGCTCCTTAGCCTTAGCAGAAAATTTTCACCATCGAACTTAGTCAAGGTAATGATATAATGAATCTATATTCGGAGTTTCATCTCTCTCAAAGTTATCATGCCCCAAAGCATCAATCAATCAGATTGCTTATCTCTGCTTACCGTAAGCATACAATGTTCATCATTGAACTCCATCAAGGCATTCACCTAATGAAAGCCTACACCAAGTTTGAACATTCTACATCAATTAGAATGTGAATTATTGTGTTCCAATGTCTCGACCAATCAAATTGCTTATCGCTCTGCTTAGCCTGAGTAGAAAATGCTCATGATTGAACTTAGTCAAGGTATTGATGTAATGAAACTATACACCAAGTTTCATCAATCTCACTTAATTAGAACTAAAGTTATCGTGTCCCAAAGCATCAATCAATCAAATTGCTTATCTCTGCTTACCCTAAGCGGAAAATGCTCATCTTCGAACTCCATCAAGGCATTGACCTAATCAACACATACACCAAGTTTGAACATTCTAGCTCAATTAGGCAGAGAGTTATCGTGCCCCAAAGTATCAACCAATCAAATTGCTTATCTCTGCTTACCCTAAGCGGAAAATGCTCATCTTCGAACTCCATCAAGGCATTGACCTAATAAACACATACACCAAGTTTGAACATTCTAGCTCAATTAAAAGTTATCGTGTCCCAAAGCATCAACCAATCAAATTGCTTATCTCTGCTTACCCTAAGCGGAAAATGCACATCTTCGAACTCCATCAAGGCATTGACCTAATCAACACATACACCAAGTTTGAACATTCTAGCCCAATTAGGAAGAGAGTTATCGTGTCCCAAAGCATCAACCAATCAAATTGCTTATCTCTGCTTACCCTAAGCGGAAAATGCTCATCTTCGAACTCCATCAAGGCATTGACCTAATAAACACATACACCAAGTTTGAACATTCTAGCTCAATTAGGAAGAGAGTTATTGTGTCCCAAAAAGTGTGACGGACAGACAGACGGGACAGACAGACAGACAGACAGACAGACGGACGAACCCATTTTAATAGTCCCCTGCTTTCTTCGAAAGGCGGGGGACAATAACATCATATCAAATAAAACAGAGTTTAACATGCTATTTGTCTGCACTGAACAAAGAAATGAAGGTAGGCATACACACTGCAGTACACTATGGGGGAAATGTTGCGTGGAGAGCAAAATTACGGCTTCTCTTATTTTGATTTACAACTGTTTGCAGACTGTTAATGTTCTACGAATGGTTTTTCATCCCATCCAAACAAATGTACAATTTTCATGGCCAGGCCCTGGATCCTCAACCCCCGATAAATGGAAACCAGACTGGAAAATACTGTGGCTACCAGAGCAAAAATGGCTGCATAAATAAAATAATAGATAAAAACTAGGTGATTGTATGTGGGGGTGTTTAGTAGACTCTCAGACAAGTCATGAGGTTGGGAAATGAGACAGAGAATTAGATATTGTAATATAAACTAACCTAATAGACGGATGTAATGTTTCATCAAGACTGACTTTCTTCGTTTGATTTTCACCACCCTAACAAAACAAAAAATAACATCGATGCAATTTATTTAATAATAATAACAGTCTAGCTCTATACATTCAACTGCAGAGATATCAAAAAATGTTGCACCCTTCACCATCACTTCTTGTGGACAGTTTGTGTGTGACCTGACCACAACTTGAAGAAGCTCCATGGGGATCTAGACAAGAGTTGAACTTATTTTTACAGTCAAAGCCAAAGGAAAGTCCACTTAAAATATATCTGATGCAATATTTTGGTGAGTTTTAGTCAGTTTGGATATGGTACATATCTGTGTCAAATGATTTTACCTCATTATTGAGAAGATTTTCATGATATTCACTGATAACATACACTAAAATAAATAGAAATTTTGCTGAAAGAAATGGAGTGTATGGAGTGTAACGTACACTCGACATAAACTATGTCATTTCGGGAGTAACATATGGTTCAATTTTATTACAATAATTCATTTACATTTACATTTATGGGTCTTCAGCTGTGGGACGAAAACCCATGAGGTTGGACAGGCGATCCTACTCCTTGTTCGGTACATACTGGGACTCTCTAAAGTCCACGCATGAGATCATTCGGCCACCCCCAATTTTGCTGGGGATCTAGTATATAGAATCATTGTTTATTCTTACTCTAACAAGACTCAGATATTCAGCAATGGCCGTTCTTCCTGTCTGTGATAATTTTCTAGCCTCTTCATCACAGACCCAACAATGGACGCCACGACGACCAGAATAAACCCAGAGAATATGTTTAAAACCGAAATCATCTGAAAAACAGGAAATACATACATGGCATCAATTTCTACCTTCCACAGTAGACAACAACTAATCCAATCCGAAAACCTAATGCGATTGTTGACGTTAGTCCTACCGCATTGCGATTGGCCATGACATGCTACGATTGTCTAAGATCAGCTATGATACCATTGAAATGTTTAACATGTTAAACCTCTACGACTGGCTATGATATGTTAAAATATCGTATCTTGGCAAAAACCTCACACGCTGTGTTTTTTGTTCTATTGCCGGCCATCATCATAGGTAAATAGAATAAATCAGGGTAAACATCACAGGGGATGAGGCCAGCATATCATAGTGTTTATTTTCTAGGGTTGCATCTGCAATGATTGGAAAAAAAAATGAAATGGGGTTTAACGTCCTACTGTTCTGCTCCGAACTGGGCTAATGAAGACGGGCATACGCCATACAGTGTGCTATGAGGGAAATTTGACCCGGACAGTGACACTACAGCCTACTGTTATTTTTTGAATTCCAACTGTCAAGGGCTCTGATTAGAAAAAGAAATATCATATATTAAAATATCATATCTTGTTGAAAATATTCACACACGATTTTTGTCCTTTCCTATATAAATTATAATCATAACAAAACTCACAGGGCGTGAGTGCGGCTTTACATAATACTGTTGTTATTTTCTGTGATTATGTGTATAATGCTTGGGATCTTAAGATCTAAAGCAGAGGCAACAGACCAATCAACCATCATATTCACATCTTGAGCAAAGAAATAAATTGAAATTTAATGTCATCTTCCACAATATCAGGGATAATGAAGTCAGACTGTGGTATTTCCATGTACCAATAAATCATTTACAGATATTATAGTTGTTGATTTAACACTTTTATATTAGACAAGGCTTTCATCCTGTTATTGGCTTATAAACTTCCTCACAATTTCTCAGTCTAGTTTCCCCCTTGTCAGAGGGACAGGATGCAGGGCCTTAATATAAAAAAATCCTCTACGGTTGAAATTCGATGAAAAGTATGAACAGGGCATGCGCGGCTGCACATAAAAGACCCCTCTAAGGTTGTAATTTGATGACGAATACCTCGCCGTCTGGGATAAATGGCCCTCATAGCACACTACATGTCATATGTCCATGTGCATTTGCTCAGTTTAACGTCAAACCACATTTTTTTTGAAACAGGATACAAGCCTTGTGTCAGAAATGTCCAGTTGCTGTCCCAACAACTAAAAACTTCTTTCACAACATTGGCCTGTACCTTACCTAGGTCAGGGTACACAAGTTAAAAGATGAACATACCTACGAGAGCGGCGTGTATAATTTTACAAGCTATCTTCATTAATGGCCAACATTTCTCACAAATATCAGCTCCTCTAAATAAAGAAAGAAGACAATCATGTTTATTATTTAACAATATTGTTGGTATGTTATTTTCTCTCACAGATGTTACCCCTTCATTACTTGTTCAATGTAAATGATTCCTATCGGTACAAACTGAAACTACTGTTCCTTAGACCGTCAGAGATTTGTATATAGCTGTCCGTATTATAGGAACATTTACTGTGCACTTTATGTGGTAGTTTGGGGAGGTGTAAGGAGACCTAGTTTGGGGCGGTGTAAGGAGACCTAATTAGGGCAGTGTAAGGAGACCTAGTTAGAGCGGTGTAACGAGACCTAGTTAGGGCAGTGTAAGGAAACCTAGTTAGGGTGGTGTAAGGAGATCTAGTTAGGGCAGTGTAGGGAGACCTAGTTAGGGCGGTGTAACAAGACCTAGTTAGGGCAGTGTAAGGAGACCTAGTTAGGGCAGTGTAAGGAGACCTAGTTAGGGCAGTGTAAGGAGACCTAGTTAGGGCAGTGTAAGGAGACCTAGTTAGGGTGGTGTAGCAAGACCTAGTTAGGGTGGTGTAAGGAGACCTAGTTAGGGTGGTGTAAGGAGACCTAGTTAGGGCGTGTAAGGAGTCCTAGTTAGGGCGGTGTAAGGAGACCTAGTTAGGGCGGTGTAAGGAGACCTAGTTAGGGCAGTGTAAGGAGACCTAGTTAGGGCAGTGTAAGGAGACCTAGTTAGGATGGTGTAAGGAGACCTAGTTAGGGCAGCGTAAGGTGACCTAGTTAGGGCAGTGTAAGGAGACCTAGTTAGGGTGGTGTAAGGAGACCTAGTTAAGGTGTTGTAAGGAGACCTAGTTAGGGCAGTGTAAGGAGACCTAGTTAGGGTGGTGTAGCAAGACCTAGTTAGGGTGGTGTAAGGGGACCTAGTTAGGGTGGTGTAAGGAGACCTAGTTAGGGCGTTGTAAGGAGACCTAGTTAGGGCGGTGTAAGGAGACCTAGTTAGGGCGGTGTAAGGAGACCTAGTTAGGGTGGTTTATGGAGACCTAGTTAGGGCAGTCTAAGGAGACCTAGTTAGGGCAGTGTAAGGAGACCTAGTTAGAGCGGTCAAAGTGCTAAAGGGGTAAAAGATTTCATATGGATTATGAAACCAGTGGCTGCCAGGCAGGATACGCCCACATTTTCGAGAGATGGATAGAGAACAAGCTAACAAGAAAGTGATTTTTCCTACTATCAAGGGCCACAATTCAGGAAATTACAATTCAATATGCGCGAATATCGAAAGGAACTGAGATCTTTGTGTTATAAACTTACATTTCAAGTTTCAACAAAATTGGATAAAAATTGTGACCTCTATAGGGTCCACAACCTTGATATACCATGTTTTTACGATATTTGAGAACGAACGGCGGCCATTTTGTCTGTCAATTTTGGGCCTATTTTTCACGAAATTCAAACTCAACCTTCCTTAGGGTGTAACGGTGATATAATTATACGTTTTTTTAAATCGGATAAAAATTATGACCTCTATAGGGTCCACAAGCTAAAAACGTGATTTTTCGTACAATCAGGGGCCATAATTCAGGAAGTTACGGTCCGATATGCGCGAAGATCGAAAGGAACTGAGATCTTTGGGTTATAAACTTACATTTCAAGTTTCAAAAAAATTGGATAAAAATTGTGACCTCTATAGGGTCCACAACCTTGATATACCATATTTTTACGCTATTTGAGAATGAACGGCGGCCATTTTGTCTGTCAATTTTGGGCCGATTTTCACGAAATTCAAACTCAACCTTCCTTAGGGTGTAACGGTGATATAATAATACGGTTTTTTAAATCGGATAAAAATTATGACCTCTATAGGGTCTACAAGCTAAAAACGTGATTTTTCGTACAATCAGGGGCCATAATTCAGGAAGTTACAGTCCGATATGCGCGAATATTGACAGGAACCGAGATCTTTGGGTTATAAACTTACATTTCAATTTTCAACAAAATCGGATAAAAATTGTGACCTCTATAGGGTCCACAACCTTGATATACCATATTTTTACGCTATTTGAGAACGAACGGCGGCCATTTTGTCTGTCAATTTTGGGCTGATTTTCACGAAATTCAAACTCAACCTTCTTTAGGGTGTAACGGTGATATAATAATACGTTTTTTTAAATCGGATTTAAATTATGACCTCTATAGGGTCCACAAGCTAAAAACGCGATTTTTCGTACAATCAGGGGCCATAATTCAGGAAGTTACAGTCCGATATGCGCGAATATCGAAAGGAACCGAGATCTTTGGGTCATAAACTTACATTTCAAGTTTTAAAAAAATTGGATAAAAATTGTGACCTCTATAGGGTCCACAAGCTAAAAACGTGATTTTTCGTACAATCAGGGGCAATAATCCATGAAGTTTCGGTCCGATACATGCCAATATCGAAAGCAGCCGAGATCTTTTGGGGATAAACCTATATTTCAAGTTTCGTCAAAATCGGATAAAAATTGTGACCTGTAGAGAGTCCACAAACAATTGTGGACGGACGGACATCCGGACGGACAGGGGCGACGGCATAATACGTCCACATGAAAATGTGGGCGTATAAAAATGTGTAAATTTTTATCGTTAATGTGTCCCTTAATCTACATGGCGAGGCACTCAAAGATCAAAAAACTAAATCCTTTAGAGATTTCAGGGGAAACCTTAAATACAAATAATGTTTCTACTACATCAAAGTTCAAACATAGATATATTTCAATGGATAATTGTTACCTCCCTTCGTAAAACAAAAACTTACGAGCAACATTTTCGAACATCATCGTAATCTGTCATATCAATATCAAAAACCAATTCTTTTTCCTGGGCCTGGAATGCTGATGCTTTTATAGTTTTACGTTCTTTTGGCTGCAACAGAAAGTATATATTATTATAAAATTGTAGTTGTTGGTATAAAGTATATATTATACTGAAAATAATGCAGTACCGGTAGTTTATTGTTTCGTTTTTTTTTACACAGAAATCTACAAGACAGACTTTACCAGATCCAATTTAAAATCCTTAAATATACATTATAGGAGATTCGATAACAAGATGGCAGTTCTCACTATAATAATTAAAAACTAGATAACGTAAAGGCAATTTGCTGAAAATTTCATTCAAATTGATCCACTATGAACCAAGATCTCAGCGAATAAAATTTCTGCCTAGCCTCGGTCATCATTACTGAAGTCAGTACGTTAAACAGCATAGTCTTGATTATCCATTTAATCGAGAAGGAAAGTTATGCAGTAAATCGGATCACAATCGACTTACGATCGCAGGCTAGCGATGCCATCTCGAGTTGATTATGGTCTGGATAAGTTAATCAATGTCTAATTAATAATTTAGATAACATTTCAGGCCTAAAGAAAGACCTGCAATAGACAGATTTAGCTCTTGCATAATGTATGTTTAAATATACTGATCTGATTCAGCATGACAATCATACCATGATATAAAGAATATCCTACCTCCTACCTTATATCACCATGACAACCACATCATGTCTTACTCTCTCAATAACCTACCTTATATCACCATGACAACCTCACCCTGTTTTACTCAATAACCTACCTTATATCACCATGCCAACCACACCCTGTTTTACTCAATAACCTACCTTATATGAGAATACAGCACCAATATCTATTTTATATGGACAATGTTTTTGTATTTCTTTTTCCAGATCTGATTGGTCAACAAAAGATTGGTAGCGAATGTAAACATCATCTTTTAACGTGAAGGAGAATTCTCGGTTGAGAAAATATGTCTTCGGAACTGAAACACATCAAACACTTTCAATGTACTTAGATAATTGATCTGGATTTGGAAAGAAAATTAAATTATAATTATAACGTTATAGTACCATCTGTCTGTGGGATATTAAAACAACACTTATTATTGGTCCGAGTGGTCTTTTTGTATGGTCCGAGTAGTCTTTGTGTTTGGTCCGAGTGGTCTATCAGTTGGTCCGGGTGGTCTTGGTCGTGGATTCATTATAACGTCATTAAGTTATAGTACCATCTGAGACTACGGGATATTATAACATTATAGGACTATACTATCAATGGGATATTATGACTCAGTTACAATACTCAAACTATGGGAATACGCCCTGATAGTTTTACCTGGCAAAGTACGATGCAAATCAGATAGTAGGCTACCTCAATAAGAAAAACTCTCAACTTTTTCTTCAAAACAATGACTGATTATTGTTATTTATTACATTTCTACCACACCCAACTACAAATACGCATACAATCCTACAAGCATACAAATCATCTAGCTTTTTTTTAAAGGAGCTAAATTGCTAATATTTGGGACCTAGAAATTGACCCATATAATAATGTAATCTACTTGTATATAAACTGATTTACATTCAATTGTTTCCATTTGGACTCAAATTTCAAATCAGTTATGTACAGCGAAATATGACAGGAGTCTCAACCGAATAGCAATTTCTAGCGTCTGAGTGATTATTCCAGTCTATGCATGCTCTCCAGATAATATATGGCGTCACCGTTTGACATGAGTTGTGGAATATGTCTATAGCCTCTTTCTTTCTGGTCACTTGTTACAAATGACGCTTAAATATTGGATATCAGAAGCCCACCTTTTCCTGGTAAGATCACAACATCAATGTTGATTTGAATTGACAAATAATTTGTATTTTCAATGTGTAAAACATTGGATGGTATTGAGTTAGAGACTTAGCTACTTTAAATCCAAGCGATAATAATACACACCAGTATATGTTTTTACTAAGTTTCATTTTATCATTTTTATTTTTAATATTTTGCGATATCTGCACTTCCATTTCACTTCAGATTCAGTGCGATTGATTATATAGGCCTAATACTCACCGCCCCCGTAATGTAACCATCTAAAATATGGTCCGTACGGAAACAATCTTTTATAATATACGGGCAATAAATCGGGGAGCGAGGCCGGGTCATAATTATTCTTTTCTGACATTTTAAACAGTTTTCGTTTTGTGTTATTTCTGTGTCATTCAATCTCCCGCCAAATTATTGTCAACATTAAAAGTCGTAAATATTTTTATAATTATTTTATCTATGGTCATATTCAATTTCAATAATTGAATTTAGTCGTGTATAAGATATGTTTGTATAATACAAAATTCTATCTTATCAAATTTTGTATTTACGACTTTAATTAGTTTATCCAGTCTACCGACTCCCTTAAGTATTTATATTGTTTGATAATCTGGACTTAACAATTATCAACTGGATGAAAAAGACCGCAGAGACTTGATATCCTCGACTATGTTTATTTCCGTTAATGGACGAATGCAGATGATTTTTTTATTCCCTGACTGAAAATAATAAGTTTTGTGGTAACATGGGACGATCAATACATGCCGACGAGGCGATACAGGATTATGTCGAAGAATTGATTAAATCTGGCCAATGGTATATTGGTCTTATTCTTGGACAGGTAATAGGAAAGGAAAACAAAAATAAAACTTTGAATTTAAAAAAAAAACGATGAGGGGACCTCCACGTCTTTCAAAATTAAACAACATATGGTTTGCTATGTATACCCATACAAATATCTTAGTTATTATCATTACGGCCTATATGTACCCTTCCCGTAAAAACATGAACACTAAGTCAGTAGAAAGTATATTTAAAGTGCACATAAGATGGGTGGAAAAACTTTTTAATGGGTGTAACCAGTAATTACTATATCCACTTTACGCCAAGTTCACGCCAATCTGGTTGAAATTAATTCAGCTATCTTCACTCAAAGTCGTAAAAATTGACCTTCCGTGAAAACGACTTTGCCAATTATCGAAAACACTCTTAATCCCCACAGACGCCAGTGACGTCACAGTGACCGAATGCATATTCGGAATGTTTATTCCTTAATTACCTATTACAGGGCCTCCCTAATTTGCAAGACGAATGACAAGGAATTTCTAAGCATTAACTGCTCCCTTTAGGCTAATATAATTCAACTACAGTATTGGGTTTAATAACTATAAACTTATTTTGTCTTTTTTGGAGTAATTAATATTTTATTTCAATTGCATGAAACTGATCAGGAACAGCATGTATCACACTAGATAAGAAACATCATCTCTCAACCTTCCGTCTCTAGATCTTTGTTACTCACTTTGTCATTCCTCCGGACGATGGATATGTCATTCAGTTTGTCATTCGTCCGGTGAATCTGTGTCATTCACTGCCATTCGCCTGGTGATTTCTGTCATTCACTTTGTCATTCGTCTGGCGACGTTCTGTCATCCACTTTGTCATTCGTCTGGTGGACCTCCATATGGGGGTTGGGGAGATTTATCGAAAATTTTCTTTGTCATCCGAATTTTTAGAATAAATCAAAATCAATCTGAAACTTTAACGAGTTTTGCACACAGCTCCACTTACGTATTGTAGTATTCAAAACGTAAACCGCGAGCGATTTCATTTGTCAATTATATGATATATAGTCTCATTCTCTAATGTTTGTGCATGAACAGAAATACATTGCCCAAAAATGGACGGTTCACCGGACCAATGACAGAGGTTCACCAGACGAATGACAAACAGAATGACAGAGGTTAACCACACGAATGACAAAGTTAATGATAGAGATTCACAAGAAGAATGGCAAAGTGAATGATACAGGTTCACGAGAGGAATGACACAGGTTCACGACAGGAATGAAAGAAAATGACACGAGGTCACCAAATGAAGATGAAGAGAATGACAGAGGTACACCAGACGAATGGCAGACATGTGAAAAACGTGAATGACAGAAATCACCAGACGAATGACAGGGAATTAGCCTACACCGGACTATTTACAGAGTGAATGATAATACGCTAGACGAACGAATGACAAAGTGGATAAAATAGGTTTACAGGACGAATGACAATGTGGATAAACACGTTCATTGGACGAATGAATAAGAGGATGCCAGATTCACCAGGCGAATGACAAAGTGGATGGCAAGAAATTCGTCGGCTGAATGCCAGAGGTATACCAGAAGTATGACAAAGTAAATGACTCGTGTGGTGAACCTCTGTCATTCTCTTTGGCATTCGTCTGGTGAACATTATCTGTCATTCTTTTTGTCATTCGTCTGGTGCACCTCTGTCATTGATGTGGTGAAACTCTGTCACTCTCTTTGTCATTCGTCTGGGGAACCTCTGTTGTTTTGTTTGTCATTCACGTGTTGAACCTGTGTCATTCCGTTTGTCATTCGTCTGGTGAACCTCTGTCATTGGTGGGATGAAGCTCTGTCATTCTTTGTCATTCGTCTGGTGTACCTCTGTCATTCGTCTGGCGGACCTCTGTCATTTTGTTTGTCATTCGTGTGGTGAACCTATGTCATTCACTTTGTCATTCATGTGGTGAACCTGTGTCATTCAGTTCGTCATTCGTCTGGTAAACTTGTCATTCTGTTTGACATTCGTGTGGTGAACCTCTGACATTCTCTGTCAATCATGTGATGAACCTATGTCATTCGTCTGACGAATCTCTGTCATTCTGTTTGTCATTCGGCTGGTGCACCTCTGTCATTGGTGTTGTGTAATTCTGTAATTCTGTTTGGCATTCGTCTCGTGAACCTCTGTCATTATGTTTGTCATTCGGGTTGTGAACCTCTGCCTAATGTTTGTCATTCGGCTGGTGTACCTTAGTCATTCTATGTCATTGGTGTGGTTAACCTGTGTCATTCTGTTTGCCATTCGTCTGATTAAGCTTTGTCAATCTTTGTCATCGTCTGGCGTATCTGTTTGTCATTCGTGTGTCGAACCTCTGTCATTCTGTTTGTCATTCGTCTGGTGAACCTCTGTCATTCGTGTGGTAAACCTCTGTCATTCTGTTTGTCATTCGTCTAGTGAACCTCTGTCATTTTGTTTGTCATTCGTGTGGTGAATCTATGTCATTCACTTTGTCATTCCTGTGGTAAACCTGTCATTCTGATTGTCATTCGTGTGGTGAACCGCTATCATTCTGTTTGTCATTCGTGTGGTGAACCTATGTCATTCTGTCTGTCATTCGTCTGGTGTACCTCTGTCATTGGTGTTGTGAACCTGTGTCATTTGTCTGGTGAAACTCTGTCATTATGTTTCTCATTCGCGTGTTGAACCTGTCATTCCGTTTGTCATTCGTCTGGTGTTCCTTTGTCATTGGGGTGATGAAGCTCTGTCATTCTTTGTTATTCGTGTGTTGAACCTATGTCATTCTGGTTGTCATTCATCTGGTGAACCTCTGTCATTTTGTTTGTCATTCGTGTGGTGAACCTCTGACATTCTCTGTCATTCGTGGGGGGAACCTGCCATTCTGATTGTCATTCGTGTGTCGAACCTCTGTCATTCTGTTTGTCATTCGTCTGGTGAACCTCTGTCATTCTGTTTGTCATTCGTGTGGTGAGCCTGACATTCTCTTTGTCATTCGTCTGGTGAACCTCTGTCATTTTGTTTGTCATTCGTGGGGTGAATCTATGTCATTCACTTTGTCATTCGTGTGGTGAACCTGCCATTCTGACTGTCATTCGTGTGGTGATTAAGCTTTGTCATTCTTTGTCATCGTCTGGCAAATCATGTCATGCTGTTTGTCATTCGTGTGTCGAACCTCTATCATTCGTGTGGTGAGCCTATGTCATTCTATCATTATGTTTGTCATTCGTCTGATGTACATTCTCTGTCATTCGTTTGTGAACCTGTGCCATTTTGTCATTGCAGAGCTACACCAGACGAATGACAAAATGAATGACAGAAATCACCAGACGAATTACGTAGCGAATGACAAAATAAATGACACTGGTTCACCAACCGACTGACGTGAATTACAGACGAATGAAAAGTGGTCCACCAGACTAATAACAGCAGGGGTTCACCAGTCAAACGACAAAGTGACTGTCAGGGATTCACCAGGCCGCCTATCAAGGCGAATGACAAAGAGAATGGCAGGTTAACAGGACGAATGACAACGTGAATGGCAGAGCTTCACCTGACGAATGTCACGGGTTCACCATAAGAATGACGAATGACGGGTTCGTTGACCAGACGAATGACAGGTTCGTTGACCAGACGAATGACAGGTGGATAACCGGACGGTTAACAAAGTGGATGACATTGCTTTACCAGACGAATGACAAAGTGAATGAAAGAAATCATTAGGCGAATGATAGACAATGACAGAGTAATTGGACGAATGACAGTGAATGACATAATTCCTCGGACGGGCGAATGACAAAGTGAGTGACATAGAGACTGACACAGGTTCACCAAACGGATGACAAAGCGAATGACATATTCACCGGACGAATAACAAAGGTAATAACATAATTCACCGGAAGGACAAACGACAAAATGTTTGACACGGAGAATGAGGCAGCTTCACTGGACGAATTGTAGAGGTTGGTCAGACGAATGACAAAGTCAATGACAGTGGTTCAGCAGACGATTGACAGAGAATGACACACGTTCACCAGACGAATGACAAAGAGAGTGACACGGGTTTATCGGACGAATGTCACGGCTTCAACAGACGAATGACAGAGAATACAATAGATTCGCAGGACGAATGACAAAATGAATGACAGAATTAACCGTACGGACGAATGACAAATAAGTGTGTGACACAGACAATGACACAGGTTCAGCAGACGAGTGACAAAGTAAATGATTGAAATTATCTCAGACGAATGACAGAATGACACAGGTTCGCTGGGCGAATGACAAAATGTGTGTCTTATTACTAGATTGATTTTACTGGTGGATCGATGGCGGAGGTCTCTGTGTCACCACTAATCAAGAAAAAATAAGTCGATAGTTATTAAACTCAATAGGCTACTGTAGTTGAATTATATTGGCCTAAAGGGAGCGGTTATTGCTTAGAAATTCCTTGTCATTCGTCATTCGCATGTCATTCGTCATGCAAATTAGGGAGGCCCCTATATACAGCCGGCGTGTGTATTCTTTAATGCCTGAAGGATTCCTTAATCCCCCTAATTAAATAAAACAATTGACTATGGAATAATTTGTTTTGTAATTCATTTTGATTTAAGATCCAATTTAGAGTGCCTACAACTTTTAAACTTTGAAGTCTTGAACTCTTAATTAATTTTTTACAATATGGAACTTATTGGACGAACACTTTTAATATGTAAATAATATACGGGTCCAGCTATGTGGTTTTTACTGCGAGCACTTCGCTTTTCCACATAAAGTGTAGTGTCGTTAATATCTGTCATTAATTAATCAATCAGACTATAAAAGTTATATGATGTCTGCGATATCACCTCGGTGGAAGCGGACGTAAATTACAACTAACTAACAACAACAACGAGTTATACAGGCATGGGCCATAAATTAATTTACACGTTGGTGTTATCAGTGAGTGTTAGTGGGATTAAGAATGTTGATTAGGTAATTATCTTTTTTTACGCCGGCCAGATCAAAGACGTCACTAAGTGGAACGTGTGCGTAATACCTCACGAACGAACTAATGGTAGAATCATACACACACACACACACATTAATTGTATAAAATCGTATTATTTGTTGATTGGCGTTTAAACAACATTTAATTGATGGATGGATAAACGTTTTTGATACGATTAGGTTATAATGTCTAACATCGTTTATCTTCTTTATAATAAAAGTATTTTACAATTGCATTGACAGTTTAATCACTCACCAAACGGCACCAGGAACTCCACGAATGATCCCATGCAATTTTCGCGGCGACGTTTAACTTCATTTACTAGACCCGGAGTACATGGAACGGTACATGGTAATAAGATACCAAGCGTTGATTGGCAGAGAAATGAGTGCGATCTATTGTACATGTTATGCATAGTCGTCGGAAAATTCCATATTCACTGTAGTTGTTCTTTATGTATAGAAATGTTTTTTATTATTATAAATAGCTAATAATGAATATATCGACAATGACTGGCACCATTTGTATTTCTGTACTTAAGTTTGGGATATCAAGTATTACGGGGTTATCCAAATTACCGGTAAATGCGCTAATTGCTTGAGTCATCTTCATTTGACACGTGGCCTATTTAAACAAAGGAAGCTTAAAATGATCTACGGCATGATACAGCATTTTAAATTCACTCTAAAATATTCCAATCACAAATGTCTAATCTATACCAATGAAAGACGATGTGTATTGATAGTGCTATATTGTACGTACAGTGAGATATTGTATAGATAATGTATATCCTATGTGTAGTGCCTGTGACGTCACCAGACAATCAACCGGATTAAGGTCGTAATTGAAAAATCGAAAAGCGTTTTGGCATGTCGGATACTTAAACGTTAACAGCGGACTTAATTTTAATCAGATTGGTGTGAACTTGCCGTAAAGTTGATATAGTGACCATGGGCTATACATACATGCAATTTAGATTTTTGATCGTACGTGGTCTTTAAACTCGGAGACAGAACAATCTTGTCGTCCCCAGACATACGAATAATCACACAACACACACATATTTACTGACATGATCAACATGTACACTCAGAACACAATTTCCACTGAGTTTCCTGACATACGTTACATTAGTTTGATTTGTATGCAATTTGTCTACTGATGAATTATTTAAAACCATACATTGATAAAAGAATGATATTGTTGTAATGGGGATGGCATCAGCTGGCAAGTGACACAATTAAGTTGGTCGTTTTGAATTTTAAATGTAAATGTTTCAAAGAGTAAAATGAAATGGAGTTTAACGTCATACTTTCTGCACCAACTGTACTATCAAGATGGGTGGTTAAATACCATGCTGTGTGTTATACAGTGTAGTATTCCAACTATTAATGGTTCTTTTACATGCATGCTCAGGAGTTTACAGGTGGCTCTCCATTTTTTGTCCCATCTGAACAAGTAGACATTTATATAAAATGTGACAGCCTTTGTGGACTGCTTGGATGACTTAAATGTAGTGGTCATAGCGGGTACATGTATATTTCATTGCTTGGCATCCCATTGTTAGACAAGTAGAGTGATTTTTTAACATAGTTTTAGAATACAACAAAATGTTATTTTTTCACCCACATGGTGGAGAGAGAGAGAGAGTTTAATGTCCACTTGGCACAAACTAGGTCATTTCAGAACTAACATGTTGTTTCATTATACGCCCACATGGAAATGTGGTCGTATATTGCCGTCGCCCCCGTCCGTCCGTCCGTCCGTCCATCGTCCACAATTTCTTGTGAACACTCTACAGACTACATTTATCAACCGATTGTTTTAAAATTGATATATGTTGTTTGTATAAGTGAGATGAAGAAGCCTATTTAATTTCAATAACTTCTGTTAATTTCTTCTGGAGTTATGGCCCTTGTTGCACCTTGTGAACGCTCTAACGACAAAAGTTATCAACCGATCTGTATGAAATTCATATGCATCATTTAAATTAGTAAAACAAAGAAGCCTATTGAATTTCAGCAATTTCCGTTAATTACATCTAGAGTTATGGCCCATGTTTCACTTTGTTGAATCTTGTGAACGCTCTAATGACAAAAGTTATCAACCAATCAGTATGAAATTGATATGCATCATTTAAATTAGTGAAATGAAGAAGCCTATTGAATTTCAGCAATTTCCGTTAATTTCTTCTGGAGTTATGGTCCTTGTTTCACTTTGTTGCACCTTGTGAACGCTCTAACGACAAAAGTTATCAACCGATCTGTATAGAATTTATATGCGTCTTTTAAATTAGTAAAACAAAGAAGCCTGTTGAATTTCAGCAATTTCTGTTAATTACATCTAGAGTTATGGCCCTTGTTTCACTTTGTTGAATCTTGTGAACGCTCTAATGACAACAGTTATCATCTGATCTGTTTGAAATTGATATGCATCATTTAAATTAGTGAAATGAAGAAGCCTATTGAATTTCAGCAATTTCCGTTCATTTCTTCTGGAGTTATGGCCCTTGTTTTAATTTGTTGCACCTTGTGAACGCTCTAATGACAAAAGTTATCAACCGATCTGTATGAAATATATATATGCATCATTTAAATTAGTAAAACAAAGAAGCCTATTGAATTTCAGCAATTTCCGTTAATTACATCTAGAGTAATGGCCCTTGTTTCACTTTGTTGAATATTGTGAACGCTCTTAATGACAACAGTTATCATCCAATCTGTTTGAAATTGATATGCATCATTTAAATTAGTGAAATGAAGTAGCCTATTGAATTTCAGCAATTTCCGTTAATTACGCTGTGAGTTATGGCCCTTGTTTCACTTTGTTGTACCTTGTAAATGCTCTAAAGTTATTATCCGATCTGTATGAAATTTATATGTATCATTTAAATTAGTAAAACGAACAAGCCTATTGAGTTTCAGTTATCACCTAAATTAGTGAAATGAAGACGAACAAGCCTATTGAATGTCAGCAATTTCCATCAATTACGTCTAGAGTTATGGCCCTTGATTTACTTTGTTGAACTTAGTGAACTTTCGAACAACAAAAGTTATCATCCGATCTGTATGAATTTCATATGCATTATTTGAATTATTAAAACGAAAAAAGCCTTTCGAATTTGAACAATTTCTATAGATTGCTTCCAGAGTTACAGCCCTTGTTTTAGATTTTAGAACCTTGTGAACCTTCAAACAACGGAAATTATAATGTCATCTGTATGAAATTGTCTATTAAATTCCCCTAATTACCTACAAAAGAATAAATATGTGACAACCCTTGTCGACTGCTCGGACGATTTAGCTGCTGTTGGCGTATGTTTTGTTGCCTGGCAACCTATCTTTTTATTTAAATAATGCACATAGGGGTCTTTAGCTCTGTGGGTAATGCTGAGGAAGGGAGATAACCCACGAGGTTGGACAGGTGACCTACTCCTTGTCATGTACAAGCAGAGAATTGAAACCACAGCGCTTGCCTCAATGACATACCTTATGATGCATTGTGCAAGCCATTCGGTGAAGACAGTAGTTTAAATTTTTCATTATAATTAATTGTGCTATGTATGATTGTATTTTAAAATATGTTACAGTTAACGAACCCGAGGGACTATATTTTACGTTTGGCGCGAACTCCTGATCCAGTCGAAGATGAAGCAAGTGAGGAGGAAGATCTGGAGGACATCGTACCTAAGAAAAAACCGAAGAAGAAAGGCTCACGACGACCTAAAACATTAGATGAAATGGATGATAGTTGGGTTGCTACACATGCTAAACAGGTATAGTTTATGTTATTAGGAGGGAGGTGTGGTGTCTCAGTGGGTATGACGCTGGCTGGAAAACCAGGTCTCGGGTTGGCTGATATAGATTGTCTGGATTTTCTGGCATGATTTTCTCTCTTGTTAGTGGTGCAGAACAGAGGGCTTGAAAAGGAACAGTGACTAGTCATTCGTATTGGACAAAAAAAACCATGGTCCTGTGTGCATATTGGCATGCACGTTAAAGAGTCTGATGGGTTGTCCTCTGCTAAAGACCCCTACGCGCAAGCGAATTATTGAAATAAAATTAAACCTTGAATGTTTGTCCCAAAATGACCTAGTTTGTGTCAAGTGGAAATTAAACCCTATTTCTTTGTTTCTCTCTCCATTAAGAAGTATAATGATGTTCATATTCTGTGATTGGTATATAAATTCACATCATGGTAGTTTTTATTTACTTTATATTATTTTTACTGTTAGGTTATACGTATGTTACCTGGTGGACTGGAGGTTGCAGGTGTTTTTATTTTATCTCCACCAAATATATCACAGAAAGTTACAGAGAAACTCAGACAGGTAATTATATATAACAGAACACATTTGACAAAGATACATCTTATAAGACATTTCGAATAATTTGAAAACTGCAGCCGAAATACCAAAATAATCCAGTAAACTCTGGTCAATTTTATAGAGGCTATTACAACGGATGTGATCAACATATAAACCATGTGTTAGTCTCAGAATGACCTTTGATATATATTATAATTGTAGGTTGTTTATGCTGTACACAGATCTATAAATAAACCTGGTTTATTACCAACTGGTGAAATTACAGACAGAATAACTCTACATATCTGTTCTCTTACTAGAAAGTATCCTTTTAAAACGTTTCTAGAGATCGTATATATTAGTTAACAACATTGATTATAGTCTGTATACGCTATGTGAGGGATTGAAGAATCCCCTTCAATATGGTGAAACATGAATCTCTAATAGGGGTAGTTTAATTCTTTTCAGTATTTACTAAGATGGAATGGAACAAATTATGAGTTGAAATGTAGTGACGATTGCTGATTATAGGCATGTAGCGTGCTGTCATATGGTTTACATGTGTTGATTCTCAATTCATTATTTTTTCATCTTCAGTCTTAAAGGGAAAAAACAGATTCACTTCACATCATATGCGTCATTTAAGCACACAACAATATTGTGAAAGATGTATTCTAAAATGAATATCAGTCCAAAATGGTTCAAATGCTTTTGATATTTACAAAGATATGTTGAATTGAAACTTCATAGATTTATGCTGCTCGCTATAATAAGCCTGCAGCCAATTTTTGTGGGCGAACAGAAATGATAGGCCTATTTAAGATCCGATTTTAAATTTGTTTTCTTGGTTAAATAATGAATCTGAGTACACAGAAGCATGGATTAGTTGGCCGTCAGAAGTTTGATATTTTAGCAAAAAATGCAAATGACACATCATTACTTTTAGGTGATGCACCCATTCTAGAAATGAAAATAACTGGTTAGAAAACTTTGTGAATGTATTTTATATCTTTAACTGTTTAACAGAATAACTTGTAGAACTTATGATGTGGAAGATAACAATGTACGTTACTTTTTCTATAATTGATATGGTACTAAAAAAACTCTTTCCATATAAAATTAATTATCACTTATCAAATATAAACATAATTATAACTAGATATTTAAATATCCCTGCACAACAGCTGTATAAAAACAGACTTTACGTTTAAATGGGAGGTGGTTTATTCATCTTCATAACGTTTCAGGTTGAACTAAGACCTACATATATCAAGATTAGAATCGAAATATGGTCAATTTAAACTGTTTATATGTTTTATTGCTATAGAGTAATGGTCACCCAGCAGAATGGAGATATCATCCTATAAACGATAAATGGATACAGCTCAATACTTCAGCATTTCTTGATATAACTATTCCTGTTCCTTCCCTTAGAAAATCTTCAACATTAATCAAACAAATACAGGTATTGTATATACATATAACTTTAATCACATAAATACAGGTATTGTCTATACAAATTAGTAGCAACAAAACTTCTGGGCATTTAGTTTTGGGGAAAAATATGACACATTTGATACACAGTAGGGCAGTATAATGGGTTTTGATTTAAGCACCAAGGAAGTCAACACGTCATGTGGCAAGCAGTAATGGCAGTGCCCATGAAACGGTAGAAAAGATTAAAGAAATATTTATATTAGTTTCATAAAATTTTAACAAAATCTATAAATTATTGTTCTCTACGTTTTTAAATGTTTTTTTTCAATGGGATTAGTTCCTCTGTAAGAGGGAATGTTTTGATATTGGGAGTAGTCTAGTAACTCCTTCCTTATATTTTAAGTGAATATCACAACATAGAAGAAATGCCGAATTCTACCTGTGTTTTTCAAAGGTGCTGCTAGATCAAGTGATACTAGTATTGCCTTTTAAGGAAGCCACAGTGGTTTATTTACAGGGGTATTCCAATTTTGGCTGTAAAGGTTCCTTGCGGTTTCCCCTTGTCAGAAAATGGTGCAGAAAATGGCCTGCACTAAAAGAGTGCCGAAGCAGATACTGCCTGAACAAAATTTCCCTCATATCTCACAGCATGTCTTTATTAGCCTCGTTTTATTAGAAGAGTAGGGTATAAAGCTCTATTTCATATCTTCTTCAGTATCACTGTAGATTCTATACAAGTCACTGTCCTTAGTAACACTGTAGATTCTATACAAGTCACTGTAGATTTCTATACAAGTCACTGTCTTCAGTATTACTGTAGATTTCTATACAGCATCACTGTCTTCAGTATCACTCTAATATCACCTTTTTCTAAATGGTCGTAAGATTAGACAAACAAAAAAAACAACATTGTTTTACTGAATCACTATGTAGACAATCGATGGCCAGACTAAGTCAGAAAGTCTATAATCGAAGTAAACTGAGGCTGTGCTCAATATATTTGAATTAAACATACATTATGTAAGAGCTAAATCTGCCTATTGCAGGTCTTTATTGTGGCTTCAAATCTTACATAAACTATTATTTAGACATTTGTTCACTTGACAACCACATAATTAACTCTCTTGAACATTGGATGGCTGAGATTTAAACGGATTAAAACATTGTCGCCATTTAATTTAAAAATGGATAATCTATACTTAGTCTCGTACCATTGCTACGATATTGAACAGTCTACGCTACATCTTCAAACACTGATAACTTCACAATAAAATAATTTGAATGAAATTTTCAATATATTCATTTTTCATTATCTAATTTTGAACCTACATAAAGCATCCTTCAGCAAACTATTGAATATATTTTGAAAATTTTGTTTTCAGATGGGTTTAACACCATTTTATCAGTCGCTGTCAACAAGTATCGGATTAATTAATGGAGCTTTCCGAGATACGTCAGAATTACTAGAAATGGCAAGTGGTAAAAAAAGTCGCAGTAAAGACAAGAGTTTTATGATGCCACAATCTTACAATGTAGAATTAATGATAAAAAAGGTAGATATTTGATATTAAAAGGTACATATTAGAAGTTAGATATTTGATATTAAAAGGTACATTATTTTAGTTATAAAACGTTGTTAATCAGTTTTGGTAATTATTTTAAATTGAGACTCGCTGACATGGTAAATAAATACATTGTAGCATGATCACTTCTACTAAAATGAACTTTTGTCAAAAACATGTAGACATTTGTGGCAACACACTCTTAAAAGAGTAGTAGCTTCTGGACATGTGGGTCAGGCCGTTAGATCTGTGTAGCTGCTGGAGCAAATGATGGACAGAGGCTGGACAGTTCGGTCAGCCTGTTAGATCTATGTAACTGCTGGAGCAAATGATGGACAGAGGCTGGACATGGGGGTCAGGCCAGTTAGATCTGTGTAGCTGCTAGAGCAAATGATGGACAGAGGCTGAACATGTGGGTCAGACTGGGAGATCTATGTAGCTGCTGGAGCAAATTTTGATGCCAGTTGATAAAGGGTCTTTTAACTCGAAACTTTATGAAGATGAATAAACCACCTCCCATTCTAACATAAGTCTGTTTTTGTACTGTTGTTGAGCAGAGATTTATAAAATGTATAAAAAATGTCATTGGTATAATTTTAACAGGGTGATGGTAAGAAAGTAGCCGATCCACAAGTGACATCTGTATCATCTATGATTGTATTACGAGGTCAGATGATTGGTCGAGCGTTTATACAGGGTAAACCCACTGTTGGTGATGTCATACAGGTAAGTTACACTACTAGTATTTATATAGGATAAACCAACAGTTAAGGGTGCCATTTGGCCACCCAACTCCTCTCTTCCCCCCCCCCCCCACTTGTACGTGACAAGGAGTAGGGGGTCACCTATCAAACCTTGTGGGTTTTCTCTGGGTCCTCCGGTTTCTTCCTACTGCTAAAAAACCCTACGTGCAGGAAACTAGAGTACCTAGAGAAAATCCACAAGGTTATACAGGTGATCTTAGTCCTAGTGACATACACACACAGAACAGACCCATTTCTTGTATAGATGTTAGACATTATACAGGACAGACCCATTCCTTGTATAGATGTTAGACATTATACAGGACAGACCCATTCCTTGTATAGATGTTAGACATTATGTGTTAAACCCTATGGCAACGTGTCTTTTAAAGCAATATTAAAGATAAATGTGCTATGTTATTACAAGCTGTAAAGGTTGATCTAGCTAGAAATATTTCATCTAGATGTGTAGTTATATTGTTATTATTACAGGCTGTAAAGGTTGATCTAGCTAGAAGTATTTCATCTAGATGTGTAGTTATAATGTTATTATTACAGGCTGTAAAGATTGATCTAGCTAGAAGTATTTCATCTAGATGTGTATATTGTTATTATTACAGGCTGTAAAGGTTGATCTAGCTAGAAGTATTTCATCTAGATGTGTAGTTATATTGTTATTATTACAGGCTGTAAAGGTTGATCTAGCTAGAAGTATTTCATCTAGATGTGTATATTGTTATTATTACAGACTGTAAAGGTTGATCTAGCTAGAAGTATTTCATCTAGATGTGTATATTGTTATTATTACAAGCTGTAAAGGTTGATCTAGCTAGAAATATTTCATCTAGATGTGTAGTTATATTGTTATTATTACAGGCTGTAAAGGTTGATCTAGCTAGAAGTATTTCATCTAGATGTGTAGTTATAATGTTATTATTACAGGCTGTAAAGATTGATCTAGCTAGAAGTATTTCATCTAGATGTGTATATTGTTATTATTACAGGCTGTAAAGGTTGATCTAGCTAGAAGTATTTCATCTAGATGTGTAGTTATATTGTTATTATTACAGGCTGTAAAGGTTGATCTAGCTAGAAGTATTTCATCTAGATGTGTATATTGTTATTATTACAGGCTGTAAAGGTTGATCTAGCTAGAAGTATTTCATCTAGATGTGTAATTATATTGTTATTATTACAGGCTGTAAAGGTTGATCTAGCTAGAAGTATTTCATCTAGATGTGTATATTGTTATTATTACAGGCTGTAAAGGTTGATCTAGCTAGAAGTATTTCATCTAGATGTGTAGTTATATTGTTATTATTACAGGCTGTAAAGGTTGATCTAGCTAGAAGTATTTCATCTAGATGTGTATATTGTTATTATTACAGACTGTAAAGGTTGATCTAGCTAGAAGTATTTCATCTAGATGTGTATATTGTTATTATTACAGGCTGTAAAGGTTGATCTAGCTAGAAGTATTTCATCTAGATGTGTAATTATATTGTTATTATTACAGGCTGTAAAGGTTGATCTAGCTAGAAGTATTTCATCTAGATGTGAATTATTGTGTGAAGATTTAGAAATTACAGAGCAAGACAAAGGTAAATCATTACCCATCTTCACAGTCCTATTTCTTCCTCACTTTCTCATTATTACCCATCTTCACAGTCCTGTTTCTTCCTTGCTTTGTTATGACATATCTAGCAAAGTCCTGTGTAAGAACAGGGTATTCGAACACCCTTAAAGATGGATGATGTAAGATCTAAATCTGCCTTCTGACGTCAAATGTTATATAAATTATTATTTTGACATGTATTCAAGCCCATGGAAAATCAAGACATTATTTATTATCGTAGCAATGGTACTTGACAATTGAGACTAATTGTGCTATTTCTTATCAAATTTTCAAACATTGATAACTTCGCTCAGAATGAAGTAATTTGACTGAAATATTCAATATATTCCTTTTTTATTATCTATTATCAGTCAATGATCAGCAGTTTATGTCTGTTTCTTGTCAAAACTTCAAATCTTCAAACATAAATTATTTTGCTCAGAATAAAGTAATTTGACTTAAATTTTCAATATATGTATATCTATTTTTGAACTATTATCGCAAGAACGCCCCCCCCCCACACACACACACACTTTCTTTAACTCTGGCATAATGTATCAATAAAAGGTGAATAATATGATATATTAACATGTGTTGTTCCGGAAGAATTCAAAATCAAAATTATATGACCTAAAATGCTATTTTTGTTTTTATTTTTAGCTGTTGAGTTATACAATACACCTGTCAGAGTGTTCGTCATCGTCCCCGATTCTTCCGTGGAAATCTGCGATTATATTTTCCAAGATGAAAGAACTGATGAAGTCACAGACAGAATTAAAGATTTATTAGATGTTAAAATAACAGAAAATAATTTAGAGCTTGATTTAGAAAGACCTGCCGGTTTGTATTATTGACAGTACTGTTTTCACATGTTCTTCTATTGATGTAAGATGGCAGGAGGAGGTCAGGTGGTCTAATGTATGTGTTTTAGATCATTAACAATTTGATTAAAACACAGATCTTATTTCGTTTCTTTTTTATAGTCTTTACTACACTAGGATCTGGAAGAGTTGTTGTCATTGACGTGTTCTGAATGATGTGAGCTATTAGCCAATGAAACGGTCGGTTACGGCGAGCTTTAGGCATGTTTTGCACGGAACTGTGGGTAATCCACTAGTAACATCAATGCTGATTGGTTAATCAAATGTCTGACGTCGCTCGTATGACCTCTGACGCGACCTATCGCTACAACCGGTCAGATCTTCATGTAGTGTAGGCCATTGAAAGTATAAAAAAAACGAAACGAAATATAGATCTATATTTTAATCATATTAAATCATTAAGTCAACAAAACATTCATTACTCCCTCAATTTCGTGGGGGATTGAGTCGACTAACAAATACTTTAGATCATAAGGTTTAGTAACATGGTTTTGATCCCCAGCTTGTCCGTGCCAAGGAGGAGGGTCATCTCCCTAACCTCATGGGTTTTCTGCGGGTCCTTCAGTTTTTTTCCACAGCTAAATCTATCTTTCTCTGAAATAAAATGAAGAACAATTAGAAGTCAAACTGGCATGTAAAATCGTTTTTATGATAATGTCTGTTCGTCCAACTGTCCACAATTGTTTGAGGATGTTTAGAGGCTAAAGTTATTATCATAAACTGAAAAATCCTATTTATTTCCTGATTATACTAGGTTTCCACTATCAAGGTTCGTGCTACGATTGAAATCGTGGTTTTAATTGTGGAGTAATCTTGGTGATCGTACCGGGTATTATCATATATTGAGGTCGGTCGTAGCAATTGAGTTGATCATACCGAAACGTATCCGAACGTATCTTCACATACCAGATTGTTGACTCAGTAGGAATAATCCTATCGTAAAGCATCGCAAGGCAGTAGGAACCTAGCATTATCACTGTAACCCAGGTGTCATTTAATCTTGTGTATCTAGCACTAATTTTTTTCACATTCGTTTAATATCAAATCTTTGTGTCAAAATTCGTAAAAACGTTTAAAATCACCATAAATCGTTTAATTTGTACTTCTGTCCAGTTTAAAGCTGACCATTCAATTTTGATAATGAGTGTTCAATTAACAAGTATTTAATTTCTCAATCACTGTTAAAAAATAAACAACCCAATTGATTAATGACGAATAATGATTAATTTTTGAACAGTGGTCAGGAAATTAAATACTTGTAAATTGGACACTCATTATCAAAATTGAATGGCCAGCTTTAAACTGGACACAAGTACAAATTAGATGATTTTGTGTGATCTTGATTGAATTTTGCGAATTTTTAAACAAAGATTTGATATTAAACGAATGTGAAAGAAATTAGTGCTAGATACACAAGACTAAATGATACCTGGGTTACAGTGATAAATGTCAAGGGTTCTTCCGTGTACACTTTAACCTCATTTTTTTTCACATCATCCAAATAACTAGACTCTTTTCCTAGCCTGTCCTGTACCACTGACTAGATGCTGTTCCTAGCCCATCCTACACCACTGACTAGATGCTGTTCCTAGCCCATCCTACACCACTGACTAGATGCTGTTCCTAGCTCTTCCTGTACCAGTGACTAGATGCTGTTCCTTGCCCATCCTACACCAGTGACTAGATGCTGTTCCTAGCTCTTCCTGTACCACTGACTAGATGCTGTTTTTAGCCCATCCTACACCACTGACTAGATGCTGTTCCTAGCCCATCCTACACCACTGACTAGATGCTGTTCCTAGCTCTTCCTGTACCACTGACTAGATGCTGTTCCTTGCCCATCCTACACCAGTGACTAGATGCTGTTTTTAGCCCATCCTACACCACTGACTAGATGCTGTTTTTAGCCCATCCTACACCACTGACTAGATGCTGTTCTTAGCTCTTCCTGTACCACTGACTAGATGCTGTTCCTTGCCCATCCTACACCACTGACTAGATGCTGTTTTTAGCTCTTCCTGTACCACTGACTAGATGCTGTTCCTAGCCCGTCCTGTACCACTGACTAGATGCTGTTCCTAGCCCGTCCTGTACCACTGACTAGATGCTGTTCTTAGCCCGTCCTACACCACTGACTAGAGAAAACCACATTGAATAATCCTGTTGTACTTTCTCGGCCAACAATGGAATCAATGTCTTACTCACTGACACACCATGGCTCCCTTACTATTTAGCACTTACATAATGTATGTTTAATATATGTCTAATCAATAGTTTATATAACATTTAAGACCTAAAGAAAGACCTGCAATAGGCTAATTTAGCTCTTGCCTAATGCCTGTTTAATACACCTAGAAACCACTGATGTCATGTTGATTAAAATGAGATTTATAGTGATAGATATATAATCCAACATTTATTATCATATATTGAATTTCTATTATCTAATTGATTTACAGCTGAAGAAGACTGGTTGTCATATAATACAGAGGAAGATATTGGACCAGACTCTTTAAATAACGTGGTAGGACCGGACGCTAAATCAAACATAGTAACTTATATCGGTAAGATTATATCTATTATAAAACTTTAAATATCTTCTGTGACAATCAAGACTGCTGACGCAAACTTTAAATATCTTATGTGACAATCAAGACTGCCGACTCAAACTTTAAATATCTTATGTGACAATCAAGACTCCAGACACAAACTTTAAATATCTTATGTGACAATCAAGACTGCAGACACAAACTTTAAATATCTTATGTGACAATCAAGACTGCAGACACAAACTTTAAATATCTTATGTGACAATCAAGACTGCAGACACAAACTTAAAACTTTGATCAGTTCTGTCTGTAGGCACAACGCTGACCAGTGAGAACCAGGCTTGTGAAATCCCCTCAACTGCTGCAGCGACACCATAGATAGAAGAATATAAGGGTGGGGTTTTATAACGGGGTTGGTGCGGAAGGAGATGTTGTTCTTAATGAGTGAAGAGTGATAGTAAAGGGTTACGGGGGGTATGGATAACGGAAAGAGTTATTGAACAGGATGATGTCTTTTGTAAGATGGAAGGATACATGTATAAAAATCATCATAAAATTTGACTAGGTTACCGCTAGAAAATTTTATTTCTAAAATTCAAGAATAAACAAGTGATGACTGCATGGAGAGTATAAGCTGCCATGGGAACATTTTCTTAATGGAATCATAACCTACAAAAGAATAAAAATGTGATTACCTGCTGTGGGCCGGCTTTTATATTTGTTTTTTATTATAAAGTTATTGTGTAGGTGTGAGTGTTGTTGACTATAAGATTATTGTGTAGGTGTGAGTGTTGTTGACTATAAGATTATTTACTATGTTTCAGGTTTAGCTGCTAGTGGTGTGGTAGCTGCCATCGCCGTAGTTTATAATCTCTTTCTCACAGAATCAACTGGAAGCTGAATAAAATAATTAATAAATAAACATTATATTTATTTACATATTCTGTTGTATAATGATCGCTTCAAGCTTCAAACAATGCAATTATTAAAATCTCTGATCATCGTTTGTGGGATGATATTGAATCCCGTTGCCTACTAGTCAATATTGTAAAAGTTGTTATTTTTTTTATGGTGGCTATAATAATCTATTGCCATATTGACCAGATTTTTGGACCATTTCTGTTTTAAAGCCTTGTGACTACAATCCATATAGCACTACCTATAATCATTGCTTAAATCTTTTGACACTCCTGTTTTTAATTCGATGGAATCCAAGCCGATTTTGTTTGTAGATATTCTAGCATGGATGACCAGTGACTTTAATGTATATAAAATAAGACTTATCACTTTATATGGAGCGGAATTCACGACATAATAAAACAATTTAATCAGCACTATCTGGTTTTTTTTATATATGCAAGTTGTGGGTTTTGAAAAGTAATGGGAGATCCTGGGGATACAAGGGTGTGACGCATGGTTAATATATTTCTGTTTAATGTTCACTCGACACAAACTATGTCATTTCGGGACCAACAGATGATTTAATTTTATTTCAGTATCTTGCTTACTTGAAGGGGTCTTTAGCAGTGAAAGGAAGTTAAATGACACATAGAAAACCCATGAGGTTTGTTAGGGGACCTGTTGATATTCGACTCAAATGTTCCTTAACTAAAATTCTCTCCATAAATAAATTATAGTTGTCACATGGAATTAAAAGATTTAACAACAAAAAGCTATTCAAGCCACTTACTCCAGTCAAGAGTTTCAATTTAGGGAAATCCCCACCTGTTTAAGTTTTCTCTTTACAAAAAAAAATATTCAGAAATGTCTGAGGGATGTCACCCCCCCCCCCCAACTCTCACAAATATTTTTGCTTGGTATCAGTATCTGTGGACCAATCACACCAGCCAGTCTACCAGTATTACACACACACAGTGACGATGCGTGTGGGTGCAATCTGTCAAATTCTCTACCTTTAATTATGCAAGAGCAAAATCTGCTTATTACAAGTCTTTCTTTAGGCCTGAAATGTTATCTAAATTATCAATTAGACATTAATTAACTTATCGAGACCATAATAAACTATCGATGTCAAGGCTAGCCTTCGATGTTGGCTGGATTAGATTTACTGAAGTTTTCAGCAAATTACCTTTACACTATCTAGTTTTTAACTATTATAGCGAGAACTGTCATCTCTTTATCTTATCTCCCATAATGTATCTTTAATAAACATAAACATTTGAACTCTAATCCTAGACATATAGATGGAATGAAATGGGGTTAACGTCCTACTGTTCTGCTCTGACTGGGCTAATGAAGATGGGCATACGCACAGTGTGCTAAGAGGGAAATTTTGCCTGGGCAGTGGCACTATGGCCTACTCTTATATCGTATTCCAACTGCCAAGAGATCTTTAACATGCACGCCAATGTATGCACGGGACCTTGATTTTTCGTACCATCCTAACGACTAGACAGCTGTCCTTGTCAGGCCCTCCTTCCTGCACCACTGACAAGGGGAAACCACATCAGAAAATCCTGATGAACTATCTCGGCCAATGCCCTAGACATATAACTCAATAGATATAACAGCATGAATATTTCATTTTGTTAATGACCAAAAAAACGTCATGGGAGAAGTGTCGTATTTGCTCAAAGTCATGATAGACTGTCTTTATTAGTGGCAGTTGGATGTTCTAAGGTGTGCGCTTTAGATTATAAGGTCTGTCAGTGAATCCAGTGGCGTGGCTTCGATCCCATGCTTGTAGTGACAAGGAGTAGTTGCCTGTCGAACCTCGTGGTGTCTCTCTCTGGCCGGCCTCTCTCCAACCTCGTTGTCTCCCCCTCTCTCTCTCTCTCTCTCTTTCTCTCTCTCCCAACCAATCTCTGTATCTCTATGATATAACAGAAATTATGATTAGAAGGAAAAATCATGTTTTGTGGACCTGGGCCAAGATAATTATACAACGTAATATGAGCAACATACGTCACGTGACTTGTCAATTACCGTAATCCTATCGGCTTAAATCGTTAATCTGTGTTTTGAAGTCCGGGTCATGTCTACAGACAAGTTTGACTTGCATAGCTGATACGGAGCTCGGCAATACTAGACCATTCAACGTACGATTTCACCGAAATTTTCATCTCCGGATCCGGAGTAGACACTAGTTTAGTTATAACGCTTCAAAGGTGTGATAAGTCGGAGAGAAGACTAATGATTTTAAACAAACTGAAACTAGTGAGAAAGTATCTAACACCCGTCTGAATATTTCTCAAGTCATTCTAAGGTTGAATCCATTCAGGAACGTGTTTACTGGGGAGTTCTTCTACAATTAAAGTCAGAAAACATCGTTACTACAGGACGCTATCAAGGTATCTGTGTTGATCAAGGTAAATGGTAGAACTCACCTGACATGGTGGATCTCACCTGACATTATACCAGGTAAAGCCAGCTTATAATGAGAAGGCTTAGTCTTATTGATTGTGTGGAAGTCAAGAGTAGAAATAACATATCCAGACGTGAGATTATTTTAGATGTTAATACCGCCAAGAGAAATGGTTAACTCAATTGTGTAGGTCGACTTTCAGACAATATTGGAATAAAATATCACGGAATAATGTGACAATATTTTGGTGAATGCAGAAAAAGAGTCTGAACATCATATAACACATCAAATAGTAATATTTAATATACACTACGACCTAATACGAGAAATCAGCATTTTCAATAGTTTCATTTTTTTTTAATAGAAATAATTAACTAGAAGAACAAAAGCGAGGAAATTGTGAGCGATTCTAATTCTTATAATAACAATTTCCTTCTGTTGTCTCTCATTCTAATTTTAGTTTTCGGTCTATTTGGATATTTCTTATAACAATTTTTTTCTGGCGGAACCGATTCTAATTTTACATTTAAACCCTTGAATATTTTACAAGTTATATGATCAGTTCATCTCGTTTATCACATTGTCGGACGATGGAATACACCTAGTCCATATAAAATTGATTATCGGATTTGAAGAAAGGAAAAGGAATTGATGAAAGAAAGACTGGTTCTGAATTAATGAGTAAATTTTGAAGATGTCGTTGACACCCAGAGATTTAAAAGATATAACAGATTTGGTTTCCAAGAAATTGTAAGTTTTTAAAAACCATTCTATCCATGTTTATTTAAAGATCCATTATGGGAGATTAGATAAAGGGCTGGCAGTTCTCACTATAATAGTTAAAAACTAGATAATGTAAAGGGAATTTGCTGAAACTAAGCGATTGAAATTTCCGCCTAGCTTCGATCATCATTACTAAAGTCAATACGATAAACAGCATAGTCTCGATTATCCATTTAATCGTTAAATCGTGCAGTAAATCGGTCCATAATCCACTAAAAACCAAAGGCTAGCGATTCCATCTAGAGTTGATTATTGTCTTGATAGGTTAATTAATGTCTGATTAATACTTTAGATAACATTAAAGGCCTAAAGAAAGACCTGCAATAGACAGATTTAGCTCTTGCATAATGTATGTTTAATATGAAAACATTTTATATTTTGGGTTTAGATTTCAGTACGGGTTTGAACCTAGTCCTGACTGAGAGAGTTCCTCGTAAAATGCCAGCCTTTATCTCCCCTGTTACAGAACGATGGACCCAACAGGGAAAGTAAGCCCAGTCGTTCGGATGAGACGAGAAACCGCGGTCCCGTTTATACATTGGCGTGCACTTAAATATCCTTTGGCAGTTGGAATTCGATAAAGTGCCGCTGCCCGGGCAAAATTTCCCTCATAGCACACTGTATGGCGTATGCTCGTATTCATTAGCCCAGCAGAAGCAGAACCCAACTTCATTTCATTTCTTTTTTTGTCGCATCCGAACGTTTATACCGTGTTCCGTGTCATGTCGTCCGTCTTGCAGGACTCAGTGGTTCTTTTATGTACACGGAACGTTGGCTTTTTGTCACATCCGAATGACCTGATGATGTCCTCGTTAGCCCCCCCGCCCCCGACCTGTACGACACAAGGGGAACCACGCTGGAACATCACGATGTCCTTGTTAGGCCTCCCCTGCTGTACGACACTGGGTAAACCACGCTCGAACATCACGATGAACTTTCTAGTCCAATACCGGAATCAAACCCGAGACCTGGTTAGCGAGCCAGCGTCTTACTCACTGAGCCACTTCGTCTTCGACATCAACTTAGATAATTATAAATTTCATGAAAACATAAAAATTTGATTGTTATGTGAAATGCTTTACACATAACCTGGTGAAGATAATATATCGGTGATATTCTTGGCTAGAACCAAGCTCCTGACTATATATATATTTTACTAATTAACTCGTTAATTATCATATCATGTCTGTGGTTAGTAACTTTACGTCACACATCTTATATGAAAAGAAAAATCAATGAAACACACCTTTCAAAGATTTCATTAGAGGTTTTACGTTGGCTAAGCTCGTTCCCCAATCCCGAATGAAAATATTGTTAAAAAAAAGTGTTCATTGCCAAAGCTGTTCCAGTTTGAAAGTGACACAAGGAAAATAATTACTCCCATAACCATGATCTAATGTCCGAAGTGTTTCTAATTATGTTCTAATGTTAATAATTGGGTTATAATGTTAATAATGATGTTCTAATGGTACTTGCGCTGATATTTGGCGTCATTAGGAGACCCATTACAACTCACACGCCAAACACACGGTTATATGGATTTTTTTTGTCGCTATATGGACGACCCATTACAACTCACACGGTTTATATGGACCTTTTTTTGTCCCTATATGGACGACCTACTTACTGTTTCTTTATGTTATCTAAATCGTGCGTAGTTATTTTGGAGCAAGTTAGCACCCTTGCAGCTCACTAACCCGGAGGTCGAGAATTGACTGAAAAAGTCCATCTGAATTTTTCAGCCTGGGAAATTGTGTAGTCGTTTGGATGGGGCGGAAACTATTTATTGCGTGTATAATACTGGTCTCTTTTTCTCTGTTACAACAGGATGTACTTCTTGTACACATTGGGTGGACGTAAGCGAACCCTTGACAATCGGTGCAGAAAAGTAGAACGTTAAACCCCATTTCATTTCTTCTTCTATCATATATTATAAAGCCGAACAGTAGACGCCATCCAATTCTTGTCTTATGTTAAGATACAATCCCATTAAAATAAAGTTCGATATTTCGTTTTATATTTTTAGTGAGATGTAAAACGAAATTTTGAACTTTATAAACGAAACGAAATATGACCTGTGTTTTAATCAGATTATGTTTATATCTAAATCACATGATGACATCATGGATTACATCATGGATTACATCATGGATTACATCATAGATTACATCATAGATTATTGCGATTAAATAAGATTACTTGGAACGGATTATTTCACCATAAAAAGGGACCATCGACAATTCAGAGTTCTAAATACAAAAGTACATAAACACGTTGTATACTAATTTAATAAATCTATTAAATAATGGTGATAATCTGAGATAATCGTTGGATATTATCGCTCGTTGATTTATTTAATATAATCGTATGATATTAAGCAATATAAAGGCGTTATTATTGTTATATTCACTGTTTGATTTATCATCCTGTTAATATATTTATTTAAATCAAAAATTATGCGAGATTATTGTAAGCAATATCAAAATGATTTGGAGAAAAGGGAGACTGAGGATATTAAACTGGTATCGTCCCGAAATTCCGACCCTCAAAATGTTTTTTTTTTTTGTCCCAATGTATTTATATTTTATATTTTTAGGGTTTTATCATTATCGTATTTATATTTTATATTTTTAGGGTTTCATCATTATTGTATTTATATTTTATCAATATTTTATTTATATTTTATATTTTTAGGCCTTTATCAATATTGTATTTACATTTTCATGTCTTAATCAATATTGTATTTATATATTATATTTTTAGATCTTTATCAATATTGTATTTATATTTTATATTTTAGATCTTTATCAATATTGTATTTATATATTTAGGTCTTTATCAATATTGTATTTATATATTTAGGTCTTTATCAATATTGTATTTATATTTTCCCCGAGAGATATATCTGGATATTTTATATTTTTTTTCAGAGAGATATATCTGAACATCGACGAGAGAGAACGACATTTCAACACAGAAGGATGTTACAGAGTCTCGCCTAGAATGGTATGACGTCATATAACAATACTACATAACTAATGTATAACCTTTAAAGCCATGTTCCAAACAAATGACATATCTTTAGTCTCTACTAATGTATAACCTTTAAAGCCATGTTTCAACCAAATGACACATCTCTAGTCTCTACTAATGTATAACCTTTAAAGCCATGTTTCAACCAAATGACACATCTCTAGTCTCTACTAATGTATAACCTTTAAAGCCATGTTTCAACCAAATGACACATCTCTAGTCTCTACTAATGTATAACCTTTAAAGCCATGTTTCAACCAAATGACATATCTGAACATGTTGTCTTGTCTTATCGTGTGGACAGAGTCGGATGAAACTGTAAAGAAACATTTTGATCCCTAGGGTCGTACTATGTTATTATGAATTACGAGCCCAAATCTGTTTAGACCAATCTCAATCTGGTTAACTAGAGTAGCCCCCCCCCCCCCCCGCTCATAATCCTGGACCCGCCACTGCGGATTATTTGTTATTGCGCCGCTTCATATATATTTGTATGTAATAGAGCGCTCATTAATTCTAAATATTGTTTTGTTTCAGCATAAATATGACGTCATGTATCGTCTAGTTGAAAGTCGAGAATTTGAAAAGAACCTCCAGAAAACCCCAAGGTCAAAAACACCCGTGTCATCGAGGTCAAGGTCGCGAACCAGTAAATCGCCTTACTCTACACGTCCAGTTTCTATAAGATCAAATTCAAACGATAAAACAACTACAAAGTTGAGCCAAGGTCAAAGGTCATCTAGATCCAAAACACCAACCAAGAAGAAGTCTGTAGAGTCCTTCAGGGTTGAAAGGTCAAGGACACCAAAGAAGGATAGCCCGACGTCGTTGGTTGTCAGGGAGAAGAAGAAGGAAGAGTAAGTTTGTTAACCATGAACGTGACGTAATAAATGGTCAATTTGTTGCCGAGCTTTTTACAAATGGCATCCTGTTATAGGCCTAAATGGAGAAGGCAATGGGCATAGAACCGTATACCCTTCACGTAGCCTACACAACTGACTTGAACGTGACAAAGAACATAATTATTGGTATTATTAAGGTACCAAAATACCACAATAAAGGTTACATTTAGAGTTCAACACACACAAAAGAACTTACTTCAGTTTTTGAAAAGAAAAACGAACACATTTTGGTCTAGAGATTAATTAAATCAATCAATATATTCTAACTTATGTTATGGCCATTTTACACATCTACAGTTGGACATGAAATGAAATGAAATGGGGTTTAATGTCCTACTGTTCTGCTCCTGACCTGGGCTAATGAAGACGGGCATACGCCATAAAGTTGCTATGAGGGAAATTTTGCCCGGGCAGCGGCGCTACGGCCTACTCGTATATCGAATTCAAACTGCCAAGGGATCTTTTACGTGCACGCGAATGTGTACTCGGGACCTCATTTTTTCGTCCAATCCGAACGACTAGACAGCTGTCCTTGTCAGGCGCTCTATCCTGCATCACTGACAACGGGAAACCACGCCGGAAAATCTGGATGAACTTTCTCGGCCAATGCAGGGATCGAACACCCGACCTCCAGGCTAGCGAGCCAGCGTCTTACCCACTTAGCCACCGTGATCCCCATCGACAGTTGGAAATTTCACATTGTTATTAAAGATAAAGAGAAATGGGATTTAACGCCCACTCAACACAAACTTGGTCATTTTGGTACTAGAATATGGTGCATTGGTATATTGAAGACCTATCGAAAACCAACCAGGTTGGGTAGACGGCCGTATGCCTTGTCAAATCGTGTTTATTAAAGCGAACAAGACTAAAATAGAAAGATATAGTCGATACCGGCCTCCATTCTAACGATATTTTATGATTTATTCCAGGAAGCGGCCTATATCTGTGAAAACACCGAGAACTCCTCTATCTAGCGTTGGAAACAAACAAGCTAAACGTTTAGAAAACTACGCAAACCTCGTTTATGTGAGTATTATAATCATAATCATACGAATATTTCGTTTCGTTTAGTATCATAATTATACTAATATTTCGTTTCGTTTAATATCATAATCATACGAATATTTCGTTTCGCTTAGTATCATAATTATACCAATATTTCGTTTCGTTTCATATCATAATTATACCAACATTTCGTTTCGTATCATAATTTACCAATATTTCGTTTCGTTTAGTATCATAATTATACCAATATTTCGTTTCGTTTAGTATCATAATTTTACCAACATTTCGTTTCGTTTAATATCATAATTATACCAATATGGCTTTCATATATCATGACTGTTTGGAAAGCTACCAAACCCACTCTAGTGTATATTGAATACGCCCTCGACTATAGAAAGAGTTTCTAGTACAAGATCCACCATCTATGCTCAAATCTAATCTTACGGACAAGATAATCTTTTAGAGGCATTTAGAGCAATTAACTATAACACATGCTTATGGAAGAACAATTACTGATCCAAGATCATATTATTTTATTCTTGACTATAGGAAGAGTTTCCAGTAAAGGATCTACAACAGATTCACCACCAATGTCCAAATCTACCGGAAGCTGGTAAAGTTCAAAACTACACCCGTCACGTGGGTTCAGCGTTAAATACCAAACATTATGTAGACTTCTATCTCAAAAAAGGTAAAATAAACCCCGTTTTTGTGATAAAGGTTGAAGCAAGAATGCGTTGTACATTTCTAAAAATGGACAGTTAGCTTGTTAGCACAGCAGGCGCGACCCTTTACAAGTGGAAACTGGGCTTAAAAACTCGCATTGCAACTTAACATGTTCACATAAAATTGTGTGTTCATGGGCTGTATATGAATATATTTTGATTGGTTGTATATTCATGGAATGTATTTTGATTGGTTGTATATTCATGGAATGTATTTTGATTGGTTGTATATTCAGGGAATGTATTTTGATTGGCTGTATATTCAAGAAATGTATTTTGATTGGCTGTATATTCAAGGGATGTATTTTGACTATATTTCAATGTGTGATATAATGGTTGATTTAATTTTCAGGTTTAGCTGGCGACAAAAGACGACATGGCGGACAAAAGAAAGCACAAAATATTGCAACAATCAATAAAAATTTAGGTAGTATGAGGTCAGTTTATGTCAATCTATAATCCGTGTGTGAACTGTTCTGTAGTTGTTGCTTTTTGTCCTCATTAATACCGAAACAGCAGTATTGTGAACTCGCCAATAGCCAAGTGGTATTTGAATGAGTAAGCACACCCTAACTAAGGCCTGTATCATCACAGGTCCGGGTCTGTACAGGGCACCGGACGCTTACCGCTGGCCCCGGATGCATTCGCTTGATGTGATATACGTCTGGTTTTTATTATTATTTGCCATGCCTCTGTATATTGTGTGTCTTGTCCGCGGGTTTGTCTGGAGGGTTTTGTCTGTGTGTAGTGTGGTCATCATGCACGTACTAAAAGTGTACGACACTAGTCATTATATAACTAAAATCCGAAGCAATTGGGTAGAAAGGTATACCAGTGGAAGAAAGACATGACCTTGTATCGTATCGTCTAGCTAAATCATTTTTCATCACAATTTATAAAGGACACACAATAGTATGTACCAAAATTTAGATTGAATCCTCAAATGAATTGTTTTTGATAAACGGACTACATCAGAATGTCATCTTGTAATTTGTTCACTGTACAGTCACCAAAATGAAATGGGGTTTAACGTCCTACTGTTCTGCTATAAAGTCACCTTGGTTTAGAATATAACCAATTTGAATTAATTATGTCTACCAAGTGCAATTTTGTTTTTAGCCAAATTAAATCCTAAACTTACAGACATTAAGCTTGATAATAGGAATAATCAGTTCATTTATGTGATTATTATTAACTAGCTCGATACCCAGCTTCGCCCGAAGCAAAAGATGTGCTTATTCGACATCTTCCTTTCTTGCACGCTTTCCCGCTTGCTCACATCATCCGTTACTATTATTAAACTTAATTACCATAATAAACAGAGTTACCCCCCCGTTAACCGTTAATTGCAGTAAAACAGTTCCGCTGCAGGCATAGTTTTGGGGTGTGTTAAACTAATAAATGATCTTGACCTTTATAAATCACAGCCTGGTTGATGTGATACTACATATGTGGGGGTGGATCGCGGTGACGGGCGAACATACATACATATACATCTTTGGTTTTATTTAAATAGATTATCGATTTTACTCTAATCTAATTATAGTAAAGGTGTTTTCTTCGTCTACTTTGAATAAATATTTAAAATTTTATTTTCAGTGGATCCGATATCGACGGAAGCCGTGGAGCTCAAGACTACAGTCAAACTTATCCAGAATCTGAGTCGACTCGATCAGCATTAGTACGATTTATCTCCCCTGAATCATCCGTCCAATCAAATTTGAACCAAGAAACGTCAAACTCATCAAATAATATACAAACAGCCCCCGAATTAAACAAGCCTGCTCAAGATATTGCCTATGTAAGAAATGAATCACGATCAGAAATGCCATCCCCTTTTCCGAGATGTAGATCTAGAATCGGCCGAAAGACGTCCTCTCTAAACGTCAGCTATAGCTCAAACTCCTCGGAAGACCCACCAACCACCAGCGACCCAGAGGATCAAATGATCCAGTCAGACACTTCAACAAGAACAAACAGTCCAGAATCTTCAAGAGAATCTTTGTTGACTCCTTCCAGCTATTGTGAAGCGAATTCATCTGACTCCAGTGGTTCCTCAGTCCTCAGGTATTATCGATTGTCTACCCAATCATACGGAACCGTCCAGAAACCTAGAACAAAGTCCTCCCAAAAGTCAAAATCCGAAAAGCAGTGTCAGATGGAAATGAAACCGGAACAGTTCTATCACCCAGGACTACTAAAATCCGAAGATAAACTTTACAGTCCAAGGTCAAAGTCCTTGAAAAAATCAAATAATGAAGAGAAGAGTCAGGCGTTGTCAACAGAACACGTTTATCACCCAATCTCGAATCGCACCAAATGCAAGGTTTACAGTGCCCACAAGACACAGTCCAGACACGAAGATGATTTTTCATCGTCTAGCTGTTCCAGCACCCCAAGATACAAAATCACGGCTCGTCCATCACCAAGAATACTCAGAAGAAGTTCCGTTAGAACTAACTCCATGACAGAGAGTACCGGAGATTCGAGGACATCGACACCCAGAGCTGAAACAAAATCCGCTATGAAGTCACCGCGATTTGTAAACATAAAGCAAACACGAAAGCAAAACATTGATCTGAATCTTACTGCCGTTTTAAAAAGAGAAAACTGTAAACCAAGTATCGGTGGAACTGGAGACGATGACGTTTTCATGGATCGAGATAACAGTGAATATATTTCTGCGGATGAAGTATTTGAGAATGTTGAACGAGGGGATGACGATTTGTCCACCGAATCTAAAGTATCCCGAGGAGCACCTGGTGAAGACAGTGATAGTTTCAGTTCGAACACCCGTCTTACCAGAGAAGAGTACTACAAATTGCAAAGAGCATCGGACCCATTAGAAGAAGGTGTGCCGTCAAGAAAAACTGTTCAGCGAGCCCAAGTGATAACTGACGAAGTCCATGATGACCCCACGGATACATCCAGCGTTGAGAGCCGTGGCTCGTGTCCATGTCTTGGAGAAACAACCTACTCCACAGCAGAAACTTTAGTCCTTCCAGACAAGGAACCAGAAACTGAAAATGAACCGGACACACAATTTGCGGATAGTAATAACGATGATACAAACTTTACAAAGGATTGTTCACTAAAAGTTAATTTTGAAGAGGATGCTAGTCCCGAATGTTCCAAGAAGGAATTAAGTGATCCGGCAAAGGATATGAATGAGCAACCAGCAGAAGAGAAAACTTCAGAGGTGTCTCTGATGAAGTCAGTGAATAATGACGAAGTCGAAAGTATGACAGGGCGCACTAGCATCCTTTCTCCTGACTCAACGAGTGAAGCCGAGTCAGTAAATAGAGGAAGCGATGGGCAGCCGAACGATGGAAGAGGGAAAGGGAGAGTAGTGTCAGCGAAAAGGAGACAAAGCAGAGGATGTCAATGGGAAGACGAAGATGAACTTCCCAAAAATAGGAAAAGCGGTTTACGATACAGACTTGGTTCTGCAGCTAGCCGAGATGAACGTGGGGGATATGATGTTCTACCAGAGAATCGCGGCAGCTCTACAGAGAAAGGGTGGGAAGAAAATGCTCCCGAATATTACATTGTGACATTACCTGAAAATACTGCATCTCCAATCCCCACTTTGCCCTCCTCGCCATGCTCTCGTGGTATCCCACCAGCAAAATGGAACAAAACTCGGGAAGGTCCATGTAAATCTAGTCCGAATGATGCACCGAGTGGGCATAATCAAGACATTAGGGCAGATGATTTGAATGTAGAATCATGCAAACCTTCGTCGACATCCTCAGACTCTACACGCGTAGATGAACTTAGAAGTGAGGACGGTGGAGTAAGAAACGAATTGGGTTATCTTCAGTACGGCGAAGTCTATTATCCTGCTTCAAAAGATAATAACATCCAACACGATTCAGGAAGAAAACATTCGGGAGAGTATGCAGAGGTTCGTGGTGAATCCACATCAGCGGTTTTCGTGAACGACAAAGATTACCCACCATTGTTGTTAAAATATCGAGACTCGCTACCTCTATCTGACAAAGAAATAGCGATGGTTTTGGACATGCAAGAAACAACCGACGAATTTCGTGGCAAGAATGAGAGAAACGATTCAAATAACCGAGAAGTATCTGAAAATCACTCTGAAAACATCCTCGGACGTGGGCTTCCGAGAGTTTCCTCTGTCACAAGTACTTTATCCTGGGCTGAGAAGTATTCTGGTGACGAAGAATTCAATACTGCTGATGTGGAAGATAATAAGAAAAAACAAACAGAGATGGAAAAGAAGGATCTGACCAAGGAGGAACCTAAAGTTGATAACGGTAATGAAGATAAATATGTGCCACGTCCCGACCCAGAAGTAAGAGGCGAAACTCGAGATTCGCGTGAAGGAAGCACGGGACAAACTGAGAACGACGAGCATGATTCTGTACCCGAGGGTGGAGATCAGCTTGTGATGCCCATTCTTGACGACAGTGATCGAAGGGTTGATGCTATGTTATCACAAATAGAATTGCTAGTCAGAGCCAAGACAAGCCATCTCGAGATCAAAAATGAGGTTGAAGAAGATTGCGTTTGTAGAGGTGAAGATACTGATGTGGATGACTCCGAAAGACACATGAAGCAAACAGAAGACCTTGATACCCGGACATATTCCTCCAGCACGTCGTCTTCACTAGTAACAACAAGCAGTGACACAAAATCCGAATATACGGATTTATCGGTATCCATAGTACCTGTTTCCAAATCAGACTTATTAAAACAAAAGTCTTTATGTTACTCAAATTCAGAACGAAGAGAACGGAAGAATCAGGATTTTCCAAAGAACAATATTCGACTTTTGAACAGTCCTTGTCTCGCCGTGTCTAGATCTGATTCTGGTCCCGTCGTGGATTTAAACAAGTTAAAACAATCACAATTACACAAGCCTAAATATAAATCTAATTTGCATAAAAGGGGAGAAGACTCCACTGGTTCTAAGTCCCGACGACCACGATCTGCTGTTCTTAAATCAACAAACATCGTGAAGGCCACGAGACGGCGACGATCGAAATCCGCCACAAGCAGATCTTCAAAATAACATCTTTACTATTTCATTTAAGGAGGCACCTCTTTCACAATTGAAACAATTTTCCACTTTTTATATGGAGTCCCTTCAGCTGGCATAGGCCCTTAGACTACACGCCCTATAATCCATGATTTAATACCGTTTGACATAATTTTGCATGTGAATATATAGTCAAATTATGTTCATTTGAAAATTGTGAAAATGAATTTACCGACTGGCTAAGATCGTTAAAGTTTGTTTCTCTTTAAATGTAGCTACATAAGGTTATAAAATTTCATTTACTTCTATCTGACGACTTCATTTATAAACTGTGATCTATTTGAATGTCCCGATATCATTGGTTTATCTTTTAATTCAATTCGTTCACATGAGAGAGATAGAAATGGGGTTTAACGTCCACTCGACACAAATTAGGTCATTTCGGGACTAACATATGGTTCAATTTTATTTCAATAATTCGCTTGTGCGTAGGGGTATTTAGTAGTGGGAGGAAACCGGAGGACCCGAAGAAAACCCACGAGGTTGGACGGGCGACCCTATTCCCTGTCACGTACAAACGGGGAATCGAAACCACACCAGTTGACTCAATGACAGACCTTCTGATACAACGTCGGCGTGCTAACCATTCGGCCATTTAAGACCCCCACCCCACCCCCGAGTAATCATGGTCTGTCATCGATTTCGACCCCATGCATGCGCGAGTCGGGTGACTGTCTATTGAATTAATACAAGAAAATGCATATTATATGTTATTTAGCTTTGGTATTATTTATGTTTATATAGAATTGAAACTATTTGTGTATATATATAACGTAGATATTATATGTGTATATATATATAGCGTAGATATTATTTGTGTATATATGACGTAGATAATATTTGTGTATATACGAAATCGATATTATTTGTGTATTATGACGTAGATATTAGTTTAATATTTTATATGGCGTATATATGAAATTGATATTATTTATGTATATATTAAATTGATATTATTTATGTATATATGAAATTGATATTGTTTGTGTATTAAAAATGATACAGTGATGTAAATTTATTGGTAATTCAGACTGTGACACAATTTTGATTTGTTTCAGTGGTTCAATTTGTAAATATTGTAAATAAACCAGTTTTATCAAAGTTTTCATTTTCTGCTTAGAGAGTCGCCGATTGTCAGAGCAAGACAATGTAAATATAGAAAACCATAAAAGAAATTAAAAAAAAAAAAAAAAAAATCTCCATTCTATTCACGGTTAGCTAGTAGTAGAGTCGTCTCCCATATAATTGTACAGTTCATAGCCAAGTTGTACACCGCATAATTGTACTGTTCATAGCCAAGTCGTACACCACATAACTGTCCGTTTCATAGCTAAATCGTAGTCTTACCCCCCCCCCCCCCACATTATTGTCCCGCTCATAGCCAAGTCGTACACCACATAATTGTACCGTTCATAGCCAAGTCGTACACCACATAATTGTACCGTTCATAGCAAAGTCGTGAAGTGATCCAAGATGACCCACAGTAGAACGTCGTGTTCTTCCAACCGCAGTTGTTGTCACAGGGGCTCAGTGAGTACGCAGGTTCCGGGTTTGCTCCCAGTGTTGACCAACAAGTACCTAGGGTTCCCCTTGTGGGCGTATAATAGTAAGTGTAGGGGGACTGCACCACACACAAACATAACATACAAGACAAATCTACGGACATAGAGAGAGAGAGAAATGGGGTTTAACGTCCACTCTACACAAACTAGGTCTTTTCGGGACTAGCATATGGTTCAATTTTATTTCAATAATTCGCTTGCGCGTAGGGGTCTTTAGCAGTGGGAGGAAACTGGGGGAACGGGGAAAACCCACGAGGCGACCCTACTCCTTGTCACGTACAACCAGGGAATCGAAACCACGCCAGCTCATTCATTGACAGATCTTACGATACAGCGCGCACATGCTAAACATTTGGCCACCCAACCCCCCGACACCACAAACAACAAACGTACACATATCAGATCAAGTGAATGGAGTCCGGGGGCTAGTCTTAAGCATTCACTGTGCTGTACAGTCCCGTGCCTGTATTGATACAGACTTCACTAAAGATGAAAAACGAACTAATAATAAGTTCATATTTCCCAAACGTTGTATAATACTAATGTGAGTCATGATCGGCTATGTGCTCCATGAAATATTGATGTAGGGACATTGGAGGAAAATACCTTTATGAGTAATCATTTACTTGAAATCTAGTAGAAAGCCAAGTCAAAATTAAATAAGTTATGTAGTAATCAAAAAACAGAGTTCCAAACATTATAGGCGTTCTAAAGCCCCCCCCCCCCCAAAAAAAAAACAAAACAAAACAACAAAAACAATGTAAAGTTTTATCATTTCAGTTGAGTCGAATACTGGAAAAGCATTCAATTAATGACTAAGACTAATCAAGGGGTTATGTAGACCCAGTGTTATTTTTTTCGATGGAATTCAAGCAAAAATAAATCTGAAAACCACAAAGCACTCGGATACTATCATCTTTTTTTTATTTAATCTAAAAATCTATAAAGAAAAATCTATTTTATCAAGTTCATAAAAAACATGACATGAAATAAATGAATGATATACAGCGCCTCCTATTGTCGACTAACATTAACACGAATGAGACAAACAGTGCCCCCCTATTTCCCTTGAAATAAATTGTGTATATTTTGTGTTAAACTGTGTATAATTTGTGTTAAACTGTGTATATCTTGTATTAAACTGATAAACTGTGTATAATTTTTGCTACACTTCGTATATTTTGGTGTTATTATAAAGACGTGTAAACATACAAAGTTGTTAAATAATGCTAATGATGATAAACTTCCGGTGTTTTTAAATAAAATTATTGAGCCGGGACTTCGGCACCAACACATCTTTTACCCCCGAGAAGCACCGGTTCTTTAAAAACATAATTAGTCACTTTCTCATGAACATCTTTGATGATTCCTTTAAACTTTTCACCTCCCCTACCCTGCAAATAAAAATAATAGATGAAAAGGAGTTGAACTTTACTGCGCCAACCGATCAAAATACAGATCTTTATTTCGTTTCGTTTTGTTTCTCTACTTTCGATAGCCTCTACTACATGGAGATCTGTCCGGGTGTAGTGGGAGGTCGCCTCAGAGGTCATACGCGCGGCTTTTAAACCTATGACGTCAGACATCTGATTAACCAATCAGCGTTGATGTTTCTACAGGGTTACCCAAAGTTCCGTGCCCCTCACGCCAAACACTCGCTGTAACAGACCGTTTCATTGGCTAATCCCTCGCATCATATAACAACTCTTCCAGATCCTAGTGTAGTAAAGACAAGTAAAACGAAATTTTGAACTAGGCCTATAAAAACGAACGAAATAGAATCTGTGTAAATCGGATTGCTTTACTGCATCAACTTAGTTTGTGAAGACGAACATACGCTGTGTCGTGTGTTACACAAGGAAAAGGTTTCCACCTACTCTACGTCGAATTCCAACTGTTCGGGTGATTGTAACTTGGAGGTTTGAGGGATGAAACTGTTCATGTGACTGTAACTTGTAGGTTTGAGGGGTGATCAAGTAAACTATGTTTCTTTATCAATTGCTTCATTGCCAAGCAGGATTGACGTTATACTACCAAGGCGACGTTTGGATGAGTATTCCCTTAACGTTATCAAGCTGTCAATACAGTTAAATCATTGACAGGTAAATGTTGATGCAGAAACGACAACACAAAACCCAAATATTGAGTCACGGCCATTTAATTTTGTTGTCATGGATACGGTTTTGATGCCAACTCTCTATATATGCCCCACCTTTTGCATTGCTTTATTAGCTTGACAACGTTAAGAGAATATTCTTCAACACGTCGCCTAAACATATAGTTTATTACTAGTTTATTTTCCTATCCAGTATATAGAGAAGTATTGTTCCTACCAAATTTTCTCTGTATCCACCAATAAAAACAGGGGGGATAATCTGAATTCCTTCTCGTCTTCCAGTTGAGACGTGTCTCTCCTTTTTACCATCTTCAGACGTAATGATCAGTCCTGTCTTTGTTAATTTTTCAAATCGTTCTCTTCTTGGTTCCTTATTTCTAAACACTTCTACCTAAATGTACAACAGACAGTTCCTATCAGGTTCCATGTGTGACGTATAGGAGGACCTAACATACACAACAGATGTACATTTAGCCATAGGTTTCTTATGAACATTACACTGTGTCAATTCAACAAGATATGTACCCGATAAGATAGTTTATTAACGTACCTGGTAAGATAGTTTATCAACGTACCCGATAAGATAGTATATTAACGTACCTGGTAAGATAGTTTATCAACGTACCCGAAAAGATAGTTTATTAACGTACCTGGTAAGATAGTTTATCAACGTACCCGATAAGATAGTTTATTAATGTACCTGGTAAGATAGTTTATTAACGTACCCGGTAAGATAGTTTATTAGCGTACCCGCATACGAATCGCGTGCCAGAATTTGTAATGAAGCGACTCGATGCACCAGGCTAAACATACCCCATAGGAAAAGACTACCAGTGCAGACTGGAATAACCAGACACTAAAGGGTGCCATTCAATTTGGATTAGAAATTACAACAAAAACAGAAACGATTGAATATAAACCAGTTTATATACATTCACATTACATCATTATATGCGTTGCGACCGATTTGTGTTTATTTCTAGGGATTTAGCCCCTTTAACGTAGGCCTACGCGGTAACATAGTATGAACGTACCCATTAACAGTTTATTAAGGTACCCATTAACATAGTTTATTAACCTTCCAGGTAACATACTTTATTAACGTACGGGTAACATAGTTTATCAACGTACGGGTAACATATTTTATTAACGTATGGGTAACATATTTTATTAACGTATGGGTAACATAGTTTATCAACGTACGGGTAATATATATTTTATTAACGTACCCACTAACATAGTTTATTATTAACGTATGGGTAACATATTTTATTAACGTATGAGTAACATATTTTATTAACGTATGGGTAACAGTTTATTAACGTATGGGTAACATATTTTATTAACGTATGGGTAACATATTTTATTAACGTATGGGTAACATAGTTTATTAACGTATAGGCAACATATTTTATTAACGTATAGGTAACATATTTTATTAACGTATGGATAACAGTTTATTAACGTACTCACTAACATAGTTTATTAACGTACGGGTAAGATAGTTTATCCACGTAAGGGTAACATATTATCGCGTTATATAGTCGTCATATATTTCACTAAAGTAGCCAGGTCTAGTTAAGTAATGTAAGATGTTTTCATACCGTTATCCACGTGTTGTTGTTGACTCTATGGTTACTATGAAACTGTCCACCAAATGTTCCCCCTGAACCATGGGGTGTGGGGTTAAATAGAAAGTAGTGAAGGATGCCATCACGGATAAATAAAGCTTCGTAGTCATGTGATCCTTTAGCAAATAACAATAAGCCATCTTCTGCTGTGGTTTTAAACGTTAATTTATACGTCGCTCTGAAAACAATAACAACAGACGTCTATGTAAAAGAGATAGAGACAGAGCAATGGGGTTTAACGTCCACTCAACACAAACTAGGTCATTTCGGGACTAACATATGGTTCAATTTTATTTCAATAATTCGCTTGCGCGTAGGGGTCTTTAGCAGTGGGAGGAAACCGCAGGACCCGGAAAAAACCCACGAGGTTGGACAGGCGACCCTACTCCTTGTCACGTACAACTGGGGAATCAAGACTACGCCAGTTGACTCAATGACAGACCTTACGATACAACGCGTACGTGCTAACCATTTGGCCATCCAACCCCAACGTCCATGTAAGCATTACAGCAGTGAAGTAATATTTCCACTGGCACCATTTTAATTCTATATAAAGGTAACCTACTCTTTTTTTAAATTTTAGTATTATTGAATGCATAAACGAAGGTGATAATTGTTTCTAATTTTTACCTATATTGTGATATGTTCATATACATACATAAAAACAAATATTGTGTTTGTGATAATATTTACTTTGCCCTGCAGAGATCACCATATGTTTGGTGCAATATAGTCCAGTTAGTACTAACGTGCAGATAAACACCATTTCATTTCAATTTCGTTTGGCGTTTTTTTCAGCGCAGCTTTTGATCGGAGGAGGAATACGTCAGTTTAAAAATACATTCGCGTTTTCATTGGCTGTTTACAGAGCACAATTAAGAACACGGCACAATGAAAGAAAACGAAAGCATCGATTTTTATTCGATTTCAATGGAACTGTACCTCATTGATATGCCAAGCGTCGTCATGATATCGCTGTATCCATGACAACCACATCCTGGATATTAGTATACCCATGTCCCACAAATTATTCCCACGGTTCCATGCTACAGACGCAAGACATATTAGTTTATAGCTAAATCTGGGCTTTAAACACTAATATACTAGCCACCCCTTTCTCTTCGTCAATAATTTTGATATCTATACCGCTTAATCCCTGCTCTACACATACGTCAAATAACCCTAACTTCCACCCAGATACCCGAATTTTTACCTTACCTTTCTGAAATATCAGCATTGTTCATACTATACTGTGAAAAACCAGATCCATTGTACCGGAGACAAATCGCTCTTTCACCTCGAACTTCATTCCAAAACTGTAATAAAAAACAACACACGTTCAAACACTGTCACAAAAACATATAGAAAGATACAGTATATATTATAAAATTACATGTTGAAAGCCAAGATGGCTCGACTATTCATGTCATGTGAGTTAGAACTGAAATGGAATGGGAGTAGGTATAACAGCGCTAGATTCGAGTTCCATCTGTCAATATGTTTCTTCTACACACGTCTGTGTATACATATTATATTATTATTATAGACCTCGGTCCTCGTCCTATCCTTTCGATTCCCCAGTTGTACGTGACAAGGATAGGGTCGCCTGTCCAACCTCGTGGGTTTTCTCCGGGTCCTCCGGTTTCCTCCCACTGCTAAAAACCGATACGTGCAAGCGAATTATTGAAATAAAATTACACCATGTGTTAGTTCCGAAATGACCTGGTTTGTGTCGAGTGGACGTTAAACCCCATTTCTCCCTCTCGTCTCATCCACCACTGCATCACACTACTAACGATATTACTGACAAACCTACGGACGGGACACAATATACACAAACACCAAAAACAACTGGGCCGGGGGGGGGGGGGGCAGCCGTAATTGTCCAATACTCTATACAGTTCCGGGCCTGTAGTGATTTTATTACACATATTCTCAGATTCAACATATCATCTGTTCCAACAATATGTGCAGTTGTTGAACACGTGTGACCTATTTTAGATTGGATTATAAACATCCAAATTATTTATAATAAAAACATCCGGTAATTTGAGGCATTTTTTTTATAATTCTAGAAATTAAATTTTCTCCGGGTTCTCCGGTTTCCCCCCACTTCTAAAGACCCCTACGCGCAAGCGAATTATTGAAATAAAATTAAACCATATGTTAGTCCCGAAATGACCTAGTTTGTGTCGAGTGGACGTTAAACCCCATCTCTCTCTCTCTCTCTCTCTCTCTCTCTCTCTAGAAATTAAAAGAATGGCAAGCAATGTAGTCAGTCAACAATATACTTCCCTTGTTCTGCGACTAACACAAAATTTTACTAGTTCACATGTACAATGGCAGATATATGAGAATTTTGCCCAGATAGCTGCGTATTTACTATTACGGAACCGGGATGTAAAACTCACAAAGGTACCGGAATAAGAAATTGTGGGCTCCTATGGTAGCCAACTGTACGCCCCACGCCCATTTATTTTTTTTTTTAAAAAAACCCAAAACAAGAAACAATTCCTATAATATTGTATTTAATCACTTTTAAAGAACTATACCACTGGAAACCATCTCACAAAACATGATAAACTACTGTTGTTTACTTACCAATAAAATGGAAAATAGAATAATTGAAATCATCCTGGCAATGAATGTGTCCCTAGTTTCAACTCTCAATTAATCCTTGTAGAACTAGAAATCAGAGTTATCCCAATTCTAATCCCGGTTACACGATATTAAACTTGTGTACAATTTGGAAACGCAATTAAAGCACTCAACATATAGAACGTTCTTCTATGTTTCCAAACTTTCACCAAACTTTAAAACCAGGAAGTGACATAAAATGGTGAAACTTGATTCCCTAGAACGGGATTGGAACTAAACAGTGTTAATTTATGAACATGCCTCTTCAATTAGGGCGTCTTGGTGATCGAGTGTTGTTGAAGTAAAGGCAGAAAGTTGAGACTGGTATAATCGGATGTATGACATCTCTTTGTTTATATTTGAAAGTATTGGGTTACCGATGTGAACTATTACATGCACGTGAGAACGGGGTGCCACAGTTCAAATAGGTTTATTTTTGTGAAATGAAATGAAATGGGGTTTAACGTCGTATTTGTCGGCACCATTTGTCGAGCTAATGAAAACGGACATACGCTATGCAGTGTGTGCTATCATGAAGGAATTTCTGCCCTTACACCAGCGTTCCAACTGCCGACGTACGTAAACCTCGAGTTTACTTCCCACCCGAACGACTAGACACTGTTCCCGCTCTGCCCCACGCCGACAAATCCCGAGGAACTTTATAATCCAACAACATGATGGAATATGGGACCAGCTTGATAATGATCGAACCGGGCTACGTTTATTTGCGTTTAATGTTTTATACTTTCTTTCGCTGTTTGTATTTTATATATATTTTTTATAAATAATTAAAAATATGAAATCTGTAAGTTCTTTACTTAAAGTTTCATGTGGTAGGCTACTCCACACTCATCAGAAGAAAAATACAAATGAAGTTTGATTACACGAGGCATGGTAACAACGGTTGACGGGCGTGACCACGGTTGACGGGCGTGACGTCAACATTATTTGTAAAACGTCGCCATTTGTAGGTCTGTGTAAAAGTGTCTTGAATAAACCGCCTGTTGAAGTATATATTATAATGTTGGGTTTTTTTATTATGTAAAAGTGTTCATATTGAAGTATAGATTATAATGGATTTTTTATTATGTAAAGTGTCATGGATAATTGCTTCTTTTGAAGTATATATTATGTTTTTTTTATTATGTAAAAGTCTCATGGATAACCGTCTATTGAAGCATATATTATGTTTTTATACGCCCACATTGAAATGTGGTCGAATATTGTCGTCGCCCCCGTCCGTCCGTCCATCCGTCGGTCCGGCGTCCATAAGCAATTGTGGACGCTCTAGAGACTAAAGTTAATATCTGATTGACTTTAAATTTATACACAGTGTTTAAGGCCTTGAGACGAAGAATCCTATTTATTTTCAGCGATTTCCGATAATTACTGCCCAAATTATGGCCGTTGATCACTTTGAAAAATCTTGTGGACGCTCTAGAGGTTAAAGTTAACATCCGATTGACTTTAAATTTATACACAGTGCTTAAGTGGGGCAGAACTTGATAAAAACCAAACAAATTCTAATGGTTTTCTGATAATTATTTCATGAGTTGTTACTCTTAATCGGATTTTAGTATATTATAAATGTTTCATTACCGGAAAAAGTAAAAATATGCGACAACTTTTGTTAACTGCACGGACGATTTAGCTGCTGTGAGCGTATGTTTCGTTGCCTGGTAACCTATCTTTTTATTATGTAAAAATGTCATGGATAACCGTCTATTGAAGTATATATTATGTTTTTTTTATGTAAAGTGTCATGAATATTTTATATACCACATGTCACATTATATAACTTACTGAATCTTTTATCACGGATTTATTTGTAAAATGTACCAAATTTAATATTACAAATGAATAATTTATACTGTATATAGGTCTAAATGCTATGGGAAACTGTTTATTACCGAGTGAAGTTTCCACTAGGATTCTCTATATCAGTTATATACAGTAATTGTATATATTCCCTATATCAGTAATAAACAATAATTGTATATATTCTCTATATCAGTTATAAACAGTAATTGTATATATTCCCTATATCAGTAATAAACAATAATTGTATATATTCTCTATATCAGTTATAAACAGTAATTGTATAATATATCAGTAATAAACAGTAATTGTATATATTCTCTATATCAGTAATAAACAGTAATTGTATATATTCCCTATATCAGTTATTAACAGTAATTGTATATATTTTGTATATCAGTAATAAACAGTAATTGTATATAATCTCTATATCTGTAATAAACAGTTAGTGTATATATTCTCTATATCAGTAATACCCAGTAATTGTATTCCATAGAATTGTGTCCATTTTCTATACCATGTATCATTGTAACAATTAATAAAATATAATGTAAATCATAATCATAGAAAAATAAAATAAAATATATGTAAGAAACTACAAACAGCACACTGTTTGTATATAAACAGGAGAGTGGTACAGGGAATAAAAACAAACAATACAACGTAAATTACAATGAAATGCACCTGTATTTACGTTAAATCCCCCAAATCAGAAGGTTTAGCGCCATAAAATTCCATGCACGCAGGAAATGGGCTTAATTTTAATGTCACCATGCTTCAGTGACATAGACTAACAAATACGAGTTATTATGTTTTATGATTTCATCTGCAAGGATTTTGCCATGACATCGATGTGTTTACATATTAGATATCTAATTGAAACAGTCCTTGGAACTATAATGCAAACTTAAAAATTGTACTTATGTCCGATCGACCGGGTAAAAGAGAGAGAGAAATGGGGTTTAACGTCCACTCGACACAAACTGGGTCATTTCGGGACTAACATATGGTTTAATTTTATTTCAATAATTTCGCTTGCGCATAGGGTTCTTTAGCAGTGGGAGGAAACCAGAGGACCCGGAGAAAACCCACGAGGTTGGACAGGCGACACTACTCCTTGTCACGTACAACCGGGGATTCGAAACCACGGACGGGGTAAAAAAAACCCGTAATACCCAACCATTAAAGGGAGGATAATCCACTATCGATTCACGTCAACTGCTGTCTGGATACAGACCGCCACACATTTTGTCCAGAAGACATAATGTGAATTGTCGTCTCATCTTACGTGAGTAGCGTCGCCTGTCCAACCTCGTGAGTTTTCTCAGGCTCCTCCGATTTTCTCCCACTGCTACATACCCCTACGCGCCAGCGAATCATTGAAATAAAATTGAACCAAGTGTTATCTATCATATTTCTTTTAGTTTTGAAGTTAAACTATTTAGCTTATCAGTATATATTTGAATGTTTTGTGTGTGAGTATTTGTTAAGTGTCTTGTTCTGTTACTGTCTTTTTCATTTCTTTGTTGTAAAGGGCAAAATTGTAAACAGGCTTTAAGCCTAATTTTTCACCTTTGAAAATAAAGATACATGTATTATTATTATTAGGCAGATTTAGATATTATATAATGTATGTTTAATTACATTGGCCAACGGTTTATAAATTTAATACGTTTAATATAGCACTCCCTCTTGCAAAATATACATTCAATGACATTGAACAATTATTAAAACATATTATTTATAATATATATAAATACGAAAAATAAATATACCATACAAATGATTAACCCACTGGGGAATGTCCCGTGGCATGGTATTATTGGAGTACACTAATCTTTGGAGCAGTTGTACGTGACACGGAGTAGGCTGGCCTGTCCAACCTCGTGGGTTTTCAACGGGTTCTCCGGTTTCCCCCCACTGCTAAAGACCACTACGCGCAAGCGAATTATTGAAATAAAATTAAACCATATGTTAGTCCCGAATTGACCTAGTTTGTGTCGAGTGGACGTTAAACACCATTTCTCTCTGTCTCTCTAATCTTTGGGATAAAATACTCTTTGCTGTATCTTAATTGAATCGTTCAAAAAATCCCATTTACTTTTATAAGCTTATCGAGGATAATTATCTTTTTATAATGCTGAGGTTTGTTTTATCTCGACTTATACAATTATACAGTTTTTGTTAAAAGCCGTCTAGTTGAATATATTGTTTTATAATTAATTTCTATCCAAGTTTTATATTTAATTTTTATCTTAATTTCATATTTAATTTGTATTAAATATATATATGTTTTATATATATTTAGTTTGTATCAAAGGTGTATATTTAATTTCTATCCAAGTTTTATAATTAATTTCTATCCAAGTTTTATATTTAATTTTTATCTAAATTTTATATTTAATTTGTATTCAAGTTTTATATATTTAGTTTGTATCAAAGTTTTATATTAAATTTATTATTAAGTTTCATATTTAATTTGTATTCCAGTTTTATACTACATGTATATTATAGTTTATATATTTCATTCATTAATGTGCCATTTTCTTGTAAATAAATGGTCTTGCACAGCGCCTCTGAATAGTTTAGTTTGATTCCCCGGTTGTACGTGACAAGGAGTAGAACCCTCGTGGGTTTTCTCCTGGTCCTCCGGTTTCCTCCCACTGCTAAAGACGCCTACGCGCAAGCGAATTATTGAAATAAAATCAAACCATGTTAGTCCCGAAATGACCTAGTTTGTGTCGAGAGGACGTTACCCCCTCCCTCAACCTCTCTCTCTCTCTCTCTCTCTCTCTCTGTCCATCTCGCTCAGTTGACTTTAACCTCCATTTCATTCTATATCGTGAAGGAAAACAACCGAACAAGTATTTCATAAAGAAATTTCAAAATTCTATGGTTGTAATGGCTTAGACAATTTAATCTTATGTCGTAAAATCATTAGAAACTAAAATATATTTTAAAATCATTAGTGTTTTAAATTTTTTTTTTCAAAATCATATACCCGTTGTTTAAATTATAGACCAAAAAATTTAAATCTAGCTTGAAAACGTTTCTGTTTCAGAGATATTAGGATTATTATTATTTTGTGTGTTAATGTGCCGTAGCGGGCAAGCTAATATTTACTGCTCATCAATTTGGTTTAAGTGTTTTGTCATTTGATGTGTGTTAGATGTGTGGTCGGCGCTTAGAGCATGTCCCTATTTGACGTGGATTATAGCGCAATATAAATGTTCATATTATTAGAATTATTATTATCGTATACTAGTTACTAAGATTGTATACCATTTACTCATACAAGTTATCTACCGTTCATCGAGAGAGAGAGAGAGAGGGAGAGAGAGAGGGGGGGGGGGGTGTTAACGTCCTTATGACACAAACTAGGTCTTTTTGTGATTAAAATATGGTTTGATTTTATATCATTAATTCGCTTGCGCGTAGGGGTCTTTAGCAGTGGCAGGAAACCGGAGGACCCGGAGAAAACCCACAAGACTGGACAAGGGACCCTACTCCTTGTCACGTACAAGAGGGTGGAATCGAAACCACGCCACTTTACTCAATGGCAGACCTTATGATGCAAGGTGCCCGCGTTAACCATTCGGCCACCCAACACCGTGTATTTAGCTATAATAAGTGAAAAGTGCCCTACTTACCAGAACTGTTTATACCACTTAACTTAGAAGCGTTCTGAGATTTATCAATGAAATTCATTTGCTCTAAAGAATTAAACAGACATGCGCATGGTATTTACTTCAATAATAGTTAAACATCATATCAAAAATATGTAAATAAAAAACGCCACAATCTACTTGCAAAAAAAAAAACAACCCAAAAAAACAAAATGACTCGAAACCTTGAAAAAAAAACCCCAACTCATTTGTAAAAATATTAATAGATTTGGGTGGACGGGTAAGAACGCACGGAGAACAGTTTATAAATAATAAAGTTTAAAAAAGCAAGGAGTGTGAACCCAATGTCCTTGTGTTCTTGATTTACGACATTTTGGGGCCAGGTAGAAGGCCAAATATATTCATTTTGTTTAACCCAAAAAAGTATATTTATTAGAAAAATGCACAATCATGTTAGAAAAATCACATGAGTTTCTATATTTAAAATACTAGTTGTTTTTTATATTGATGAAAAAAATATACAAGTCATTCAGGTTATTTCAGAAACATTTACACACGCCCTCATCTTCCGTAGCTACATGTATGTCCGTCATGAGTTGGACCGCCCGTCCATAGACAATCATTCAAGTGCACTAGAGACCTTCTCTTGTTGTGGGGCTTAGTTCTTAAAGAAATTAAACCAAATAAATTCAATAAATTATTAGAATTTAGAAATTTCTATCTTAAGTTGAGACGTTATCTTAAAAGCTCTTGAACACGTTATATTACCACGATTTTAATAGAAACTGATCAATGTTATGTTCAGTTTGTCTGTGGTCCTATTTGTTCCATCTTATGTTCAGTTTGTCCGAGTGTTTATGTTGAGATTGTCTTTGTTTTGTTCGCCAGTTTTAGCTGGATTTTCCAATAAACTGCTATTTTGTTTTATTCAACTACCTTTCCTTTGATGTATAAAATAAAAATACATTAAGACCAAGAAAACAACCACTAAAGGTGAGAGGAAGGGTGAGAGGAAGGTGATAAGGAGTGTTATTTTACATTCAAGTCTTTCTGTCGTTTCCATGTCAAAAACCTTTGTAATTTTTCTCTTAATTAGTAAACGACAATTTATTTTACTGTTAAAACAATACGGCAATTCACACACATCAATGAAATATTAACCATTCACACTATCAATGAACTATTAACCATTCACACTATCAATGAACTATTAACCATTCACGCTATCAATAAAACACTACAACCATTCACACTATCAATAAAACACTACAACCATTCACACTATCAATAAAACACTACAACCACTGACACTATCAATAAAACACTGTAACCATTGGCACTATCAATAAAACACTACAACCATTGACACTATCAATAAAACACTACAGCCATTGGCACTATGAATAAAACACTACAACCATTGGCACTATCAATAAAACACTACAACCATTGACACTATCAATAAAACACTACAGCTATTGGCACTATGAATAAAACACTACAACCATTGACACTATCAATAAAACACTACAGCCATTCACACTATCAATGAACCACTACAACCATTCACACTATCAATAAAACACTACAACCATTGGCACTATGAATAAAGGGTATAACTATAGAATAGTATTTAACGTCCCGTCAACCCAATAATATAATATTTTGAGACTAACACGTGGTATTTACTTTATCTCACAAGTTACACGATAAAGATGTTTCTGACTACTATTGTTTTATTTTTTGAGTTCTAACAGTCAAAGGATTTAATACAATTATAAATGAGTAACGACTAGACACCCTTGTCAGTCTTGTGTGTGTGTGTGTGTGTGTGTGTGTGTGTGTGGGGGGGGGGGGGTTAGTTGGTTGGCGTTGCGCGGGGATGGGAGATAATGGGGTGGTGATTCGCGGGAATAGGAGATAGTAGGGTGGCGGTGCGTGGGAATGGGAGATAGTAGGGTGTCGGTGCGCGGGAATGGGAGATAGTAGGGTGGCGGTGCTCGGGAATGGGAGATAATGGGGTGGTAATGCGCGGGAATGGGAGATAGTAGGGTTGCGGTGCGTGGTTGGGTGGTTGAGCGGTTTAACGGATGTTCTTTAGATCAAAGGCCTGTCATTTAGTCCCATGCTTGAACGTGGCAAGGAGTAAGATCGTCTACCTAACCTCGTGGGTTTTCTCCTAGTCCTTTGCCCCCCCCACCCCACCCCACGCTAAAGAACCCTGTACGCAAGCGAATTGTTTGTGTGGAAAAGACATTAACACCCAGCGGGGTTCTTGATAGGGAGCCGGCGCCTTAGTCACTAAGCCACGTCCTTGATTATATTATAACTTGGGGACGGTTGGATCGCTGAATGGTTAGCACGTGCACGCTGTACCATAAGGTCTGTCATTGAGTTAACTGGCCTGGTTTCGATTCCCCGGTTGTGCCTGACAAGGAGTAGTGTCGCCTGTCCAACCTTGCCAATCCTCCGGTTTCCTCCCACTGCTAAAGACCCCTACCCGCAAGCGAATTATTGAAATAAAATTAAACCATATGTTAGTCCCGAAATGACCAAGTTTGTGTCGAGTTGACGTTAAACCCCATTTCTCCCTCTCTCTATATATATTATAACTTGTAGAGTTTGATTTTGGTTACTCCCCTGTATAAAAATGTCTCCTTAAATATGTTATGAGTAAAGCTTTTAGCGTGTACCACAAGGAGAAAGAGCTGATACTTTTACTAAGTTGTTGTAATCAGTGTAAAGATTGAATCTTGACATCTTTGGGGGATAATTCTAGTGAAAAGTGGCCTTTGTGCAATCTCTAGCAGCTTTCAAAAATCCAATCATGAGAGCCGATGTAGACAAGTTCGTGCCCAACTGATCTAGGCCAGGTTTAACAGCATTTTGTCAATAAAGATTCAAGACCATATAGAAGAAAAATGGGTGTTTGCCGAATTTGAGACGCTTTTCGTGAGGATATTCAGTGTAGCCGATTAGCACGAGGCAACTTACTTATGCGCTGCGGAAACTAAACTTATTTTTTATTAATTAACCGGGCGCGGTCGGTGTCCAAAATTGAAAGCGTCACGTCAGAACTCCTGCTGTTCAGTATCCATAAGATTTTTTGCGTGAATTATATAAATGTCCGCGATTGCTTCTCATCTTCATTCGATCTGAGATTTACATTTCACGCCACAGCTTGATAAACAAACAATCCAACTTTCCAGCCTCGTTTTGAAGTGTCGTCTGCTCCTGTCATCAGTTTACCCGTGTGACAGCTTGAAGAGAAGAGTTTGTAGATCTTGTCAACAAATTGTCGCAAATCGACAGTTAGACAAAAGTTTTCTGAACCAAAAGTTGGGTTTCTTTTAAGAGAATTTTAAAATTTTGTAAGGTCAAGGATAATCCTACCATTCACCATGTCCATCTGTATCAGGATTCTAATGTTGGTGTCACTCTTGACAGGTAAGACAAGTTTTATTTTATATTCTGCTCGAGACACTAGGATTAATTATTTTACGATCTTGAAAGATAAATTTCTCACCACTGCATGTCGATACATTTGCATTGTTTCAGCGTGTTTGCTGTGATTTAATAATTTAACCGGTTTTTACCAACCGTGTTTTCAATGTTTTTACCATGTTTTCGCTGTTTTTACCAGGATTTTCGCCTGTTTTTCCAGGTTTTCGCTTTGAGCATGCAAACATTATCAAATCCATTCATATTACTCGACAATTTAATCATTTGCACAGAAATCTGACATGAAAAGTCGAAAGAATAAAATAAGACATAATGTATATTCTATCCCACTCTTTGTCTACTCGCTCGTTCACTGAGAACCAAGATACCCATCTAATTATTCTAGATTAATCCAATCTTAATTTACAAATATTGGGAAAGCAGACGCTCTTTTGGAGGAATAGTGTATTCTTTTATTGGATTGGTAGCCTATTAATTTATCATGGAATGACCACATTTTTAGCATTGAATGACTAGTCCGAGTTTCACATTTGGCAGAAAGGCGGGACCAGTATGAATATCACATACCACCGATGCCTCCCGGTAAAATTAATTTCATGTAGTATTTATCCTTTTAGAATTAAAGGGATAAATATGCCATCGTGGCGATCACATGTATATAAAGAACCTAATTAGTGTTACTTTAATGTTTTATGTATGGCGAATATGACGTATTTGACGTTTATGACGTATCTGGTGTATATAAAGGGTGAATGGTGATGGTTTTGTAGCTAGGTCATATATTATACCCACGTAATAAATATTATGATATTTAGCGTATACTTATATATAAAACTCAAGTACAATCGAGTTGATTCTGACGAGTAGTTTAAATACAAAAATCCACTGTATGAATTCGAAAAATCGCGCAACTGGATTCGCCAAATAAGACAAATCTCCGAATTAGATTTCCTGTGCATCACGATGATATAAAGTGTTATTCATAAGATTAAAATTGTTATAAAAGTAGAAAATTGTGGTAGAATGATTATTGTCATATAATACAAATCTAACATTTAAGACAATTATAAAATAGGTAATGATGAAATTATTCTTTTATTGAAATACCCAAGTTTATGGACACGTAAAGAGTCCATCATACAAGCTAACGGTGATTAAACCACATGAATTATTGTATTGACTTTAACATTATTGTCACATTCTGTTGGATTATTTACATTGAATTTAATATCAATAACACAAAACAAATATAGGATTTTTGTTGTATATTTACTGTGTGAAATTATGTTGAAAATTTCTCCACATAATAAACTTTGAGATTGTTTGTTGGGATGTTGAAACGATTAGAAAGTGAACCAATTAAAGACGTTTGTACAGCAGGAATTAGATAGGACTATTTCGCGCACTTGTTAAATAAATATAAATACATGTAACGTTTCTATATGAGATACATTGCGTTTACCCATTGCAATACCCTAAACAATATCGAATATCGATGATTGTATGACTGGTGACGCGACCGTCTTCGTTAGCCCAGTCGGCGCAGAAAAGACGATGGTTAAATGACGCGGCTAACTGCCTGTATTCATTCGTCGTGTAGTGTATCTTTAACCAAGTATTCGTAAATTACAACATCCAATTTCCTTCAATCATTCCGTTTTTAAATATTCTAATAGATGGTGACGAATGTTCTAGAAAACATTATCAATCCCCAATGCCTCGTCTTTACCAAAACTGAGGGCCTAGCAAGTAAAGTGTCTAATTGTTAGCATGGGACCAAACTGAGGTCCCATGTAGGCAACACATTGGCACACACGTAAAAGAAACCTTGATATGCCGTAGTGCCGACATCAGGGCAAAATTAACCTCATATCGCCAGGTATGATCGCATGCCGGTCTTTATTATCCCAGTCGGTGCAGAAAAGTAAGACGTTAAATCCCATTCATTTTATTATTCTTTGCACCCTGACACTAGAAACAAACCTGGACAATGAATCATGAGAATATCTGTAAAGAAATGGGTGTGTCTTGTGCGCAAATTAGAACTGCGCGTATAATAGAATGCTTGATGACCGGGGCCTTGTCAAAATTCGCCTTCTCTCATTACACGCCAAGCGATCAAAAATAGCACGTGTTAGTCTCAACACGACTGTGTTGACGCGCTATTCATCCCTTTGTAATATTCGTACATTGAGCGTCCCATTTGTTGGACTATTATACTGGTAATGTATGATATACAATATCTTATCAAATAGATGACAGTTAAAATATACTTCAAATAGATGTGATATGACACTGACCAGGGTGACAGCCTAATTCAATATAGCATCATAAACTAGCGTCATTCAATATTTCCATACAATATTTAACAATGTGAATAGATCTGTGCGAAATCCAACATTTTCCTTCTAATATGTTTTACGTGATTAAAAAAATAAAAACGACGTGTTTAAAATGGTAGTATTAGGCGTCACCAGACATCGACTATATATATATAATTTAACATATATCCTTTAAATCGACGATTGTTTGCTTATTAACCAACATGTTGTATTAAACTTGAAACAGTCGTATAACCATCCTTTTCAACTTTTATAATGTAACAGTAACCCAGCAACCTACATTATTACATGAGACCCTTATGCACTTAACGGAAATGGGAATAGCCCGAGATGGGGGAATATGTTGCCCGGACAGTGGCGTTTCCGTCTAACAATGGTTCTTTTACGGGCACGCCAGCGAGTTCAAGGATGGATCAATGGTTTCTGTCCTTTGTCAGGTCGGACCTTCTGGAACTACCCTTAAAGGAAACCAGAAAATCACACAGAATTTTTTTGGTGAACCCCAAGATGGAACCGGGGAGATTCTGGTCGAGTGAGCAGGCACCTAACTCACTGAATAAAGAATCACCCAAGAAACAACAATTAGTGCAAACAAAACGTTATGCAAGAAAACAAAAACTAGATTAGCAGACGCAGAAGACCTTATTAAAAATTGTCAATCCAATTCTATTTTATTTAAATGCATTTGAGATAAAATAGTTTACTGGAACATAAAACAAACATCACAGTATAGGGAGCGAGCTTAGAAAGACACAAAGCCGATTTGAAAGAAAGATGACCGGGCTGTCACTGTTTCTTTACATATAACACGTCTTGTATACATAGAAACTATTTTGGATCAGGTTTCTAGTGGCAATAAGCTTGGCAACGTCTATAAGAATAAATATATTTTACTCCACGAAAAAAAAGACACAATAAAACATTAAGTTTATAATGTAAGCAAACAAAAGTGAGAGAATTTAAAAATTATTGAGAACACCAAAGTTTATAATGTAAGCTAGCTGTGTTTATATTGTAAGTAAACCGTGTTTACACAATTAACAATACATTGAGAACACCACAGTTTAAAGGACTTATTTCAAATAAATATTTCAACTATACGTATGTAAACATTTGTCAATACCCTAGAGTTGATACCATTTTTAGGACCATACCTTGTTTCCCATTTTTAGGACCGGCGTTACCATTAGTCCAACTAGTCTACCCTCTAGGGCACGGACCCCACGGGGGTCACAGTTCTGACAGTTATATACAACATGCTTCCTTTTGTGCTTGAGAAGAATAATCAAAGTTTAGTGCATTACTTATTCTTGCAATTTTAAATTAATTTAGCAGTTTCAAGTTTTGTGCTTTTAATTTTCTCTACAAAAAAATCTGTTCCTGAAAGCCGAAGATGGCAAATTGTTTGAGCAGGGTTCGCGGGACATTGCGAGCAGGTGGGATTAGGAAAGATTGAAGTAGGCTATTTCTATATAAGCAACACTTAGCAATGTATTTTATCGCTTGACCATTGTCTTTGATCTGGAGTTTCAAATATTTGAAACCTGTAAATTATGATAATATTTCACCAAACTATACCTTTAAATCAAACGAATATAAACATTACCATTAAATTTGATAAACCCTTGATATGCAATAATACTATGATATCATATTAACAAATATCGATACACGATTTAATAGGTTATCTTATCAACCTTTATCTCTTCACATATCTATAAACAACATTAGATATTAAATCTCTTGATAAAACTTTGGTGTTTACTTTAAAAATGTAAACATGCAAAATAAATCACACAGTAAACTAGACTGTTCTATATCATAGATATTATTCGGGATTCCTAATCTTTTTGTCAAAATGTCTTTATTACAAATCTTACTGAGGTCTGTACATTTAAAATCGTTGATAAAATCCGGTTATTGGTGTTTGCGTTAAAAGATAAACATGCAGAATAAATTATATGGTAGATCATATTCAGGATTTCTGCATCTTTTTGGCAAATTGTCTATATTTAATAAAATCTTACTCGGGTATAAGGGCACATATCTTCTTACCACCTTTAAGCGTACAATATCTTTTCCTGGTATATTAATATTATCTTGTACTGTCCTACTGTAGAATATTCAAATATAAATTTCTAGGATTTCAAATCTATTTTCAAATCTGTTTTGTTTACAAATCGTACCCAGATCTTAGACCACAGAATCTACTTTATCATGTTGTAATTTTCTACATATATTTCGGGCTATATTAATTTTACCTCACACTATTCTACTGTAGAATTAGTTTGATTTTTTTACTTTGAATGTTTGTTGTATCTGTCATAAAGTTGAGTGTAGACATATATTTAATTATTCACGATGGCCTACCCTGTGTGTCATGTATTTGAATATTTAGGGCGAATTGTAACCGAAGTAAGAATAATTAAATGTTGTGAACACAAGTCAAGTATAAAACACCGTGTAATTAATACTATTGATGATGAGGGGGCATGTTTAATTATGTTTACATGCATGTGTGACGGTGTCGCCATGTTGATTTTAGATGTGCATCTTGTTGATTTTACATGTAAATGACGAGTGGAGTTCATGATCGTGGTCGTAATTGAGTTGTTTTAAAAAATAAGGGCACAAAAACTGACA